CAAAGTTTTGTGTTGCACGTAATAATTCTTCATCAGAAGAATTATTTTGGACAAAGTCATCTTCTACTGACACAACAAAGTCTATATTAGAAATGTCACTTTCATCTTGCGAAAACCTGCTCCGCGTCAAACATAAGCTATCATCACTATCATCAGTCATTCGTACCTTTCAATCCGGGGTAGAATAGATCTTCAGCAACCCATTTTTGTCATAAAAGGCGACTATGCTTGTCGTAAAAGGCGACTAACGGGATCGGGTGGTCAGGCTCGCTGACTTGGTTGACACAAATCATCGGTTCCCAATTGCGCAGATCGATGCTCATGCTGTTGATCACTGGATTGTCTGGTCCAGACTCGATTATTTACAGACCGCCGCCATATAGCTGGACTATTGCTGAGTGCGGCGTAAAACTAAACTCACTCACTCACTCGTACCTTTCACCGTCCAGTCACTCGTGCTTATGGATGAAAAATATGGATTGTGAGTTTTATATAGCGTCAATAGGAATTTACACGTCAATAGTTCGAAGCGTGAAGCAATATGCACGTGCTTTTGCGGCGCTTATTATACTGACACCAGTTGCGATATTTCGAATGGCGAAACCGGTTACGAATTTAGGTTTAAGTAGAATAGACTCCTCAGACGCGTCAATAGTTGACCACGAAGTTAAGTCCTCCAGCTATTGACGCGTCTGAGGAGTCTATTCTCCAAGCAGTGAAAGGGTACCCGATGGGATGAGATGGTCTGTTATGATGACTGGTAGCATTTCGACATCATCATATCCGCCGAATTGATTGGGTACGAAAGGCATAGGAATGATGAATGAGGCATTCATGAACACTCGTCCCTTTCCGTAACCACAGCTTGTCCCGGAATAACACGAGTTGGCCACGAATGCGAGCAACAATGATGTTATGTAACATGTTATACAAAACACGTGAAAAGCGACTGAATGCGATAAGCTTGATCTGCACATGCGCACCTCACCCACAGCTAAGCACATGTGGTTTGGTGATCAGTCGAAGAGGAACAAAGAAGGTGTCGACATTGAGAAGTTGGTCGGAGACATCTTTACACAGAACAGTCTTTCACAGCAAAATAATTTGGACGATGTTGGTGGTTTGGTGCACGTATTAGTCACATTATCGGGATGCGCAACTGATTATTGTAAGAGTTCCGCCCGTAACCCCTACGTGAAATGTTAGGGTAAGGCAGGGTATGAAACTCCCAAACATTTCAGCCAGACCACAGGGCTGGTTAGATGTAGAACTTGCCTGCCCTGACCAAAACTTACCTGCCCCCAAAATATATTCATATACATGTCTAAATTTTAACCCGACGGTCGGGCAGGTGAATTTGAGAATCTGGCAGTCCGTGTTGAAAATAACTCGTCCCGTGCAGTCGGGCAGGCAGGCAGGCAGGTATTTCGAACGCTGGGTTAGGGTTAGGTTATGCAAGGTCCTGACATGTTAATGTTTTTAGAAATCTTTTATTCCCCAAAACTTCTAAACTCCCTTTAAACGCTTAAAACCCCAACCCCCAATAAATAAGCGCCCCTTGTTATAAAAAAATATTTTCTTAAGCATAGAATGACATAAAAACGGGGTTACGGGCGGAAATCTTTCCACGACAGATTGCTTGAATTGTTAGAATCACCCCTGTAGAATGTCTTTAACACTATTGCCAGCCGTACAAGGCAGCTAAAGTTGATTGCATCATCGAGCTCTGAGACAAGTGACATAAATCTTGTTTCACGTTTTGTAATTGGATTGTCAGTAAACTGAGCCACGTGCGGTGGGGTAGCCAAGACCCGGGGTCGATTCGCCACGTGGGTATACAACGTGTGAAGCGCATTTGTTGTCTCCGACGTCATATTGCTGAAAGCGGCGTAAAACCCAACCGCATCACCCAGCCACAGAACTGCACTCCATTAATGCATTTAATGGTTTACCGCCGCCATTTTGCTGGAATATTGCCGAGTGAGGCGTTAAACAACAAACACAATTTGTATTTACAATTTGTTTTTTTCTTTGAACTGTCTGTAATTTGTTTTGCCATTGTACCTGTGTCATTCTTTCTCCATGTTCCTGCTGGTGTTATCGTTATTCTTCCACAATGTTTCATTGAACAAAGGACTAAAGTACTGTCGGAAATACTAGAAAAATGCTTCTTGACTCATATTTAAAATTCAGAGGTATTACAGTTACTTAAATAACAAATATCACTTTAAGAAACATCTACCTAATGTAGACTGAGGGAATAAATTTTGAGACATGCCCTAAAATGTGTTTTTACTGATGAAAATACCAAAAAATTAGAAAAATATAAGCGGTTGTGGGACGTTATTTGATACAAACATTAACTACCTGTGCTACTTCATCAGCATGCACGGTATCGACAGGTGAAATTGACACCTGAGCACACGCTCGGGCGAGGGCAATAGATGTTTTCTTCAAAATGTTGAATGTGTACGTATAGTATACGTGTTGGTTATGTAAGGGATCATGTGATATCCACATTTCGCACACCAACAATGTATATATGTATGTATGTATGTATGTATGTGTGTGTTTTTTTTGAAATAAACATACGAATTACTGTACATTGGAAAGAATCCTATCACTTGTGTTATCTTATCGATTGTTTGTAGAAATGTGCAACGTTTTAATAAATGTTTTGCATGTCAACAGTATATTTCATTGTAAACATATGGATGTAATTCGGTCAGTTTAATTCACTGGTGTAGCTTCTTTTAGACTATATATATGTCTTCTATATATATTCTAAATAAAGTTTGTAGACCGCCCGTCTAAGTACTCCCTTGTCAAAGTTGTCAAGGATGGTTTTACGTCCCGGTTTTGCTCTTGAGACGGTCCCTGTCTTATCTGATTTGTTTACAATATTGTAAACTTGTTGGTAAGACACACCAACGGCTCTACAAGTTCTGTAATAACCTTTCTTCTAAACTAATGAAAGGTATACCTCTGTCTTTTTCACGCACAAAAAACTTATAAACCTTTGCAACAATTGACTGCAAATAGTTGGCGATAGTGAACGCTTTAATAAAGATGTGCATGCATGACGGGAAACTTATTTATCAAGACTTAACAAATTAAAGTAACAGAAACATTCAACATTTATTTGTTTAAGAAAAACGCTAATTCATATTTTTACACCGCCTGTATTAGCATTAATGAAAAAATCTTGTTGTTTTGGTACCAAATTCTCTCCTGTAAACTGCCCTTTAAATGCATGGGAATGTTAAATCGATTGAAATAAAAATTAAGTACACTATAAGCGAGTTGATATATTGACAACATAGTACATTTATCACCTTTATAAAGATATTAAGGCTGAAAAGCATTTTTCTAGCATTTCCCACAGTACTTTAATAAAATACATGCTGTCTGTTAGCTCGTCCATCTTATTAAGTAACTTTACCGTAATCTATGTATACTCTTAAAATAAGTAGGGGAACTTCATTTTTGATTTACGATTGAAAAAAATATGTGGGGGTAAAAGACTTCCTTTACGTACACCCCACCCCCATCACCAACACCCCCGCCTATTTTTGTGATGAGCAAACTCTAGTTTAGTCTTTAGTTTATAGTTAAAGGTACTTAAGGAACTCTTACTAAGTGGGAGATATACTGGAGTCAATCAATGTTGATTCCTTCTTGCCATATTTCATTTTCAAAATAGTCAAGTAAAGGAAAGGTAACTCCGAATTTCCAAACATGGCTATTCCCAGAATAGTCTATATCCTGCGGGCAAAACAATTCATTCCCCTTTGTAAATGTTTCAGCTTGAAATGCGTTTTACTACGCGCGATTTGATTGGTTTCTTGTAGGTCACGGAATTGGTTTCTTGTAGGTCAGGAAAGGCGAGTATGGTTGTATGTGGGGATGTCTATTCACACTTTTCTAAGGATCAAATAATTGATTCAACAGAAAACTATGATGTGGGGTCGAATTTGGTTTTAAACATGGATCCAAGTTTTCAGTATGTAATTTCATCTGGTGGATCCCATACCTGCTATTGCCATGATTATGGTTGATTGGTGCCATGAAACCATGTAAATGATTACTCGTGCATCAGGTGCATAAGCTTAAAGTGGCTGTTTTCCAAAAGATGTGTTACCATATCATCATTTATCCAGAAAGCAAAGTTGGTTGTTTCGTTGACATGTAGTACTTTTGGGGCGGTGGGCTAGCCTAGTGGCTAAAGCGTTCGTTCGTCACGGCGAAGACCCTGTTTCGATTGCCCACATGGGCACAATGTGAAGCCCATTTCAGTTTCACTGCCGTGATATTGCCGAATCGGACTCGAGGATAGAAATATCAGCATGTCATAACAATTTACAAATAATATCAGTCCTGTCGATTTTCGGGTGGTCATGCCATTTAATACGAAGGCTGATTTGATCTCAACAAACGCGTGAGATGTTAATAGATGACACTTGAAAAGCACGTTCATTTCATGCCAGGTGAGACCGCGAAGGTCCGGGTTAGAATATCTTCAGTAACCCATGCTTGTCTTAAGAGGCGTCTAACGGGATCGGGTGGTCAGGCTCGCTGGCTTGCGGACACATGTCATCGGTTCCCAATTGCTGAGTGCGGCGTAAAACAAAGATGGGATCGGGTTTGGCCATGTCGGCTGTACCAAGATGTTGGAAATGAAGACAATTTTATAAAAATCGACTGCGAATCCAATTCTGAATGATTAGAAAAGAAATTACATATATCGATGCCCCAGAGTCGAGACCGCCCCAAACAACAAACAAATTTTAAATATTCGTGTCTGCAAAAACGTTATTATTTCATATGGAAACTATTCGGCTCACAATTGCGTTGTCCAGTGCGGCGTAAAACTAAGTCTGGGTTAGGGGTTCTTGATGCCCCGCCGTACATTCCTTGTCTTCTCTCCAAGTTCGGCGGTGGTGTATAGATTCTGTACCATGTGAGTCACATCTGCATATTTTATCAACAAAAAGACAAGATGAGAGACTAAAAGTTTATTATCGCAAGTTGACATTGATGGAAAAGGTTTTTCTTCAAAACGTTCGGCCTCTTCATCAGTGTGTCCAGTTTCTTCCCGTTTTCATGGTTGCCGTCTCTCAAGCATCACTCGATGGCTGAAACAGACACAAAAAGGGCAGTGTTTTCATTTTATTTGACATGTATTCTAACTGTGCGGGTTCACAATAACAAATTTCCCAGATTTGAAAACATTTCTTCAGAACAAAAGCCAATATTGAGGACAAACAGGGCCAGCCACTGCTTTCTATGGCAAGACATCTGTCGGGGTTAAAGCGTTCGCCGAAGACCCGGGTTCGATTTGCCACATGGGTACACTCGTCAAATTCAACTCTTATTAGAAGTAAAGGACACCACCCACATCTGATTGCAAGAACGATAGCATGGAAAGTGAAGTTTTGTTTTGTAAATACTTTTTTATTGAAACGCTACCCCAAGGAGGATCGCTCTGAAAAAGAATGACATACATGTATGAGATAATGAAGTATCACGTGACCAGAAATTTATTTATTCTACCAAACCCATTCGTATCTGGCCGGAGTTTTACGTCACATCGCGATATTTAGCGACGAGACCAAATGAGTATCTTGAACAAGAAAATATGTCATACTGACTGACTGCGTTTGGTTTTACGCAGCTTTTAGCAATATTCCATCAACATCAGACCAACTCTACGATTTGTTTGCAGAATTTATGTCCTAAAATTAAAAAGTTGTTTACCAAAACTATCATTAAAATTTTGACACAGTTCACCATTTGTTACGACGGAGGAGTGCAATGAGAAGGAACAGCCAGGTGTTCGCGAAGCACGTGCACAAGTGCCGACAAAGTTATTGATTCATTAACCTGTGCTGTGCCGTCTCCATCCTTTCTCGCACACCTGGAAAATTTTCAAATATAAGAAAGCTGTTGGGTATTAGTGTATATATATGTGGCAGTTTTGTACAATGATTACATAATTCGGTCCGTTTCTACCACCACAGTCAAGCAGATCCGTTTTCAGGAGAAAGTCATTTATGTTCTACTGGAAACACGCTTATCTGCCCTTGATTTGCATCACGTGAGCGGAAGTTCCTGTTTGGGAAGGAGCAAGCTTTCACAATATATTCTACCGGAAACACGCTTATCTGCCCTTGATTTGCATCACGTGAGCGGAAGTTCCTGTTTGGGAAGGAGCAAGGTTTTGAACCAATGTTTTCTACCGGAAACACGCTTATCTGCCCTTGATTTGCATCACGTGAGCGGAAGTTCCTGTTTGGGAAGGAGCAAGGTTTTGGATCCAATGTTTTCTACCGGAAACACGCTTATCTGCCCTTGATTTGCATCACGTGAGCGGAAGTTCCTGTTTGGGAAGGAGCAAGCTTTCACACTATATTCTACCGGAAACACGCTTATCTGCCCTTGATTTGCATCACGTGAGCGGAAGTTTCTGTTTGGGAAGGAGCAAGCTTTCACAATATATTCTACCGGAAACACGCTTATCTGCCCTTGATTTGCATCACGTGAGCGGAAGTTCCTGTTTGGGAAGGAGCAAGGTTTCACAATATATTCTACCGGAAATACAATTATCTGCCCTTGATTTGCATCACGTGAGCGTTAGTTTCTGTTTGGGAAGGAGCAAGCTTTCACACTATATTCTACCGGAAACACGCTTATCTGCCCTTGATTTGCATCACATTGAACGGAAGTTCCTGTTTGGGAAGGAGCAAGCTTTCACAATATATTCTACCGGAAACACGGTTATCTGCCCTTGATTTGCATCACGTGAGCGGAAGTTCCTGTTTGGGAAGGAGCAAGGTTTTTGAAGCAATGTTTTCTATCGGAAACACGCTTATCTGCCCTTGACTTGCATCACGTGAGCGGAAGTTCCTGTTTGGGAAGGAGCAAGCTTTCACAATATATTCTCTGCCGGAAATACAATTATCTGCCCTTGATTTGCATCACGTGAGCGTTAGTTTCTGTTTGGGAAGGAGCAAGCTTTCACAATATATTCTACCGGAAACACGCTTATCTGCCCTTGATTTACATCACGTGAGCGGAAGTTTCTGTTTGGGAGGAAGAGCAAGCTTTCACAATATATTCTACCGGAAACACGCTTATCTGCCCTTGATTTGCATCACGTGAGCGGAAGTTCCTGTTTGTCAAGGAGCAAGCTTTCACAATATATTCTACCGGAAACACGCTTATCTGCCCTTGATTTGCATCACGTGAGCGGAAGTTCCTGTTTGGGAAGGAGCAAGGTTTTCGAACCAATGTTTTCTACCGGAAACACGCTTATCTGCCCTTGATTTACATCACGTGAGCGGAAGTTCCTGTTTGGGAAGGAGCAAGCTTTCACAATATATTTCTACCGGAAACACACTTATATGCCCTTGATTTGCATCACACGAGCGGAAGTTCCTGTTTGGGAAGGAGCAAGCTTTCACAATATATTCTACCGGAAACACACTTATCTGCCCTTGATTTGCATCACGTGAGTAGAAGTTCCTGTTTGGGAAGGAGCAAGCTTTCACAATATATTCTACCGGAAACACACTTATCTGCCCTTGATTTGCATCACGTGAGCGGAAGTTCCTGTTTGGGAAGGAGCAAGGTTTCAAAATATATTCTACCGGAAACACACTTATCTGCCCTTGATTTGCATCACGTGAGCGGAAGTTTCTGTTTGGGAAGGAGCAAGCTTTCACAATATATTCTACCGGAAACACGCTTATCTGCCCTTGATTTGCATCACGTGAGCGGAAGTTTCTGTTTGGGAAGGAGCAAGGTTTTGAACCAATGTTTTCTACCGGAAACACGCTTATCTGCCCTTGATTTGCATCACGTGAGCGGAAGTTCCTGTTTGGGAAGGAGCAAGCTTTCACAATATATTCTACCGGAAACACGCTTATCTGCCCTTGATTTGCATCACGTGAGCGGAAGTTCCTGTTTGGGAAGGAGCAAGCTTTCACAAATATATTCTACCGGAAACACACTTATCTGCCCTTGATTTGCATCACGTGAGCGGAAGTTCCTGTTTGGGAAGGAGCAAGCTTTCACAATATATTCTACCGGAAATACACTTATCTGCCCTTGATTTGCATCACGTGAGCGGAAGTTCCTGTTTGGGAAGGAGCAAGGTTTTGGAACCAATGTTTTCTACCGGAAACACACTTATCTGCCCTTGATTTGCATCACGTGAGCGGAAGTTTCTGTTTGGGAAGGGAAGGAACAAGCTTTATTCTACAATATATTCCCTGATTTGAAACACGCTTATCTGCCCTTGATTTGCATCACGTGAGCGGAAGTTCCTGTTTGGGAAGGAGGAAGCTTTCACAATATATTCTACAGGAAATACACTTATCTGCCCTTGATTTGCATCACGTGAGCGGAAGTTTCTGTTTGGGAAGGAGCAAGCTTTCACCAATATATTCTACCGGAAACACACTTATCTGCCCTTGATTTGCATCACGTGAGCGGAAGTTCCTGTTTGGGAAGGAGCAAGCTTTCACAATATATTCTACAGGAAACACACTTATCTGCCCTTGATTTGCATCACGTGAGCGGAAGTTTCTGTTTGGGAAGGAGCAAGGTTTCACAATATATTCTACCGGAAACACACTTATCTGCCCTTGATTTGCATCACGTGAGCGTTAAGTTTCTGTTTGGGAAGGAGCAAGCTTTCACACTATATTCTACCGGAAACACGCTTATCTGCCCTTGATTTACATCACGTGAGCGGAAGTTCCTGTTTGGGAAGGAGCAAGCTTTCACAATATATTCTACCGGAAACACGCTTATCTGCCCTTGATTTGCATCACGTGAGCGGAAGTTCCTGTTTGGGAAGGAGCAAGGTTTTGAACCAATGTTTTCTACCGGAAACACGCTTATCTGCCCTTGATTTGCATCACGTGAGCGGAAGTTCCTGTTTGGGAAGGAGCAAGGTTTCACAATATATTCTACCGGAAATACAATTATCTGCCCTTGATTTGCATCACGTGAGCGGAAGTTCCTGTTTGGGAAGGAGCAAGCTTTCACAATATATTCTACCGGAAACACGCTTATCTGCCCTTGATTTGCATCACGTGAGCGGAAGTTTCTGTTTGGGAAGGAGCAAGCTTTCACAATATATTCTACCGGAAACACACTTATCTGCCCTTGATTTGCATCACATGAGTAGAAGTTATCTGTTTGGGAAGGTTTGCAAGCTTTCACAATATATTCTACCGGAAACACTTTATCTGCCCTTGATTTGCATCACGTGAGCGGAAGTTTCTGTTTGGGAAGGAGCAAGGTTCCACAATATATTCTACCGGAAACACACTTATCTGCCCTTGATTTTCATCACGTGAGCGGAAGTTCCTGTTTGGGAAGGAGCAAGGTTTCACAATATATTCTACCGGAAACACACTTATCTGCCCTTGATTTGCATCACGTGAGCGGAAGTTCCTGTTTGGGAAGGAGCAAGGTTTCACAATATATTCTACCGGAAACACACTTATCTGCCCTTGATTTGCATCACGTGAGCGGAAGTTCCTGTTTGGGAAGGAGCAAGGTTTTGGAACCAATGTTTTCTACCGGAAACACACTTATCTGCCCTTGATTTGCATCACGTGAGCGGAAGTTCCTGTTTGGGAAGGAGCAAGCTTTCACTATATTCTACCGGAAACACACTTATCTGCCCTTGATTTGCATCACGTGAGCGGAAGTTCCTGTTTGGGAAGGAGCAAGGTTTTGGATCCAATGTTTTCTACCGGAAACACACTTATCTGCCCTTGATTTGCATCACGTGAGCGGAAGTTCCTGTTTGGGAAGGAGCAAGGTTTCACAATATATTCTACCGGAAATACACTTATCTGCCCTTGATTTGCATCACGTGAGCGGAAGTTTCTGTTTGGGAAGGAGCAAGCTTTCACAATATATTCTACCGGAAACACGCTTATCTGCCCTTGATTTGCATCACGTGAGCGGAAGTTCCTGTTTGGGAAGGAGCAAGCTTTCACAATATATTCTACCGGAAACACACTTATCTGCCCTTGATTTGCATCACGTGAGCGGAAGTTTCTGTTTGGGAAGGAGCAAGGTTTCAACAATATATTCTACCGGAAACACGCTTATCTGCCCTTGATTTTCATCACGTGAGCGGAAGTTTCCTGTTTGGGAAGGAAGCAAGGTTTTGAACCAATGTTTTCTACCGGAAACACTTATCTGCCCTTGATTTGCATCACGTGAGCGGAAGTTCCTGTTTGGGAACGATCAAGGTTTCACAATATATTCTACCGGAAATACACTTATCTGCCCTTGATTTACATCACGTGAGCGGAAGTTCCTGTTTGGGAAGGAGCAAGCTTTCACACTATATTCTACCGGAAACACTTATCTGCCCTTGATTTACATCACGTGAGCGGAAGTTCCTGTTTGGGAAGGAGCAAGCTTTCACAATATATTCTACCGGAAACACACTTATCTGCCCTTGATTTGCATCACGTGAGCGGAAGTTCCTGTTTGGGAAGGAGCAAGGTTTTGGATCCAATGTTTTCTACCGGAAACACTTATCTGCCCTATCTGCCCTTGATTTGGGAAGGAGCATTTCATCACGTGAGCGGAAGTTTCTGTTTGGGAAGGAGCAAGGTTCCACAATATATTCTACCGGAAACACAGTTATCTGCCCTTGATTTGCATCACGTGAGCGGAAGTTCCTGTTTGGGAAGGAGCAAGCTTTCACAATATATTCTACCGGAAACACACTTATCTGCCCTTGATTTGCATCACGTGAGCGGAAGTTCCTGTTTGGGAAGGAGCAAGCTTTCACAATATATTCTACCGGAAACACGCTTATCTGCCCTTGATTTGCATCACGTGAGCGGAAGTTCCTGTTTGGGAAGGAGCAAGCTTTCACAATATATTCTACCGGAAATACACTTATCTGCCCTTGATTTGCATCACGTGAGCGGAAGTTCCTGTTTGGGAAGGAGCAAGCTTTCACAATATATTCTACCGGAAACACGCTTATCTGCCCTTGATTTGCATCACGTGAGCGGAAGTTCCTGTTTGGGAAGGAGCAAGGTTTCACAATATATTCTACCGGAAATACACTTATCTGCCCTTGATTTGCATCACGTGAGCGGAAGTTCCTGTTTGGGAAGGAGCAAGGTTTCACAATATATTCTACCGGAAACACTTATCTGCCCTTGATTTCGATCACGTTAGTAGAAGTTTCTGTTTGGGAAGGAGCAAGGTTCCACAATATATTCTACCGGAAACACTTATCTGCCCTTGATTTGCATCACGTGAGCGGAAGTTCCTGTTTGGGAAGGAGCAAGCTTTCACAATATATTCTACCGGAAACACACTTATCTGCCCTTGATTTGCATCACGTGAGCGGAAGTTCCTGTTTGGGAAGGAGCAAGGTTTTGGAACCAATGTTTTCTACCGGAAACACACTTATCTGCCCTTGATTTGCATCACGTGAGCGGAAGTTCCTGTTTGGGAAGGAGCAAGCTTTCACAATATATTCTACCGGAAACACGCTTATCTGCCCTTGATTTGCATCACGTGAGCGGAAGTTCCTGTTTGGGAAGGAGCAAGGTTTTGAACCAATGTTTTCTACCGGAAACACACTTATCTGCCCTTGATTTGCATCACGTGAGCGGAAGTTCCTGTTTGGGAAGGAGCAAGCTTTCACAATATATTCTACCGGAAACACGCTTATCTGCCCTTGATTTGCATCACGTGAGCGGAAGTTTCTGTTTGGGAAGGAGCAAGGTTTCACAATATATTCTACCGGAAACACACTTATCTGCCCTTGATTTGCATCACGTGAGCCGAAGTTCCTGTTTGGGAAGGAGCAAGCTTTCACAATATATTCTACCGGAAACACGCTTATCTGCCCTTGATTTTCATCACGTCAGCGGAAGTTCCTGTTTGGGAAGCAACAAGGTCGGGGAACCAATATATTCTACCGGAAACACTTATCTGCCCCTTGATTTTGATCACGTGACCTGGGGTTTCGGTTTGGGAATGGCAGAGGTTCTACAATATATGCCATTGCTTGTGGAACCAATATATTCTACCGGAAACACACTTATCTGCCCTTGATTTGCACCACGTGAGCGGAAGTTTGTTTCGGTTGAGGACAGGTTCGGCAATCAATAAGTTCTACTGGAAATATTTGTCTGCCCTTGATTTGCTTCCCGTTGAGCGGAAGTTTCTGTTTGGGCAGGGTTGATGTTCCGTAATTTATTCTACCTCAAATATACTTATCTGCCCTTGATTTGCATCACGTGACCTGGGGTTTAGGAAGGAGAAATGTTCGGCAATTTATTCTACCTCAAATATACTTGTCTGCCCTTGATTTGCATCACGTTAGCGGAAGATTCTGTTTGGGAAGGAGCAAGGTTCCACAATATATTCTACCGGAAACACTTATCTGCCCTTCATTTTCATCACGTGACCTGGGGTTTCGGTTTTGGAAGGAGAAATGTTCGACAATTTATTCTACCTCAAATGTACTTGTCTGCCCTTGATTTGCATCACGTGAGGGGAAATTTCTGTTTGGGAAGGAGCAAGGTTCCACAATATATTCTACCGGAAACACTTATCTGCCCTTGATTTGCATCACGTGAGCGGAAGTTTCTGTTTGGGAAGGAGCATGGTTTCAGAATATATTCTACCGGAAACACTTATCTGCCCTTGATTTGCATCGGGCGATGTTTCTGTTTGGGAAGGGGAGAGGTTTCACAATATATTCTACCGGAAACACTTATCTGCCCTTGATTTGCATCACGTGAGCGGATGTTTGTTTGGGTTGAGGACAGGTTCGGCAATCAATTAGTTCTACCGGAAATATACTTGTCTGGCCTTGATTTGCTTCACGTTGAGCGGAAGTTTCTGCTTGGGAAGGAAATAGGTTCCACAAATATATTCTTCCTGAAAAATTTATCGGCCCTTTATTTGTACCACGTGACCGGGCGTTTCTCTTTAGGATGGAGACGTTCGGACATTATATTCTACCGGAAACACTTATATGCCCTTGATTTGCATGTTTTGTGAGAAGCAAGGTTCGTCAATTTTATTTCACCGGAAACATACTTGTATGCCGTTCATTTGCATCACGTGAGCGGATGTTTCTGTTTGGTAAGGAGAGAGGTTCGGCAATCAATTTATTCTACCGGAAACATACTTATCTGCCCCTTGCATGAAGTTTGGGAGTTTGGTACAGTTTTATTTCTATGAGAAATATGCATGTTCTCATCTGCCCTTGTATCACCTGACCGGACGTTTCTGTTCGATGGAAGGAGAATCGCACACGTGAGCTTATGCTTAACGACAACATTAAATTAAATATGTGTGAGGGTGACAACGCCGGCTGGAGAACATATCCACTTTACCATGGTTAGCACTGTCCAGTCTTGTGCGTCGTTAAATCTTGATAATAGAGGGAGTTTTGGCCAAAAATCTTAGAAAATCTGTGGTCTTCTGACGTTCAACGACTAGTGGTAAGAGTTCCCCCGTAACCCCCGCTTGAAATGTATTATATTTATTAGGATTATTTCGAGGGTTTAGGGTTAAGTTTAGGGGCAAGAGTTCCTCCCGTTCCCCCATCCCAAATAATATTTATAAATTAATATATGCTGAAATTATTAACAAACCCAACAACAATTACTAGAGAACTCACAAAATGACTAAAAGTCCAAAATTTAAGTTAAGTTTAGGGTTGGGGGAACGGAAGGAACTCTTTCCGGCATAGAATAATTTTAGAAAATACGGAGATTACGGACGGAAATCTCTCCCAGCTCTCAGAAGTCATGCTTAAAAAATTAAATGCGACAGGATTACCATCCAGCAAAGCAACAAAAGTTCTTGTTTACCTACACATGCTGCTCAGAATATTTGCATGATTGCACAAGATACGGCAAAGAAACGTGACATGAGATCAGCGAGTTTAGTTCTACGCCGCACTCAGCAATATTACAGCTATATGTCGGCGGTCGACATGAGATGAAACTTCGACATCGGTTCACTGTGATAAAACAAAAATATGAAAAGTTGAATGCTTTATTAAATGGTTCTGTTTTTAAAACAGTGCATGAAAAATAAAGTATACATTTGATTCAGACTGTCCCGCATTTACACTCTTTCAAACGTAGTTGCCTTGTATGACTGACAAGGGAGTGTTTTAAACATTCAACCTCGGAGAGCATTTAAAGTTTAAAATAATAATCTTTTATGTTTCTGATACTTTTTTTGCACTTTAAGAAAAAAGGAAATAGCAAAACCTGCACTGACAAATAACTTTGCAGGAAAACAAACAAATACAGCAAAAATAACCCCTGATATAAAACTACCAAATTTAATCTTAATTCAGCATTTGAAACGATGCGGAACATTTGTTTATGATATTTTAAATAATTCATGCAACTTACCATCAAATTCGCCCCCAACATTTGGCTGTGGAAAACTGTGCTGTCGATCCTCCATTGTGGCTCTTGGACTTATCCGATCGTTCCTGACCTCGAGTGCGCTTGTGCAAACCAAGCTTGCAGCATTCATCGACTGTGCACGACGTGCATGCGTTCCACGTGATTACGGCCGGTTACATAACCATTCGTAACTACTCGCCACTTTCCGTGACCTACCGGAATGACACGAGTAGTTACGAATGTTACATAACGCGCTTGTCAAAGCTGACGGGAAAGGTTGCAGACGAGATTGTTTTGCCAAAATGGTATGATGCAACTTTTTATGATCGATTCAGAAGAGAACATTTTTTAAATATTACCTATTTGGTTTAAGGGCGTGATTTGAATCCAGAGGGTCAACGCTTGCCTCAATTCTCTGTCAAGAATATTCAATTTGGAAACCTTTCACACCGAGAGGGTAGCCCTTCTGTCACTCACACTTCAAATCTATTCTGATCTCCCGAACAAAGCAATGAGTAGAATAAATTAAAGCAGAAAGTGCATCTTAATCAGGATAAATTGGAAGATCAGGATAAATTGGAAGATCAGGACAATGTGAAATTCAAAGAAGTGCTTTTAGATATCATCAATGATGGAGAAATAGTCTTTCTTGTGATGAACTTTTATGAACGCTTCAATAACTGTGTTAAAATAATTATTTCTTCTTCCTACCTTCTATATTGTTGGTGTTGCCACTTTTGTGATAATTCTTTTTAAAATTCGGAGTGGCAACAAACTACACTGTCTACGCTTGTATTATTTCTGACTATCAAATATATTTTTATTAAGAAGAATAAACTTGATTGACCGTTTCAGCTTTTATTTGGTTTTTCATTTTTTTTTACTCACATACGATATTCCTCTTCGTGAAGAAATCCGTGGAAATCCGGGTTAGAATTGATCTTCAGTAATCCATGGTTGTCATGAGGCGACTAACGGGATCGGGTGGTCAGGCACAGGAACCCGTTATCGCTATGTAGGTTAAACACTCTATTTACATATATGACGTATGTGTAGATCTATGGTCTGTGTTTAACTTACATAGCGATAACAGGTCCCTGTGTGGTCAGGGTCCCCGAGATGGTTGACCCATGTCATCGTATCCCAATTGCGTTGATGGATGCTCATGCTGTTCATCACTGGATTGTTTGGTCCAAACTCGATTATTTACAGATTGCCGCCATATAGCTTGAATATTGCCGAGTGCAGCGTAAAATTAAACTCACTCACTCTTCGTGAATACCTCCACAGGTGACGTCAGGAGGACCGACCATCAGCTAATTTTGACCACACAATCGTTATGGAGGATGCATGTTTTTTCCCAAGAAAGTGTCACCATTCTAATACTATTAGCCTTCCGTCCTTTGCCTTTCAAGACAGATGAATTCTCAATCTACTTAAAGTGGTAGCCTAGTGGTTAAAGCGTTCGCTCGTCATGCCGAAGATCCGGGTTCAATTACACACATGTGTACAATGTGTGAAGTCCACTTCTGGTGTCCCCCGCCGTGATATTGCTGGAATATTGCTAAAAGCGCCGTAAAACCCAACTCACTCACTCTACTTAAAGACGTATCATGTTGAAGAGCGTACGTAAAATCTCCACATAATGATGACAATAACCATGCTAATTATGCCGATCCCTTGGCACAGATCAGGGGGCACAGCCCTTCTGACACTCTGGGTAATGCAGAAGGGTGCAGTGTTGGGGAGAGTACATATTCTCGGGATAGTTCTTAGTGGGTTCAACAAGGGATTCCTGGGAGTTCTTACTGTGGGTTCAACAAGGCCCTGACCTGATGATTTACCAGTCTGGGAGAACCTGTCCCATTCACTGTCTGGGCAGGCCTGTAGTTCTATATTTACATCTTGGTATGGAAATTTTGATTTTAACAAGGTCCACAAATGACCTGATGTTGATTATTCTCTCATATTCAAGAGGGGCCTTACCGCTAGTGCTGACTTCGAATCCCACTAAGGGTACAATGTATGAAGCCATTTCTGGTGTTCCCGAATGTTGCTGGAATATTGCTAAAAGCTGCATAAAACCAAACTCTCAGTCTGTCATATTAGAGAACACTTTCATATCATAAAGAAATAGATCCTTGATTTCTTTTGAGCAATATCTGACAAAAGTAATGATTAAAATTCAATAAAGCGATTGATCCATTCCCCACCATGTGTGAAGCCCACTTCAGGTGTCTGATATTGTTGCTAAAATAACATTGCTGAAAGCAGTTTAAAAACCAATTCACTCACTCACCCATTTGTCAATGTTCTCATCACTGGTTGAAATATTTTTGTTTATTGGAATGGTCAACAAATTTTAACAACATGAAGAAAAAAACTGTGGTCATTCTTTTGTTAATATAAAAAAATTCTATGGGAGGGTCAACCGAGGTACCCCACAAATTCAATGTTTAATGATGGTACAATTATTAATTTGAACAGAAACATTGATTTTATGTAGTTTGCATGACATGGGAAGGGGTTGCTATTATCTTTACAATAGCCATGGGACAACATTAGGGTGGGTGACTTGTCAAATCGGTGATTTCTTGCACTTCCTATAAACTATGACACGAAGACCGGGTTTGATTCCCCACATGGGTACAATGTGCAGTTTTTGTTCATCAATTTTGACATATCTTTATGCTGCACTCCTAAAACTATGACCAGTCCCTATTTTTGGATGCTCTACAATGTATCTCTAAGGCTTTCACCTAAGTCTCACTATCATGTGTGACAACAAAAATAAGAAAATGATCAGCTAAACCATGGACATTGTGCCAAGTGATAGCCTTACAAAGGTCTTGTTCTTAGTGATCTGCAGCTGTAACAGTGCTCCCAAAGACCAGAGGCAAACAAAAACAAAAAATAAACATGACTGAAAACGGCAGACATAGCTGATGCCAAATGGATAAAAATATTATTAAAAAATGAAGAGCAAATGCAAGAATAATAACGCAAGAACAAACAGTGTGAATTTATCTTCTACAACTATTTAATTAATAGAAATAATGAAGGCGGAATTACCCTGGTCTCACATATGTGTTCACATAAATATAGTTTGGGTTTAATAAAAATATTAATGAATCTAATATGGAATTTCCTCAATGAGTCAAATGTTGAAAATTTAATACTATGGAATACAAAACTAAATGAAGACAATATGCTGACAGACCAAAACACAATATCATTTTCAGCATCAACAAACATAATACAAATTTAGGAAAGATCCCACCTTCTTTACATTTCAAGGAAGACAATGTTAAATGATATGTTCCAAGGACATATATTTACATTTTTATCACTTTTTTTCAATAGACTCAACCAATTTAATTGTGAGAATTTTACGTTTACTTTTAGCCATCAAAAACCAAAAAATTTAATTATAAATAAATATGAAATGATGAGTATTTGTATTTTGTCACCTGTTTTGTAAAAAGTTAGTTTCACCAACATTGACTTAAGCTTTTCCCTCGAGCACACTTACTCTTTTTAAAAGGAGTGCGTGCATATCATACACACAAAAAACAGTTAACAACCAATTCAAATTACGTATTTGTATTTTGCCCTTTCTGCTTTCACATGTTATTGTGATAAAATTGGAAAGACAAGTACCGGTAGTTTAATGTTTCCATTTAAAAAATAATAATCCACTTTTCAGTGAATTAACCAGAAATTGAAAAACTATAAATTATATATTTATAATATACTCATGGAAACGAATAATGGAACACATGAAAGTACAAGTGTTCCTTTATTTATTTACAGAATTTCACTCACAATGCAATACATACCTTGTGAAGAAACCTGGAAAAGAATAAAGGAACACGTGTACTTTTGTGTGTTCCCTTCAGTATACTTAACCTATCTTTTGATGAATGTACTTAATTTCATTAGAGAGAGCAAGAGAGAAATAGAGGACATGAGAAAAACTGAGGAGAGAAAGAAAGACAAAATTATCTGTAAAAGAAGTAAGTAAACAGGTTTTGATTTACTTTGGAATGTAGGCATTGATAACAATGTAATAAATCTTTCTAATTTTCGCATTTGAACTTCAACATACGGGAAAGACCCTTGAAGAAGAACACAAGCTCCAACGGTAAACAAATGCTTATAGTTATATGAATAACAAACTATCAGCAATGGAATAACTTGTCAAATAATTGTAATTATTAACTAGGAACGAACAAAATAATCTGTATAACACAAACATAAAGTTCAACATCCTGTGACTTCTCCAACCAATTAACATCAACAGCTCTGTTGACATCCTCGATAATCTCCAAGGTATACGTTACGATCACTCTCCACTATACCCTGGATGCATCCACGGCTTGGTCCGATGATTTTATTACCTCCCCGTGTCTGGCTCCGCATTCTCACAGTAGCCAAGCAGCTAAGCCGCCATTACATCCGAGCTTGCCAGTGTCAACAAAGATAGCGGTCGCAGTAGGTTTGTTCGCAGTACCACTCAGATTTTATGAGAAATAATACAGACAAATTGACAGATCTGAAACTTTCAAAAAATATATAGAAGAACTCCTTCCACATCTTTCAGAGTACCCTCTGCATCAATTGTGTGGCCAGGTTTAAACGGTTAGATAATTTAAGAAGCGAAAGTGAGTTGTGATTGGTTCGCTCAACTTCCCAGCGTAGACACCTGATTGGATAAAAAGCCAGCCAAAGGAGGTAATAAAATCATCGGACCAAGCCATGGATGTATCCAGAGTATAGTGGAGAGTGATCGTAACGTATACCCTGGAGATTATCGAGGATGCTCTGTTGAGTGTTGGGCCAGAACATACTGCATGAGTCACGGAACACTTGGATAATTCTGTCTTTGAAAACTTCAACATATTGACAGAATTACTAACTTCTACCAGTTAGTATAAGTCCGAAATTAGCTGTGCATTTGTTAATAAATAATCCGAAAGTAAATATTACCTCAATAAATATAAAACTATAAAAGCTACATGTTAGCCCAAAGATACTTTCCTCTACAATTCATGATGTCATAATACTTATAAGCTAAATTGAACAAACAGCAACATTTGCTTGATATTTGTGTAGTTCTGATCTTGTCCTGAAATGAACTGTTCAAGATATGACAATTTTTCCGCAGGCAAAAGAAGAATAACAACAATAACAGCCTGACCACGACAAACAAGAAAGAAGAAACGTATGTACAGTGACAATCAAATTACTGACAAAACAAGATTATCATCAACAAAACATGACATAATATGCATTACAAACATCGTACATCTGAACAATAATACTTGTATTAATACAATGATCGTGTGGTGTTGAACACTTACAATATTTGGTCATATCACATCAACCTGTACTTAATGGAACCTGACAATCCTATGTCGGAAGATGTTAACAACGATCCACGTTGTATTGTTGGTACAGAGGTGGTGAGGAAGCCCAGTGGTTAAAGCGTTTGCTCTCTAGACCTGGGTTTGATTCCTCACATTAGTACAAATGAAATTATTTCTTGTGTCCCCTGCCATGACATTGCTGGAATATTGTTAAACTAAACTCACTCACTAAAGTATTAACAGAAACAAGCATGGAGCAGACCAACAGAGTTTGACAAGCAAGCAACAAAGCCACAGAGCTTGACCACCCAATCAAACCTTGTTATTTGACAGGCAACAGAAGCTCGAGAACATTCTACACTCAAAGGTACAAACAAACTGGGTAAACACATGGAAAGTATCTCGTGTCCAGGACTAGAATAATAGCTATGACAAACCATGCATTCCCTAAATGAGAGTCTCAGATTTCCTTGGATGTTTGAAACACAATCTCCATGTCTGTCACACCGTCTCAATGACATAGACAACCTTTCCACATTCTTGGTTGGTCACAACATCTCTATGTCTGATACATCATTTCCATGTCCTCGCACTCCGTGTTGTACGCACCTTCTCCACGTCGTACCTATTATCTCCACGTCGTAGACATTGTCTCCACGTCATGCACATTGTCTCCATGTCAGACACATTGTCTCCATGTCATGCACATTGTCTCCATGTCAGACACATTGTCTCCATGTCAGACACATTGTCTCCACGTCATGCACATTGTCTCCACGTCAGACATATTGTCTCCATGTCAGACACATTGTCTCCACGTCATGCACATTGTCTCCACGTCATACACATTGTCTCCATGTCAGACACATCGTCTCCGTTTCATACACACTGCCTCCATGTTGGACATACCTTCTCAATGTTGGACATTCCTTCTCTGTCAGACACACTTTCTCTATGCCAGACACACCTTCTCTATGTCAGACACACCTTCTCCATGTTGGACACACCTTCTCTATGTCAGACACACCTTCTCCATGTCAGACACACCTTCTCTATGTTGGACACACCTTTTCCATGTTGGACACACCTTCTCTACATCAGACACCTCCATGTCGGACACACCTTCTCCATGTCAGACACACCTTCTCTACATCAGAAAAACCTCCATGTCGGACACACCTCCATATTGGACACACCTCTATGTCAGACACACCTTCATGTTGGACACACCTTCTCTACATCAGACACACATCCATGTCGGACACACCTTCTCCATGTTGGACACACCTTCTCTACATCAGACACACCTCCATGTTGGACACACCTTCTCCATGTCAGACACACTTACTTTATGTTGGACACACCTTCTCTATGTAAGACACACCTTCTCCATGTCAGACACACCTTCTCAAGGCCAGAAACACCCTCTCTACATCAGACACACCCTCTCCATGTCAAACACACTTTCTCCATGTCAGACACACCCTCTTTTTGTCAGACACACCCTCTCCATGTCAGACACACCCTATTCAAGTAAGACACACCTTCTCCATGTCAGACACACCCTATCCATGTAAGACACACCCTATCCATGTAAGACACACCTTCTCTATGTCAGACACACCCTATCCACGTAAGACACACGATCTCTGTCTTGGACACTATGTCAGACATAATTTTTTTATGCAATTTAAGGCAGTGGTGACATGACTTGCGTAATGACCTTTTGCAAGTTGTATACGGAATGCAATTGTTGAAACAATGACGATTGGCGTGTGTTTATACATGTCCATAACCACGATCCTGAACTCAGACGATGACTTCAGACAAATGGGGGTCTGTTAAACAGAGCTTCACCATCAACAACATGCTCACAGATGTGACAGATCGTCCAGTACATGAACGATGATTAATTTGCAAAATATTCAAAAGTGTATCATATAAACATTAAAAATACTTCTCATAAAAATGTGCACCATATCAACACAAAGGCATAGTAAAAAATATTTCAACCTGTTTCAACATTTATATATAAGATACAAAATATAGTTGAATGATTATTGCATAGTATATTGAGTAGCTGTCATGATTATCGATTCCGCAAGTTTTCGTTGTCTAAATAAATCCTTTAAAGAAATAACCTACTCATACCTATGAGGTGAGACAGTTTGCGTCATTATGCAAGAGGATTATCAGGAAAAATCACTGTCAACCGCTAGATGTATTTCTTTGACAACACTGACCGTAGATAAGTGGTCCATTATCGTGAATTTTATTTTGGAGAGGAATATGAGTTGTGTTTCTCTTTTTCATGGATTTTCAAGTTTGTTCTATTAAATCATGTTTTCTAAGTTTCTTCAAAACATAAATATAAACAATTTTGTTCAGATTAAGAACAGTTTCAGGGGTGGAAATAAAATTGCTTGTGTACACTGTTACAGTGGCACATGCAAAATCACTTGCCCTGATAATTGTTCCTCTATACCGGCTGATTTTCTTGTTAATTTTTTAAATAAACAACATCATTAATATTGGGAGTTATATAATCATCTCATCCTTCAGGGTACCCACTCTCTGCTGGGTACAGAGAGATATAATTGTAACAGTCACTTGTTGTATCTAAGGAGATACTAGTACCATAAGTACTACATATGCCTTTTGCAGAACTAAACAAGAGTCATCAGAAGATGACAAATCCCCCCGGCAAATCAACTGACAGTTACTTAAAGTCCAACTTGATTTTTTTTGACTAAGTCTAAATTGTTTCCATGAAAGTTATGAAATATAAAAATGCCAAAAATCTCCAAATAGCAAAAGGCAATAGTTCAAGATCTGTTTGATATATCTGTCATGTCTTGTAGAAAGATACTGAACGGTTTTTGAATTGTGATCCGGAACGAAAACCACCATTCCCTTTTGAGACTAAGTTCAAATCGTTTCCATAAAAATAAAAATGACAAAAAATCTGCAAATAGAAAAAGGCGCCACTTTAGGTTCTGTTTCATATATCTACCAAGTCTTGCAGAAAGATATTGAACGGTTTCCGAGTTGTGCTCCGGAAACGAAGCTCACCCCTCTCTTTTGAGACTATGTCCGAAACGTTACCATGGAAACCAAGAAAAATAAAAATGACATAAATCTGTAAATAGCAAAATGCACCACTTTGGGATCTGCCTCACATATCTGCCAAGTTTTGCTAAGAGATATTAAGAAGTTTATGAGTTGTGCTCCGGAAACGAAGGTCACCCCTCCCTTTTGAGCCTAAGTCCGAATCGTTTCCATGAAAACCGAGAAAATAATAACTCAAAAATCTGTAAGTAGCAAAAGGCACCACTTTAGGTTCGGTATATTATATCTACAAAGTTTTGCAGAAAAATATTGAACGGTTTTTGAGTTATGCTCCGGAAACGAAGCCCACCCCTCCCTTTAAGACTAAGTCCAAAACGTTTTTATGGAAACCGAGAAAAATAAAAATGACGAAAATCTGTAAATAGCAAAAGGCACCACTGTAGGTTCTGTTTGATATATCTACCAATTTTTGTTGAAAAATATTGAAAGTTTTTTGAGTTATGCTCCGGAAACAAAATGATTACGGAAGGACAGACGGACAAGGCGTCGACTATATCCCCCCACATTACATGCCGTGGGGAAAACAACACTCCAGCTATATGGCAGTCGGTAGATAATTGAATCTCAACCAAACAATCCAGTAATCGACAGTATCGATCTACGCAATTGGGATACGATGACATGTGTCAACCAAGTCAGTGAGCCTGACCACCAGATCCCTTTAGGCTTCCCTTACGACGAGACCAACATCTATTAACTTAATTTGTGACCTATAGCTGAAAACACAGCAACCTGTATTTGTTGGCGGTAAATATAGATAAAAATAGGTGGTAAATCTTCATATAAGATGATTGGTAAATATAGATTAATATGTTCGGTAAATATAGACATAAGATTAATGACGGCTGGTGAATCCAGATTAAAGATGAGAGGTAAGTCAAGAATAAAGATATAATCTAGCGGTTGACTGACTTTACAGATAATCTGTCATTTATGACCAAAATAAGACGTAATATTTGTTATAAAACTAACATTTCGTGTCCAATAGGAAAAACAGACATATACAAAAGTATTCTATAAAAATAACCTATTTAACATTTGTAAGTATTAGATTTAAGACAGAAACTGATTCAACAGAATTTCAATCTGATGATGATTCAGCAGTTTCTGTTAAGTTGAGGACACATATGAAACAAATATTGGAAAATACATATTTGATTTCTCATTCCTAATCACTCGGAAATGAACACACACCTGTTTGAAAGTATATTCACCTTGTTCATATTATCAGTACGATAAACCAAAATCAAAATATTTTTTCTGGAAATAAGTCAACAGGCATCCCTAAGATATAACATGTACATATATCTACAGACATATAATATTCAAATATTTGAATATTCAAAATCTCTTGAAAAACAGAATCTCAAAATAACAGTTTAACTCAGTGCAGGATTTTCGTGTCAAGGAAAAGATTTATCATCCAAAACAGCTTTGAAATGGATTTTGTGAAACAGCTTTCCACAGGTGAAATGGATTTTGTGACATCAAATGTGGCCTCTTCCAGGTGTTAACACTGTCATGAAATTGCATCATAATGCATTGGAGACCTTTGTGACATTACCAGTTGCAATCACATCACAATCAAATGACATCACTAATCTCTCTGCCACTGACGCTGCAGGGCTTGATATAAGGAAATAAAACGACTTGCACCTTGTGCAACCTTAGATAATAACCTTCTTGCACCACACAAAAACAGACAGCACCTGCTTCTCAATATAAATTACATACAATGCTTGAGTTTTGGTATTGGTGGTTTAGAAACAATATTATTATGGGTGCAAGTTGGTGTAAATATGAGCTTGCGTACATTGAGCCTTGAGCTGCTTGACGGTAGCTGTTCTCTTGACACTTAGACACTGCCCATTATTAGTTACGAATTTTAAAACTTAGATCATTATTCCGGATGATAACAGAATCTTTCCCTTGTGAAAACAATGATAAGGAACATGATTTCGTATCCGGCAAGGTTAATCTTAGTAGAAAGAACAATATTTATGGAGCAATTTCTTCATTGCAACAGATGCAAGTGAGCTTTTGCTTGAAAACAGTATTAGCATCTACACTGAAACGTCATATCTATTGTAATAAAGAAGTTGTCTATCCATAAAAATTGTGCCGCTCCATCATGCCAGCTTCTACATGTCACTAAGAATATCTAATTGGATACATCTTTTCAGTAGTGAAATCTGTGCTCTTTGTGGTCCCAACATCCTTACTTGGATATAACAACAATTATCAGGGAATGTGTGTAGATACTGAAACCTCATGAACAGGGCACCTATATTCTCATAGGAATGTGACATTCCAAAAATATACAGCATATTTTTGAGGGGAGATATACATTTTTGGTGAGACTTGCGGCCTGTGATAATTCAGTCTATCTTGACATTACCAGAAGAAAATAATGTCAAAACTGGAATCAAAAGTCTGTAATACTGGAATCCTCACAAAGAACGACCAGCACCACTACTGATAGTCTGTCAATTAGCAGCATCTAGTTCGCCATGAGATGAATGTAAAAGTTGATGCTCGTTGTCCAACTCTTTTCCAAAGCTTCTCGGGAATTTGGTCTGGAAGTGGGCCTTTGCTTCCTCGTCGGTGAGATCTGGTTTGAGAGTTTCCCGCAGGTAGTCCACGTCTTTGGTGCAGGTGAGCTGCGGTATCCCTGACGACAGCATCATGAGGAAGAGGGAGAAGAGGAGGGGAGCTTTCTTCCTGAGGATCAGATATGCTTTCTCACAGGTGCTCTGGAACCTGGAAAAGTGCACAACGAGGAAATTATTCTTTTTCACGTAATACACATCAGCTATTTCTTCAAAGGATACCACTAAGATCTTGGTTAGAACTGGTCTTCAGTAACCTGTGCACGTCTTCGAATTCCAATTGCGTAGATTGATGCTCATGCTGTTGATCACTGGATTGTGTGGTCCAGACTCGATTATTTACAGATAGCCGCCATATAGCTGGAATATTGCTGAGCAGGGCATTAAACAATAAACAAACAAACTACAAAGGAATTTATTATTATATTCGAAATACTAAAGATAGTACAGTCATCCCTCGCCATAACGCGGGTCTTGGGGTCCATGGATCACCCCCCGCGTTATTAGACACCTGCGTTATAGTAACTATTACATAACGCAGAACAAAGGCCAAGTAAAATCGTATTTTCCATGGACATAACAAAACTGCTATTTTGTGTATTGTGCCCAGTCAAAACTATATCGTATTGTTTGGAGGTGAAAAAAACCCAAACTTTGTAAATGACAATAGATGTACCGGTATGTACAGGAACCTTGCAATCAAACATCACAAGACATGATTGTTGTTCCTGTAATGCTACCTGTTATTCAACTAAGCCGGAAATAGCAATCAGCTGGGTGCAGATCAATGTTTTGGTCCAATGTACCGGTGATTCAGTTAAAAACGATCCGAAAATATGACATCAAATAATTTCTATTCCATAATCAGAATAATTTATATGTCAAGCAGTTATTCTAACAGAGATATTATATATTGCTATTGTATAAGTACCTTACAACCAGAAATTATTGAGAATTTAAAGATTGTAACTTTTTATATTTTTTTCACTCATTACTCAAGTTTATTGTGAATATAAGCAGAACATAACTCCAGATTCAAAGACAGGTGAACAGTTAGTATTTTGTCAAGTCACCATGGGCAGCAATGCAGGCTTCAATGCGGCGGGGCATACTACTGATCAAAGAAGTTAGAAAGTCGTGGTCCATGCTGTCCCAATATCGGACCACCTCTTCTTTCATTTCAGCAATATTTGTCAGATTTTTCTTATTGACACTTTCCTTCATAAGTCCCCAAACATTTTCTATTGGATTAAGGTCAGGGCTATAGCTTGGCCAATCTAATAATGTCATATTTTGGGTCCGAAACCAGGCCTGTGAATGCTTTGAACGATGTTTTGGGTCGTTGTCCTGCTGGAAAATCCAAACATTTCCATAGAACACGTGAGCAGATGGCAGTAAATGTCCCTCAAGAATATCTGTGCACCGCTCACTGTTCATATTCCCTTCAAATACACAGAGGGGCGTTGCCCCTAACACAGATATGCCACCCCACACGTTAAATTTCGGACTGTACTTTGGGAGCTGATACAAAGGTTTTTCAGTTTGTTTGGTCCAGAATTTCAGTGTATTAGGAAACAGCCACACAGAACTTTCATCTGAGAAAATCACATTGTCCCAGTTAAAATTTCTATGCTGTAAGCACCAGTTCAACCTTCACTCCTTTTGTTCAGATTTCATGATCGGTGATGGAATTCCTCAACTTTTCTGCCAACCCATTGCATGCAGCTCAGTTCTAATTGTCTCCTTAAAGACAGCCACAGTTCCTCTATCAATCATATCCAGCCTTAAGTTTTCTAAACTCCTTCGTTTGTTTTCAGAAACAAGAATACCAAGCCGCCCCCTGTCACCGACAGTCAATTTTATGGCCCTACCTGCGCCTCCCTGGTGCTCAATGCCATATCCATTTGCAATATTTTTCAGAACACGATAAACAGTGGACAAAGGGATGCCTGTTCTACTTGAAATCACTTTAGCTGATCTGATGTCCTTGTTATAATACTCTAAAATCAACTTCCTCTTCTCTAAATCATCCATACTGAGGATCACTGAAAATGTCGTCTGCTTGCAAGTAAACAAAGGGGGATAATTCTTCACAAACTAATGAAAAAGGATTAACAGAGTTGTCTCTCTTGAATGATACCAAGCAATTGATATACTAGAAATCCAATTAAACATATTCCTAAAATTCTCAATAATTTCTGGTCATACTATATAATGCATGTTTTCTATGAACATATTTGACATAATAATTGTCATTGCTAAGCACTTTGGGTTACTTGGCTGGATACATGTTACGTAGGAGACAGTTTGACAAGTCGCCGCTGACTTCACGCGGTTCGTGCCACTTTGATTGTAAAAACAAAATGTTGGCAATTAATTGTCAAATATGACTTCAATGAGTCAATAACGCGGGTCTTGGGGTCAATGGATGACGAGGCTGTAATCTGTTCATGATTGCTGACAAAAATGTGAAATTGGTGCTATTGTGGTAGGCGTGAAGAACAGACCCTCATGAATGTGGTAAGCGGACGTTGTATGGAATGAGGTAATGCCATTTCACTCACGGTTTCTCCGTTGTTACTGTAAACAGTTTTAATGAAGGAAAATGGGATTGAATTTAATCAAATAAAATGTGTTTTCTGACATCATACATTCTCGGATGGCGGTGTTTACCCACGCATTTATGCGGTGTGTTGCATCACAGCAAACGTTGTAAGTACTCGGCTGATGGTATTTCTTTATGATAAAGTTATTACGATGTTTCGCTGTTCATCTATTATTATTGAAAAAAAACTGCATGTATTAAGCATGTATTAATTGCAATCCGCACTGAATTTCACTAGTTTACAATGTGATTAACCAGAGCTCAACAGCGGATTTGTTGATGTGCTATTTTCGATGACGTGAATATGTGTGATCACTGGGCAACTTTTTTTATGGGAGCCACGGATAACCCAACGGTTTAAATGAATCCGTGGTATCGTGAAGAGCATTATTGCAAGGGATGACTGTATACATGCGGAATATATTATGTCCAATACTGAAAGAATCAGAGAGGAAGTATTTGTCTTCACTCGTGGGAGGTGGGGTGGCCTAGTGGCTAACATGTTTGCCTGTTATACTTAAGACCCAGGTTCCATCCCCCACATGGGTACAATGTGTAAAGCATGTTTCTAGTATCCCCTGCTATGATATTGCTGGGATATAGTTAACAGAGGTGTAAAACAACTCACTCACTCACTAACAATGACTTTAAACATATCCCATTCAAAAGAAAAAACACAGAGATACATCTGGGAAAGCCATGTTTCATGTGTACCACTAGCTGAAGGGCGGTGGGATAGGTCATACGGTGTATAATGTTGAGTTCAAAGTTCCAGCTATAATGGGATGTCGTTTGGTTTAATGCGGTCTGGGATCAAAACCCTGAACTTCTGCTCCAGGCAGACACTCCATCCACTGGACTAGAGAGACTGTCATGTGTAAGGTGAGGTGAGGTGAGGTGAAATTGGGTTTAACGTTGTGCTTGAGTATATTTCGCTCATATGAAGACGTGCATGCGTGTGTATAAGTATGTGTGGCTGCTTGTACTAGCTCAGACTTAAGCTGGTTTTATAGTGCTAGCCCACTGAAATACCATGCCGCAGTGAAGCATGAATACCCCACTCAGACACAGTATACTGACTCTGAGCCGACCAGTCCTTGTTGTACCCATTAATGCCGAGCGCCAGGCAGGGACCAACAAGTACCATACTTTTACGTCTTTTGGTATGACGCAGTCGGGGATCGAACCCGCGACCTTCCGCTCTCTGGGCGGACGCTCTAACCACTACACCACGGAGGCAGCCGTCATGTGTAAGGAGGTCACCAAGAGGTAATAACATACAGTAATACACATAGCAAATGTCTGATACAGATTGTTCTCCCTCTAAACCAGTGATAGCATGAGTAGCAATCTATTTTGTTAGGATCAGACCACAGTAAGTCAGGTCATAAGTTACAACCAGCTAATCGTTCTGACAAGCTCAAGGACCTATTCCACCTTCAGACAGCACATTCCCAAGGTCACCTCATGAGAGGTCATGGTGCATAGCTGGGGACATATGTCACACACAACCGATCTTACCTTTTGAAGTTTTCAGAGTTGTTGCTCTTGCCTTTCTGAATGACATATACGAAATGTGTTGTAAGGACGAAGGGGACACGCTCTCGCTTCACGCCAAACTTGCTCTTGAAGTTGCCCAAGAAATGGCCAAAATCAATGTGGAATAACTGAAAGAAAAATTAAGCATCAATTATTTTGTCAGACAGGAGGGTGGTAAGCAATGTCTTGGATATCGTAGCTGCCTGTACATAAAGATTGGACTCAAAACCAAAGATTCCATGTGCGAAATACGCATAATATTGACCTTAAATCTCCACATCATCATGATCTTCACCCAGTGTTGACTGTGTTAGGACCTGTGCACTAGGGGTGAAATGATATACTGCTGTATTTTGCCTCCGGTTCGGTATACCGGCAATCCAAAAATTCAGTATTTTTTGTTTTGTGTGTGTGTGTGTGTCGTGTGTGCGTGCGTGCGTGCATGCGTGTGTGTGTGTAGGGGTGTGCACCTCACCATTTTGTCCTGAAAGTTTGTTCAATGACCATTGAAACTCGGGTGAAAATGAAGTGTACATCCCCCCCTTTTCTCAATAGTGTGCATCCACCCGTGGAAGGCCTTGTACCGCAATACGTACTGTACCGTGGTAAGAGCGTACCATGCTATGAGCCAGGGTGCTGTTGTACAAAGCGATCTTAGTGCTAAGGTGACTGTAACTCCCATACCTTAACACAGGCTTACAACAGTCATAGTGTTAAGCTTGTGTTTTTCAACTGCACCCAGGTCTCTGAGCCTGATAACGTGATGCTAAGGAAACCTTTTTTTCTTTTTAACAGTACAATACTCCAGGGCCTAGATTTTCGAAGGTCTCGTACAGTCGTAAGTGCCATACATTATCATTAACTTTCGACTATCTTAGCGCTAAGAGAGCTTCGAAAATCTCGGCCCTGGTATATTATGGCTACCTGTAGTTGAGCTCGGACCAGACAAACCAGTGATGGATAGTGATCCATGCTGTCGGGGTGCGATAAGACACTATCATTAATTCACACTACCAATACATTTGGTCACCTCTCACCATCAAAATGTAACATATGTTACATTTGGGATTACACTTTCTCAGTAAAGTACAGTCTAGTACTGTTGTTAGGCTGAGACCCATCCGGAATTTGAACCCTCACTCAGAATCAAGCACCTAATTGCCAACACAAAAACTCAGCAATCTAACCCACTCAGCCACCATGGCTTCTACAAAAATGGAAGTCAGACAACTGGTCGTTTAGATCATATACTGTGCATACCCCTCTGAGACGTGCAGCCACAGGTTTCTTAGGAGTGAGTGAATTTAGTTTTACACCGCACTCAGCAATATTCCAGCTATATGGCTGCGGTCTATAAATAATCGAGTCTGGACCAGACAATCCAGTGATCACCAGCATGAGTATCGATCTATGCAACTGAGATACAAAGACACGTGTCAACCAAGTCAGTGAGCCTGACAACCCGATCCCGTTAGTCGGCTCTTACGGCAAGCATCGGTTACTGAACGCTCATTCTAACCTGGACCTTCACAGGTAGGTTTCTTAGGACCTATTCAAACTCAGAATTGCTTCAGGACCTACATGAATCTGCTCTTACAAGCACCAGAAACTGGACCTAAACCAAGCTCCCTGATGGTTGGAGATGAGGCTTGCTTCCTACCTGTCCTGACTGTTTGAGCATGATGTTGTCGTTGTGTCTGTCCCCGATGCCCAGGACATAAGTGGCGACACAGTACCCTGCACACGAGAGGATGAACTCCTCCACAGCTTCGTCCAGTCTGAAACAAACACAACGCTGTCAGTGACTTCTCAAAAATCAATTCTAACCCCGATCTGCACAGGTACCTTTAAATAGAAAACGAAATGATAATGGTGATGGTTGTGTCGTACACCTCTGCACAACTGACCTCCCAGAATCAAACAAATGAGACTTACGATTCTTGAGTCTTATGATGATGTTTGAGCCATTCAAATACTGCTTTCTTGTCAAACGCTCCTCTGTTGAACCATTTCTGTATATTGGCGATTGTCTGAGATTGGCCCACTGCCTCAATCACGCCCTGTTCTTGACCTGTTGCTAAGCAACGGTATACATTCATCCTGCGCAAAGAAAATGCATTACATGTGAATAAAAGAGTAAATAAATAAACTAAATACAGTTTTATATTCTGAATATAATACCGAAGAACTGACTTCAATATGTTTTCAGTTTCTGGAGGTCTTTCCAATCAGGAAACAACATTCCATCAGTGAGTGTGGGCAAAATTGTTTTAAATGTAAAGTGAGTGAGTTTAGTTTTATGCCGCTTTTAGCAATAGTCCAGCAATATCACGGCAGGGGACACCAGAATGGGCTTCACACATTGTATCCACATGGGGAAGCAAACCCAGGTCTTAGGTGCGATGAGTGAAAGCATTAACCACAACACTACCCCATCGCCCACAAAATGTAAAAAAATATGAACGAAAATAATACTGCTTCATTAGCTCATCCAAAGCCACAGAATCACTTGCAATGTCTATACCACTGGAAGAGGTGAGGTGAGGTGAAATTGGGTTTAACGTCGTGCTTGAGAATATTTCGCTCATATGACGACTTGCATGCGTGTGTATGTGTATGTGCGGCTGCTTGTACTAGCCCAGGCTTAAGCTGGTTTTATAGTGCTAGCTCACTGAGATACCATGCCGCAGTGAAGCATGAATATCCCTCTCAGACACAGTATACTGACTCCAAGCCGACCAGTTCTTGTTGTACCCATTAATGCCGAGCGCCAGGCAGGGACCAACAAGTACCATATTTTAACGTTCTTTTGGTATGACGCGGTCAGGGATCGAACCCGCAACTTGCTCTCCGGGCGGACGCTCTAACCACTACAACACGAAGGTGGTCACCACTGGAAGAGTTCAAGGACAGATTAAGGTCAAGGTTACCTGAGGTCAAGGCCTTCTGACTGCCAAATGTTGTCCATGATCTCCAGCATCTGCAGCGTCAACATGTCCTGTCGGAGATCTGTATAAAACATCATCACGTAGGGCATCAACTTACATAGTCACTGTTTACTGTCACCTTGAAAATTCTAACTGTTGCAACTCTAACACAAAAGGTTTTTTGTTTTATTTCATGGTGACACAAACCTGAAAACTTATCACTGACCAGCTATACCTCAACACACAGCAAATGGGACATGCTCACTGATCTACACCCAGTTTGTTGGTTGGTTTGCTGTTTGGTGGTCAACTCCGCACACTTAGCAATATTCCAGCTATATGGCAGCAGTCTGTACATACGTAATCATGTCTGGGCCACACAATCTAGTGATCGACAATATGAGCATTGATCTATGCAACTGGGATACGATGACATGTGTGTCAACAAAGTTGAATGAGTGAGTTTAGATTTATGCCACTTTTTGCGATATTCCAGCAATATCACAACGGGGGACACCAGAAATGGGCTTCGTACAGCGTACCCATGTGGGGAATTGAACCCTGGTCTTTGGCATGACGAGCGAACGCTTTAACCATTCGGCTACCCCACCGCCCCCAAAGAAAACTTAAACATGGATTCATGGAGAACATATGACAGAAAATATTATCATAGAGTCAGAGAACACAGATGTCCAAGCAGAACAGTATTAGCACAGGACAAAGATATCCAAAATATACAAGATCTCCAGCTAACTTACCATCTCCGTTCTTGTATATCAGGGACACGTCTTGACCCAGGTCATCCTTCCACACCAACCACAGCGGCCGCTTCTTTGACTTCATGAACTTGCACTTGTCTATGCTGAAAATAAACGTTACAACTGATTAAAACTATGATTTCAGCCACTCTTAGCAGCAAAAATGGGCTTCACACATTATACCAATGTGGACAAAGAACCAGCGGTGTGACTAGTTCAAGGTCCTGAACCGGTACCGGTACCATCTTTTAATGTGCTTTGACTGAACAACTGAAGTTGGGGGTCTTTTCTAACCAGGAATCTCTACAGGGAGACGAGCCTGGGATGCTGGGGTCTTTTCTAACCAGGAATCCCTACAGGGAGACAAGCCTGGGATGCTGGGGTCTTTTCTAACCAGGAATCTCTACAGGGAGACGAGCCTGGGATGCTGGGATCTTTTCTAACCAGGAATCCCTACATGGAGACAAGCCTGGGAAGTTGGGGGTCTTTTCTAACCAGGAATCTCTACATGGACAAGCCTGGGATGCAAGCCTGGGGTCTTTCTAACCAGGAATCTCTACAGGGAGACAAGCCCGGGAAGTTGGGGGTCTTTTCTATGCTGGGATCTTCTTTTCTAACCAGGAATCCCTACAGGGAGACAAGCCTGGGGACTTTTCTTACCAGGAATCTCTACAGGGGACGAGCCTGGGATGCTGGGGTCTTTTCTAACCAGGAATCCCTACAGGGAGACAAGCCTGGGATGCTGGGGTCTTTTCTAACCAGGAATCCCTACATGGAGACAAGCCTGGGAAGTTGGGGGTCTTTTCTAACCAGGAATCTCTACAGAGAGACAAGCCTGGGAAGTTGGGGGTCTTTTCTAACCAGGAATCTCTACAGGGAGACAAGCCCGGGATGCTGGGGGTCTTTTCTAACCAGGAATCTCTACAGAGAGACAAGCCCGGGAAGTTGGGGGTCTTTTCTAACCAGGAATCCCTACAGGGAGACAAGCATAGGCTGCTTGGGATCAATATTTACCCATGATAACCACTGGATTAGCATCAGAATAAGGAGTGACTTACGCCAGACTTCTGAGCCTGAAGAGTGGAGACAGAGGGCTGCACAGATTGGAGAGGATGTCCTGGTAGGTCTTTTGTTGGAGTACAGCTTGCATGTCCTTCTTTGCTTGCTCATGGGACTTCTGAAACAGCAAGTGAGAGAGTGAGTGGGTGAGTGAGAGAGTGAGAAAGTGAGTTTGTATAATTTCATTTATCATAGTGGAAATTGTATTTGTAACTTTTACATTTTGTATCCCAGTCTGATTGTATATAACTTCCAAAATGGACTCTTGTGCAACCATTTTGAAAATTTTGACAGCTATGACAGATATTGAAACAGCAAGGTTGCTGAAAGAACCAGCAGAATACTGAAAATCTGACAAAAAATATCTGGGATTGACACTCATGCAGTAAGTGAGTGAGTGAGTGAGCTAGTTTAGTGTAACGCCGCATTGAGCAATATTCCAGCATGCCAGGGACACCAGAATGGGCTTCACACTCTGTACCCATGTGGGGAATTGAACCCGGGTCTTTGGTGTAACAAGTGAACACTTTAACCACTAGGCTACTCCACCGCCCCACATGCAGTTAGGATACTGAAGGCTGTCATCAGCTATCTCTGACTGACCTGGTCGCCCATGTTGTATCGCTCACTCTTGATCAACCCGTTGACGATGTCCAGTTTGCCGAGGGCTTCCTGCTGCTTGTGTAGCGCCATCATGTGTTCGCCGCTCGCCACCAGGTACACTTCCAGGATCAGCCGGTACTGTACGCTCACGTACGGGTTGTTCATCTCCGACCTGACAACATGATAGTTGGGGAGTCAGACAACTGATAATACTTCCTGCATGTGTCTCCCCATCATAGTGAGTAAGTGAGTTTAGTTTTATGCCGCACTCAGTAATATTCCAGCTATATGGTGGCGGTCTGTCAATAGTCAATATTCAGCTCCTAAGTCTGCAGCAAATGTCAGAAATAAATCCCTGATTGAAAAGTTCATATACACGTGTAGTTTTGTCATTATCTGTTAGAAGTCGTAACTTTAATTGACAACAGAAACAATAAAGGTGAAGAGGCTTTTGTCATAGCTTCTCATTGTCACAATAAAAGCATTGCTGTAACACAACTGTTAAGATAACTCTGAAATTAAGGAAAAAGGAAAAAAACAACACACAAAATATTTTGCCTAGGTCTGAATCCTAAAATCAAAGGCTGTGGTGTAACCATAGTCATGGAAAATCAGCAAGGGGACACAACTCTGCACATCAAATTACTATTCTTTAAATGACTGGGTCACCAGCACACTATAGGGCTGGCTATTGATAAAGATCATGCTAATCGTTAACTCAACATCGATCTATCATTGATCAGAGAAGTAACTTTGAGCACAAATGCCAAAACAAAATCTGAAAGAAATGAATATATTTAACACAACTCATGTTTATGCATGGATTACTAACAAAACAGAATCCTGAACATTTGGAAGCAGTCCATGAATAAAAACTTATACAAACCTGTAGAGGTTATGAATTCTTTGAAGAAAGTGCTCCTTGGGGTATATATAAGCATTTAAATGTCCATTTTAAATCCGACGACAGTTGTAACTATATTTTTTAATAAAATATTTACAAAACAAAAAACTCGTTTTGTCTTATGAGACCACCTGTACAGGGCCCCACCGGACCCCCCTACAGCCAAGAGCAGGTAACTCTCGCCATCTACCTCGTACCTCACTTTTCATGCTGTCGTTCTGTTGAATAGATGTGCATGGTGTTCGTTACGAGTTTTTTGTTTTGTAAATATTTTATTGAAAAATATAGTTACAACTGTCGTAGGATTTAAAATGGACATTTAAAAGCTTATATGTACCCCAAGGAGGACTTCTTCTGAAAAAGAACTAACTTTGTGTATTGTGCGAGTAAATTAAATCGTTATTCCTTCACAAAAGTTTATATACGATACAATCAATGACACTATTTTCACAATCAATAGTCCTTAATTATTTTCCTTATCAACAATATTTCCGCTTATCGATCTTTTAAGCCAGCCCTAGTCCACTACCAAATGAAAAGAAACAGAATTTGTCCTTGCAAGCTGCAACAAAACCCCAAATAAAGAGATCAACAGAAGACAATGTGAACAGCATACTTGAGCAGCCAGAAGAGTTGATGTCCAATGTGCTGGTTGCCAAGTGCTCTAGTGAGTAGGAACTCCACCAGGGGGCAGCACAGGTGAGTCTCGTACTTCAACGCCTGCACCAGCTGCAGCAGGTAGCGGGACAACTCATCATCACTGAACCTGTCAACAAGGTCATTACCAACATAACACACTAACAGAGCACATTGTTACAGGACATCTGAGGGTCTTTCAAACCATGTGTTTAGGCTGCCTTTGAATTCTTGCAAGTAACAAGCTCCACACTTGCTGAGTGAGTGAGTTTGGTTTTATGCCACTTTTAGCAATTTTCCAGCAATATCACATTGGGCTTCACACACTGTACCCATGTGGGGAATCAAACCTGGGTCTCCCTCTGATGGACAAGCAAATGTTTTAAACACTAGTACTCCATCACCCCCAGGCTTGCTGAGGATTAGTGAAAATCTAGTCTGTCTTAGGCTCATTATTATTCATCACACTGCTATACTGTGTCTAACAAACCCTAGTAGAAGGTCACGTCAGCTAACCTTTGAGCGACCTATGACCATCCAATCAAAATCGAGATGGCTGAACAGATTTAACCAATCAGACAACGACTACTTGTTAGGTAGTCTGTCTCACAGTCCCTGAACCACATTATTTTCCCTACTGCCAAGCCCTATCTGCAGTGCTAGCCCTAAATGAAGCAAGTCTAGATTTCCCCAGGTTCTGAATCTCTGGTCTCCCTGAGGCTCCTTTTCAATTTAAATGGGTTTGTTTTCACTTTCAAAATTATATATATTCAGAGACTAAGCGTTAGTCTAGTGAAAATACAGTGAAAATTGCATCAAGCAGCATTTCAGATGCTAATTGTGAGTCATGCATCGATTTCACCACAAATTAAAACTGAACAGTAATAACAGAAAAGTAAAAAAATATTAAGCAATTTTCTTCAAATACTTCTGTGTATGTGTTAAATATCATGGTATGACCGATTAATTGCAGCAATATGAGAAACAAACAGATAATTCTTAACTCAGACTCTCATTTTCAGAGGAAATAATTTGATACAAAATGGTGTTTGAATGCACAGCTAGGACTCCAAACTGCCCCAACCAAGTCCCACATCAAAACATGTGTTTGATAATGATTGAAACTCACGTGTCTTTGTTATCGAGACAACTAACAGCGAACTTGCGAATGTTTTTGTCTGGGTAATTGAAGTCCAGGAGTTGAAGTGCAAAGTCCACATCCAGTTTAGGCCAGGTCTGGAGCACTGCGATCATCTGACAACCGGAGGACATCAACAGATGCTTTTTACATTTATATATATTTATGGATTCAACTGATAAGAGAATCATAAAATGAAATGTTTTCTTCGCCCAACTGCTAAATCTTGAATGGAAAATAAACACAAAACATACCACAAAAAAGTCAAGCTCATAGCTCTTTCATCCTACCACAGCTAAAGGACGTAATTCTGTACACCTACATCAAGCGACGAGGATAGTCACCAGATCTCCCTCAAGAATGCACATAACACCAGTGCTTAAGGCGTTACATTGGCTCCCAGTAGCGGCGAGAGTGGACTTTAAAATCATCATCCTGGCATATCAGTGCGTTCACAATCTAGCCCCATCATACCTGTGTGACATTGTATGTATGTACATTCCACCACATTCCCTCAGGTCTGAGAATCAACAGAGACTCATAGTGCCATCATGGAAGAAAATGTCCTTTGGTTACAAGTCCTTTAGTGTTGCAGCTGCCACTAAATGGAACTCACTGCCAGATTTTCTCAAAGACGCCCAGTCGTTGGAACAATTTAAGTGTCTCCTAAAGACTCATCTGTTCCATTTGTACTTTTAAAGTGACCTTGTACTGCTACTAGTTTTTACTTCTTTTCCTTGACTCTTGTATGCTCTATGAGCACGCCCCAGTGGAGTTTGGCGCCATATAAATGGACATTATTATTATTATTATTATTATTACACCTAACTCATCCAAAAACTGTTTTTAATAATATTAAACCTGCATCATCAAAAAAAAGAACCAAGGATCCTGAAAATGAATCTGTGACTACAGCTTACAAATGCTGGCCCTGGTTAAATGCCAGTCAGCAATATTCCAGCTATATGGCTGCGGTCTGTAAAATGATCAAGTCTGGATTAGACAATCCAGTGATCAACAGCATGAGCATCCATTTCCGGGATACGAGTCTGACCACCTGATCCCGTTAGTCGCCTTTTACGACAAGCATGGGTTGCAGAAGTCCAATTATAACCCAGATCTGAAGAGAGTGCACTTCTACTACAACTAGACCGCCTACCTTGGCCACATCGATGTGACTGTTCCACTTGACAGAGCTGAGCACCTTGGGCAGGGCATGGGGAAACTTGTGGCAGCACTCGTACCTCATCATCCACAGCAGCTCCTTGTCTTGTTCAAACAGTGGGCTGAGGGAGTCTCTCTGGACAATCATCATCAGCTGCTCCAGGTGGGACTTGCTCACCTTCATCATCTGCAGTCAGTGAAAGAGAGGCTATGTAACAGTGAGTGAGTGAGTGGGTAAGTGAGTGGATGAGTGAGTGGGTTGGGTAAGTGAGTGGGTTGGGTGACTGAGTGAGTGAGTGAGTGGATGGGTGAGTGAGTGAGTGAATCTGACCAAATTCTTCAGTCTAGGTTCCTGGAACTTTATTCCACACATTTACATCTTTTCAAATTAATGTCTAAGAAAAGACCAATGTAAAGGCTTCCCAGATACTGATCACATGCTGTGGGTCAGAATCAGGGATCAGAAACCATGGACCGGATCAGGGAACTCAACCTAAAATATTTGTATCCTGATATGCTAAAGGGACATTACTCTTCACAATAAGTTGCAGCCTTTTAGACACTTAAGCACCCATGGCCCCTATTCCACAATGCAGTACAAGCTAAAGTCCAAGAATAATGATGACTTTGTTGGCTATCTTAGCATAACTGACTGACTGAGTTTGGTTTTACGCCGCTTTTAGCAATATTCCAGCAACATCACGGCGGGGGACACCAGAAATGGGCTTCACACATGGTACCCATGTGGGGATTCGAATCCGGGTCTTCGGCGTAAATGAGTATTTCAATCATAAGGGAGGTTGAACGCAGAAGGAAACTCACGGGTCTACTTGCCAGCCTACAATTATTGCAAATCTCGGAAAAAGTAATTGAAAAACACTGTCTCGATACATTGGGCCAATGGTTCATATCGTGAGACAACACTCTTCAAAGACTTGACAGTTACACTGTGAAGCTCAAGGTCCCAGCAGCTGAGAAGTTAGGCCAGGACATCCAGATATGCAATAAACATTTCTAATATTTCTCGTACATCCAAATACTTTGTCTGATAATCAGTTTGTCACAGGCATGTGTAATACTAAGAGCTGTGGCGGTGTGGTCTGGTGCATAGAGCTCAGGTGACAAATCAGGTGAAGTTAAACAATGATGGGCGACTGTGTTTGGCAGCTTGACTCCCTGAGAAATTCTAAGACTTCAGTCTTGCCCCACAACAAAGCACATGTGATACATGTGGTCTCACCTTAGGTATGTGAGCTTGTTCAAAATTGCCTCTGTTCACCCAGCAGAAAATGGGTACCCGGTGGGATGAGACATGTGACTATAACCTTCTAGCTCCTAACAGGCAGCTTGGGTAATAACGAGCATGTGAGCTATGAGCACGGTGTGGAGTTTGGCGCTATATAAATGGATACATTATTATCATTAACTTACAGCTGATCCTGGGGCTCCGCTTGGCTCCATGTTTTTGGCAGCACATTCAAGCACCTGCAACACAGATTTACTATATATCAGGAAACAATCCATCATCATCTTCATAATCCTCAGAGGTTTTTCAGTGAGGTGATAAAACCCTTATTACTATCCAGAAACTGTGACATCACAAATGGCTATTTTTAAGATTTTTGAAAGTGACAATATCCCCGCAACTGAATGAAAAATTACTTTTATCATTATTTTGGTTACTATTCATCATTTGATGTGGACAATCAGGGATTTTTCTAGGATTTCCAGACAAAAAATAGTTCTCCATATTATATAATTATTTTTGTTCCATTACAACCTGTGAAGGTCCGGGTTAGAATATTGGCCTTCAGTAACCCATGCTTGTCGTAAGAGGCGATTACGGGAGCGGGTGGTCAGGCTTGCGGAATTGATTGACACATGTCATCGGTTCGCAATTGAGCAGATCGATGTTCAGGCTGTTGATTACTGGATTGTCTGGTCCAGACTTGATTATTTACAGACCACCGCCATATAGCTGGAATATTGCTGAGTGCGGCGTAAAACTAAACTCACTCACTCACTCACTCCTTTTCAGTTGTATTTTATAGGAATGCAATGATTCACCAAAGCATTTATGTGTCTATAACAATATATGCAATAAGATTTTGAATTAATTTTCATAATTACAAAATTTAGCATTTGCTTCCACCAACAGCAAGGCACACAAGGGTGAATGAAAGAAATTAATCACATCTTTTTAATGTATTTCTTCTCAGTACTTTAAATAGTAAAAATACACTTTCAAACAAAAATTGTTAAAGGTCACATGCAACCAAAAAATCAAACATAATTAAAACACAATTATCACTTATTGATGACATAAATATACATTGCTGGTTATGAAAAAACATATAAACAAAATTATAAGCGTACAATCGCAAATCAAAAGTGCAATATTGTGTACTTGGGTTCACTTCCCAAGAAACGAAGCAGCCGGGATACCAAACCCAGTCAGAACGGGTGGGTGTGCACTCAAGTGTAACGGCTGGTTCATTTGCAGATGCCCTCACGGCTCATTGTGTGTATATAGATATGTTGGGTTTTGTAAATACATGCTCATTTTTGGTGTATAACATTTACAATCAACAGACATCATAACATGTCATGTGTTCAAGTATCACACCTGCCTGTCTGTGTAATTACATAATGTGACAGAGACCGAACTCGGCCATAAATCAATGCATTTTGTTTATGGTGTATAGCCTGATTGGTGTTAAGTTCAAATTGCATGTGGTCAGTGATCGCGGTTGTGTATTGAATAATGTCATTAGCAGACAGGCAGGCAGACACACAGGTGTCAATAAAACAAGACATTGAGTTTTGTCTGTGACGACATTCTGTCAACGCTAAATAATAACACTGCTTTCAAGTATCGAACTAAGAAGAACGTGTGGTGAAATAGACAAATGAAATTATATAAACAGTTAATTTACTGTCATAACATATAAAAAGCTCGCGCCTGTGAGATATCAACAAAATATTAGAAAAATAGCTCACACCAAAGCCTTCGCCGAGTATTCACCGGACAACCTGTTTCCAAGCTGCGCGAACCTATTTAACTGCGCATGTGCTATGAGCGCAGCCCAGCTGTTGAAACCAGTTTTCCCCAGAAAGTCGGGGGAAAATTAGTGAAACGTTTGAACTCCAATTTCGTGGGGTTTTTTTTCATCAGCGTTATTTTTCAACTTTATAAGTTGAATTTGCATTTTTGACGATTTGTTTCGGTAAGTCCATACCGAAAGGTATCAGAATCTGCAAAGTTGTGTTTTATGTTGCATGTGACCTTTAACCTCTTGTGAATCAAGAGTATATTGTTGTATGTCTATTTTCATGAAATTAACATAAAACATCTCAAACGATACCTGATAAAGCAAAGTGGTTAAATAAGGTCAGGTTAAATCAAGTGTGACGGGAATATGAAATGAGGTTGCAAGAATGAAAATGTCATGTTTTTGATGTCAAGGAATTCCCTGCCTCCTAACTAAGCCAGGATTTTCACTGCTCAGTAATAACCATAATGTCTGCATTATTAGTGTGAATTAAATGTTATTCAGTGACGCGTATTTCCAACTCTATCACGGTGGTCTGTAAATTATCAACTGTAAAGAAACCAGGTGTTGATAAAATGAGCACCATTTCATGCTCCCAGGGAAAGATGACTAGCCAATCAGTCACTGAGTCTGAGCACCCAGTCGCCTTACTACTCTTACTACCAATGAGAGATGCAGACTAGAATTTGTCTTCAGCAACCCATGCTTGTTGTAAGAGGCAACTAACAGGATCAGGTGGTCAGGCTCGCTGACATTTTTGACATGCCATCCTATCCCAATTGCAGATAGATGCTCATTTTGTTATTCACTGGATTGTCTGGTCCAGACTCGATTACTTACAAATTGTTGCCACACAGCTGGAATATTACTGAGTTTGATTTTTACGCTTTTAGCAATATTCCAGCAACATCACGCAGGGGACACCAGAACAAACAAATAAAAGTTGCCTCTCACAACAATCATGGGGTCATGTGACTTATCCAGGGTTGCATGAAAAATCAGTCTTGTGTATATATATATATATAATCCTTCCATCAGTAATCTATCACTACATCTCACATCAAACAAGTCACTTATCACAACAAACGCTGAAAGCAGAGAGAGCTAAATTAGCTTACAAAATATATACTTTGCATGGCAAACATAGAGATGCTTTTTAGTCACACAAGCAACTTACTAAAAAGACCAAGCATTATTTAATTGTGACAGAAACAGTGGGTATTTTACCTCAAGCACAAAGCGCCCACAGTTTATATTTTTACACTGCTATATAATAGATTTCTTTTCATTTTTTTCTTCTTTTTAGTTGTTGTTTTTTCAAATGATAGTTTTAATCACATTCAGTTGTCAGACATGGCTGATGACCTAAACAAAAACAAAATGTTTCCATGGTTATGTCAGTGATTACTGGAAAACCTAAATATCTGTGTTTTACGCGGATCTTCGTTTGTTGATAGATCAGTGTCAGCGACCAGGGAAGAGAAAATCCAAAAAACGTTTTGTAAGTACCGCCGAACCCTAACAAGTAGTCGTTGTCTGATTGGTTAAATCCGTTTGGCCGTCTCGCGTTTGATTGGATGGTCATAGGTCGCTCAAAGATTAGCTGACGCGACCTTCTACTAGGGTTTGTTAGGCTCAGTATGGCAGTGTAACGGATAATAATGAGCCTAAGTTTACTAAGACTGTTCATTACTAAGAATAAAATAAACATAAAATCAAATGGAAAAACAATTCTGGAATGACAAATATGTGTACATGAGTTGTGCAATAAGCATCATAAGAATTAGGTAAGTATTAGGGAGAGTATTGCTTAGACGGTCTGGTCAAAACTATCATTCCACATGAACACTATATCTTTCTGCTTAGGTCAAGACATGGATTAAGTGACATATCACATGATCATTAAAAAGAATCTCTTTGCCCTATCAATGTGGTAAAGTAACGTAAATGCAGAAAATACACTTAATATTAATATATACTACCCAAAAAACACAATCAACTGATGCTGACAAAACCACTAGCAACTGAATCTGGCATTACTACAGAAAGATTTTTATATATATTTTTTATTTATTGATTTATTTATTTCCAATTCATGCTTTTTACTACTGAAAGATAAATGCATTGTTGTATACTGAAATAGCCATAACATGTGCTTCGGGTGCTTGGTAAAAATATTTGAAATATGGAAGCTTATTGAGCTGGGTGCTTTATGGGGGAAATGCAGTAAATATGCACATCCTCTATTGGTGTAAGGATCAGTTCTTACACATTTTCTATTACATGGCATAAACCTACATAGAAGTTATACTCTGCAAAAAAAGAAATGCAAAAGTAGAAAATTGTAAATATCTCAGCATTTTAACTTGTTTGAGTGATATTTTGGAAGTTGGGGTGTATAATATTGAACAAACTTTATGGATGTCCCTTTGTAGGTTCCTGCTTGAGACTCGATATAAGAATCTGTATCAAAATGTACTGGTGTATTCCTGCTTGGGAACGAAAGAATCTGTAGTTGTTATCCATAAAGTTTGTTCAATATTCTCAGAGTTTTGCTGGTATTCATACAAAATGAATACAGATGCAGGACAGGGCATGTTGATCACTTCACGCCGATAGACTCAGCATCATTTGTGCAGCCCAGACAGTGAGAAACTTTATATGCAGCAATACCAGATTTGTGGAGGATTTCAGTCAGCACCAGACAGTGAGAAACTGTCTACACCTGTCTACACCTCGAAAGCAAGGTATATGCCCGAGACTACTAATTTGAGGCATCATTCTGCCTGATCAGCATAGTTGGACACACAGTATTTCCCGTAATGCAACAAGCAAATGTTATTTTGCAACATGCCTGACCTCACACAGCAAGACTAACAATGGTGTTTTGATGAATCACAGTATCGCAGCATTAAATGGCCATAAAGATCTAAAGAACTTAACCACTTTTATAAGATGCTCTTGATCAACAGAGTGAGTGAGTGCCGCTTTTAGCTTTTAGCAATATTCCAGCAATATCATGGCGGGGGACACCAGAAATGGGCTTCACACACTGTACCCATGTGAGAAATCGAACCTGGGTCTTCAGCGTGACGAGTGGACGCTTTAACCATTAGGCTACCACACCACCCCCAACTGCCACAGTACCTCGATCAGTTGGCACAAGCACTGTAGGTAGAGTTAGTCAACATTCCCATGGCCACAATTACTAATCGGATTGGTTCAATGGAGAGATGATACCAGGTAGTTCTGGGCTCTCGTGGAGGCCATATTGAGAACTAATGGCTTCACCTTCACATTCAGTTGTTTCATGCATGTCTCGGTCAGCGACAATGACTTGTGCTACATTTGAACAATTTATCAAATCTGTCGACTATTTATATAATACAAAAAGCATGCATCTAAAAAACACTTTTGCATTTCTTTCTTGGCAGAGTATATTTTATTTCAAAGCTTAAAACACTTAAATTTTACAAGTTAAAAGAGGTTAATGAGGAAGAAAAGAAATAATACTTTTCCACAACATACAAAAGAAATGACAATACTTAAACAGCTTTGTTATTGTAAACTACTTACTCTCTGGTCTGCCTGGGTGCAGGGAAATAAACAATGCACAAAATGAGTCACACATATCTTGTTATTACCCATTCCAAATGATGATGACATACTTAGAAAGCTCTAAAACCAAACATGTTGTTTTGAAAATTGGTGTGAACAACTGTATTATTTGAACATCATTCTTGATTCTTGAAGACAAATCTTGTGAGTAGGAATGCATAAGCAGATCAAGAGTTGGTTGCCCCCCCGAAAGTTTATTAAACGACCATCAAAACACTCGTGAAAAACGGGTGAAAATGAAGTGCACCCCCCTTTCTCAAGATTGTGCACCCCCAACCCCCCTTTCTCAAAAAGCTGTATCTGCTCTTGGAATGTGTTGTGACCCTTTGCCCTTCAACAAAAACATTAGAATTCATACTCTGACTACTAATGACTAGTGGGTTTCCAGGGCCCCGTTTCACAAAGCTGTTGTAGCGCTACTAGTGACTAGTATTACATGGTTTCCAGGGCCCCGTTTCACAAAGCTGTTGTAGTGCTACTAGTGACTAGTATTACATGGTTTCCAGGGCCCCGTTTCACAAAGCTGTTGTAGCGCTACTAGTGACTAGTATTACATGGTTTCCAGGGCCCCGTTTCACAAAGCTGTTGTAGCGCTACTAGTGACTAGTATTACATGGTTTCCAGGGCCCCGTTTCACAAAGCTGTTGTAGCGCTACTAGTGACTAGTATACATGGTTTCCAGGGCCCCGTTTCACAATGCTGTTGTAGCCCTACGGTTGTCGTACCTCCTATACTGTAACATAGACTAATGGTGGTCATAGCGTTACGACAGCTTTCTGAAATGGGGCCCAAGCTTCAAATTGGCCTAACTATGTGTCACAACAGCTAACTGTGACATTAAGTTGCTACTATCACGATTTCTTGTTTTATTCATAAAATTCATACCTATCATATTATGTCAGTGCATAAACATTTACACAGGATCTAGCAGAAGTTGAGCAATATGTTGAGTGATTGACTTTCGACTACTGCCACAGCACTTCAGTAATCTTACCGGTCTGTGATGAAAGTCAAAAGTGATGGATATCATATGTTTACCACTTTTTAGACCCATGAACACAGGTAATGTTCTCACATAACTAGAAATATATTCAAGGCAAATCTGTGATTCAAACACCAGCCATAGATTCCTAGCATGCCTAATGGACATAACTCTGCACAGTGACTTGAGAGTAACTCTGGGAATGGGCCTCCTGCGACCACAGTTGTTTCATGCAGAAAGACAAACTGAACTTACTCCACTCTTGCTTTGAGTGTTCTAAGACTATTCTATGTGCTATAAGCTACCACCCATCTCTCCATGAAAACCATGACAATTTAGCATATTTAAAGTTGTGGGGATGTTTTCCTCCATTGTTAAACCATTAAGATGATGTCACAATAATTCCATTGCAGTTGATTCTGTACCTGGAGTGAGTGAGTGAGTTTGGTTTTATGCCGCTTTCAGCGATATTTCAGCAATATCACGGCGGGGGACACCAGAAATGGGCTTCACACATTGTACCCATGTAAGGGAATCGAACCTGGGTCCTCGGTGTGATGATCGAACGCTTTAACCACAAAGGTACCCCACTGCCCCGATTCTGTACCTTAAATTCACTGGCCATCCCAAACATGCTTTTAACAAGTAATTCTTAAACAACTGTTGGTCTTTATGTAAAATTGAGGAATTATATTTCACCCAGGTTTAAGTTAGCAAAATCACTTGAATCTGTTGATTCCAGAAAAAGAATTAAGAGTTTGCCTGATTTTTCCATTACATAATCCCATTGAAAATATTATGTTCATTCCCATAGGTACAATACGATCTTTACTAAAACAACTATCAGACTGTCACAAACACAGAAATCGAGGGCATGCAAAGGGATGAGAAATTATTAAATGCCCAAATTTTAAAATATTGATCTGACCCCTGGGTATCAACACTTACAGCAATATTCTCATATCATATAAAAATGTGAAAAATTCTTGCAAAATACTGCATGAACATTAGTTAAGAAAATATTCATTGTTGACAATGATGTTTAACAATAGTAAAACATTTCCAACCTGGACATCAACCATTTAAAAACAAATTCAAACCGACAGTATGAATGACACAAAATCGCATCAACTGGGATACCTAATCTTGAGATTCCAAAAAGAATGGAAGATGAACTAGCGGATGAGAAATTGGAACAAATTGATGTTGCAGCTAATCACTTCACTATGTAAAAAATGTTATTTTCCAAATTTTCTAAACATTCCAAAGTCAGATTTGTTAGTTTACTGTTTTTCTAAACTATCACCATGGCAATGTCTTTTCTGGATCCTTACCTTGTCGAATGCTGGGTAGCGAATGTTGTTTTTCATGTTGAAGTCAGGGAACTTGATGAGAAGTGTTGTAGCCTCGTTGCCCTGGGCATTGGGGGTGACAGACCCTGAAGTGAGTGAGTGAGTGAGTGTTAGTTTCATGGAAGTCACAGACCAGGCAGTGATAACAATAGATGCAGTTTGGTTCGGCTCTGTAATTAATCAAGTGTGGACCAGACAATCCAGTGATCAACACCATGAGCATTGACCTACTCAATTGGGATATGATGACATATGTCAACCAAGTTAGCGACCCTGACCACCTGATCGCCTCTTACGACAAGCATGGGTTACTGAAGACCAATTCTAATCCGGAACTTCACTGAATGTGGCCATTTGGTCCATGAAGCATTTTGCTGTAGTATCTTAATATAGGGACCCCTTAATTTTCAATGCTAAAGTAATAACAAGGACCCCAAGGCCTCATTTCATCAGGGTATCTTAGCACTTTGGGCAACAACCTTCTTGGTAGGCCACTGGATTTGATGATGATACAGTCTATGCTCTGAGTAATGAGAACAAATGTAGCTCCACAGCCCTGGGAACACGTACCAGGGAAGTAAATTTGGAATCATCCCTTCTCGTCATTTAGAACCCCATGGGACAAGTGTCATTTTAATTCATTTATATGCACAAATGAGTAAATTTGTGTTCACTGTCAGCAGCAGTCCAGTCAAATTAAAACATCCTGCAATGGTATCAAGCTAAATTGGAGGTGAGTGAGTGGGTTTAGTTTTAAGCCACACTCAGGAATATTCCAGCTATATGGCAGCTGTCTGTAAATAATCCAGTGAGTGAGTTTAGTTTTACGCCGCACTCAGCAATATTCCAAATTGGAGGTACTAAATCTTAAATAGTCAGGCAAAGGCAACCCTTCCTTTGTATTGCTTATTTTGGAAGCTGCAAGAACCTACCAATGGGGTACAAGAATTCTTCAGTCTGCATCTCATCTGTCCATGGCCACATCGGGAGGTTCCGGTCACCTCGGGTCAGCCGTGAGCGGAAGTCAAACACAGCCACATTCACCCACGCAACAGCTGTTTGGTCCTGAACAAATATAATAGCAGTGAAATCTAGACTGGGTACAGTACCCACATGAGCTAAATCTTATCTGGAGCTCTGTGAAACATATCAAAACTGAGAACCTGAGTATCATTTGATACTGATTCCAAACCGTTTTACCAGCTGTGTGTATGTCTGGTCTTGGTTGGCTGGTTTGTTCTTTAATGCCGCAGTCAGCAATGTTACAACTGTATGGAGGCGGTCTGTAAATAATCAAGTCTGGACCAGACAATCCAGTGACTAACCTCATGAACATCGATCTACACAACTGAGATATGATGACATGTGTCAACCAAGTCAGAGAGACTGGCCACCCGATCCCATTAGTCGCCTCTTACAACAAGCATGGGTTGCTGAAGACCAATTCTAACCTGGATCTTCACAGGTCGGAAATCTTGTCTAATTTCATTGCCCTGTCTATAGTGCGTTTGGCTCAAAAGCGGACCGATGAATTGCAATCTAACTCAAAACTAATAAACATATAATACTCAATGAAACACTGATCATAATCAAAATATCAGACCAACTCTGTGATTTGTTTGCAGAATTTATGTTCTAAAATTAAAAAAGTTGTTTAACAAACTATCATTAAAATATTGACACAGTTCACAATTTGTTACGAGGGAGGAGTGCAGAGAAAGGGACAGCCAGGTGTTAGAGAAGCACGTGCACAAGTGCCGACAAAGTTATTGATTCATTAACCTGTGCTGTGCCGTCTCCATCCTTTCTCGCACACCCGGCTGTCCCTTTCTCTGCACTCCTCCCTCGTAACAAATTGTGAACTGTGTCAATATTTTAATGATAGTTTGTTAAACAACTTTTTTATTTTTAGGACATAAATTCTGCAAACACCTCTCAGAGTTGGTGTGACGTTTTCATTATGATCAGTGTTTCATTGAGTATTTTATGGTTATTAGTTTTCGAGTTAGATTGCAATTCATCGGTCCGCTTTTGAGCCAAACGGACTATACAAGTCTACATAACAGCTACACATATGACATCACTGGATGTTTGGTTGTCATCTTTACAGATGTACATATGCAGTCTGTGTGTCTGTAAAGACATAAATTCCAATACTTATTGTTGTCTACAAGAGGTCTTAAGATTCAACAAGATTTCAAGAATACCAGCATCACATTTTCACAACTATCACTAGGTCACAACAGAACATAATCAAGTCACAATAACATATAGAAAATAATACCTTGATTTCAATTCCATATACCATATATCGCTGGGTATAAGGCAAGTTAGTCATATAATGATCAGGGTTGGAAAGGGAATGACCATATTTGTGGGGAAGAGATCTCACATTATTTTTCTGACTGGTGTCCACTAATGTTGTTTGATAGTAAATTTCACACTTCATTAAAATTGACTGCTCCAAGAACTTTTTCTGCATGTAAGCTTCCATTAAATGTGAATTACAACACGCAAAATGGTGTCATGCGCGCTGATGTTCTACGCGACCAAGCATCGTACAAGAAAATACTGTCACACAAACACGTTTTTAGTTATATTTAGGGATTGTGTACGCTCTGATGATTTGCTTCATTCAGGGTCGCTAGATTAGATGGGTATACGAATTAGAATTGCTTTTGAAGGTTAGCTCAAGGGAGTTGCCTAAAACGTGGGGTCACTTTATACGTGGCGATATGGTACCTCACAACTGCTGTCCAATTTACATCATGGAAATAATCCTTATTCTAAATTATCCTGACTGGTAACGCTGAATAATGTGTCACCTTCTTCTTCCCCGTAGCACACAGTGTGAAGCAGACACGAGCCATCTGGGGAATGTCTCGGGCAGGGATGTCAAAGGTCACATCAAGCTTCATGTTACACACGCCCCTCTTGTACAACCATCTCTTCTGTGGTCTTGATGCTGCACAGAGCCTCGCTTCCATGATACAGGCCCATGAAGAGCTTCACCTGAAACAGTGAGTGAGTAAGTTAGTTTTATGCAGCTTTTAGCAATAATCCCAAAATATCACGGCGGGGGACACCAGAAATGGGCTTCATACATTGTACCCATGTGGGGAATCAAACCCAGGTCTTCGGCGTGACGAGCAAACGCTTTAACTACTAGGCTACCCCACCACCCCTCACCTGAAACAGACAGGCACTCTATTGATCCTAACACACTGATTGACTACTGCTTGTTTTACGCCGCTCTCAACAATATTCCAGCTATATGACGGGGGTCTGTAAATATTCGAGTCTGGACCATACAATCCAGGGATCAACAGGATGAGCATTGATCTACGCAATTGGATAAAATGACATGTGTGAAACCAAGTCAGCGAACCTGACCACTCGATCCCGTTAGTCACCTCTTACGACAAGCATGGGTTGCTGAAGACCAATTCTAACCCGGATCTTCATGGTCTGAAACTAACACAAATTCAAGATGCATTTGAGCTGCATCACAGTGTGTCCGGTCAATGTGTGAAATCTAAAGGGATACAGCTTGTGTTTTCATGTACGTTTTTTATAGCAGATGGAATCAAAAAACCAGAATTTGTTTCCTTGTAATGACCATACTGTGTCTGACAATCGTTCACAAGTGAAAATAGATTGTAAAATTACTAAATCTTTGGCCAAAATATTGGAGAAATTTAGCAATATTCCAGTAATATCACAGCGGGGGTTTCATTTTACCTTGGCGCCATCAGGGAGTTGGACTTTGCTGATGCCCCGGACAGTGAAATAGTACCTCTCCTTCAAGTCCCACACACAGATGTCGTCGCCACGACGGTCGGAGGGAATCTGGGAGTAGCTAGCTATGCTACCTTTACGAGGAGGAACAGCAGGTTTTGGATCTGTTAAAGAAATGTGGTCAGTATTGCAGACTTGCCTACCCCCTTTAAAAAAAATTAGTAAGATCAGCTAAATAAGATAGTAAGGCAGGTGCATTTGATAGTAAGGCATGTTAATGTCAAGAAATAAAGGAAAAACATAGCTGGTTAATATAGTGTTTAATAGTCAAATGTGGTGCCCATCTAATTAACGTTTTTAAAAGTCTTTCACTTTGACATAAACTTTACCAGCACTGTAAGATCCAAAGATTATTTATTTATAATGTTTAAGATCCAACTGTTTATCAGTACTTTATGTACCGTAAATGACTCTGTAAATAGCATGGGCATGTTTTATCTAGTATTCTACCATATATTTGTAGGAGTTGTAAGGAATTTCAGTATGATCGTATGGTCGTAATTTAGCACCATAAATAGCAAGCCTTACGCCAAAATCGTAAGGATAGGCAAGTCTGGTATTGGATTGTTCTTGACCATCCGAGATGCCTTTGGTCACCTCTTATGACAAGCTGAAGAGGTCGCTGACGGCATGGGTACTACAGATGTGTACCCCAGGTACGTTTCTGATACAGAATCGTACCCTAGCCATAATCAGAATACAGAAACGTACCCTAGACAATTCTATTCCGCATTGTCGTTTTCTTGATAGGAACAGTTGTACTGTTGTGTGAGATGCATTTGATTGTACATAAGAAACGAGGATACACAGTAATGAATATTTTGCGGTGCACAAGACCACACGCAATAAGTTAAATGGGAACAACTTACATATGGTTTTTATTTTTGGTTGCAGAATATGGATTAATCCCCATTTAGACTTTGGTAAGCGTACCTTTCTGTATACAGAAACGTACCTGGGGTACATGTTACATGTGGGGTATCTGTTGTACCTGTGCCAACAATGAGTCCTTCAGCACCAGTATGGGTTGCTACAGACAAATTCTGACCCGCATCATGAGTCCACAGTACCTGACTCCAGGCTGACAAGTCCTGGTCTTATCATCTCCAGAAAATGTTTTAACTACAATTTCAAGCTGGTGTCCACAAGAAAAGTATGAGGAAGGATCAAAGTCCATAAATCAGTACATCACCTATCACAGTTTCCCTGGCAACCAGCATGAACTGGGGGGCAGTGTTCTTCACGAGGCACTGGTACACATACTGAAAAAATAAAACAGTGAGCCTTTTATAGTGGTCTGCAAAAACAGACGTCATCTTATTCTTTTTGTTATTTCTTGCATTAAGTGAGTGAGTGAGTATGGTTTTACGCCGCTTTTAGCAATACTCTAGCAATATCACAGCGGGGGACACTAGAAATGGGCTTCACACTTTGTACCCATGTGGGGAGTCAACCTGGATCTTCAGCGTGATGAGGGGACTCTTTAACAATTGGCTACACCACTGCCCCTCTTACATTTAGTCAATCCTTGGTTACCAGTTTGAACATGTCTTGCTTAGCGAGGTTCATCATCACAGACACTTGATAACCCATGGATTAATTTTCGTTCAAATTTCATTGTTTTAGTCCAGTTGCTTGCACCCAATGTCCAGTCCATATTCCAGTTGAATCAAAGTGTCCTCTTCAGTGTGCAAAATAGCCACTGGCCTGCTAGCCCCTGGCTAGTAAAAATCCAGTTGGGCCAGTAAATCTTCATGTACCAGTTGAATCTAGGTGTTCTGTTATCAATAAAGCCTGGACCACAGGATAACAGTTAGTTATCAAGGATATTTTGCCTCCAGTCATTTCGAGCTTGATTTGATTGACATTATGCCAGAAACCTCCTTACAATGAAACTACACTCAGGAGCAGGAAGCATTCTAAGTCAAGTTTAAGATACACAAGTGAGTGAGCGAGTGAGTGAGTGAGGATATGAGAGGGTAAGTGAGCTTTTAAGCTGCTTTTGGTAATATTCCAAGAGACACCCAACATGGGCTTCACACATTGTACCCATATTTGAAATCAAACCCAGGTTTTGTTATGCTCAAATGGTTTCACCACAAGGCTATCCCACCGCCCCTTATGATATAGTGAGGGAATGAGTATGCTTTTACGCCGCTTTTAGCAATATTCCAGCAATAATACAGTGGGGGACACCACTGTACCCATGTGGGGAATTGAACCTTGGCCTTCGGTGTGACAAGCAAATGCTTGAACCACTTGGCTACCCCACCGCCCCATGTGATACAAGAAATGGCTATGTTGAAGACTCTTCCAGTCAATGCCATAATGGTAAATGTGTCGTGGGTATTTATCAAAATATCAAGGAGTTAAAACAATACAACTATTTCCAGAACTTATCATTATTAACAGATTTCTCTCAAATAAAAAAGGTCTTCAAAGTCGTCCATTCTTCTCACCTTATATTGTTGAAGTGGAAACTTCCTGCCATATATGTACTCCTCAATACCGAAAGACTTGAGGAGGTATTGTTCCGGTTCATCCACAAGGTTCCCGGAGCGAGACAGCTTCACCAGCACCAATTGGATCAGTTCGGAAGGTTTACACATGCCAGACAGACGGATTGTGAATGTGCTCTGAAACATCATGATCATAGATCAGAGTTTGTCTTACACAGAAAACCCAAAACAGACAAGTCCACCCAGTAACAGTCTGCAAGAACAATCCTACATCTGAGAAACATGTAAACCCCTCGATATCCAACACTCGATTCAACAGGAAAACCCCAAACAGCCAACAAAACCATGAGGTACAGTCTACAAGATGAAATGCAGTTGTCTCGAATAAAACATAAGCAAAACATGTAAACCCCTTGTTATCCAAAGAACACTAGATTCAACAGTAAAACACAAAACAGGCTAATAAAACATGAGGCACGGTCCTCAAGATCAAACGCAGTTGTCAAGAATTAAATATGAGGGAAACATCTTGAAACGAAAGATGTGAAACAGCCAAGCAAACCATGAATCACAGTCAAGTGTTTAGTCATAACAGTGAGTACTTCCTAATTAAATACTTCTTAATTGATCCTAATTAAATAACAAACAAGTGATGCTGTCAACTCAATTAGCCCTAATTAGTTTACACTACCGCATCCCTTTGATTCATGCCGCACCGTGTGTAAATGTGTGGAAACAACCTCAGTTCAGAGGGATACTTGCCCATGAAAGATAGGTGAATATCGAGTTTCTTTGTAAATATCGAGTTAAAAGGGTAATTTTGCTGGTTGGGACCATGAAATTATATTGAGATATCCAAAATATCGAGACATTCGTATCGTGTTAAAAGAGCTTGAATAATGATAAATTATGATATGTCACGAGACAACCGAGGTATCGAGTCATCAGAGTCCGACACAAATTTGCTCGCCTGCAGGTGCTCCAACTTAAGCGTATTACCTTGGACTCTTCAATGTTGACTTCTACCATGATATTGTTGTTGAGTTTTTCGTCGATCTTTCCTGGCAGGTCTGCTCTGCTCCGCAGACGAGGAGGGAACTTGTACATCAGTGCTTGAAACCATCCCTGAAACATGCCAAGCTTAGCTACTGAGTGAGTGAGTGAGTGAGTGAGAGAGGTTAGTTTTAAGCTGCACTTAGCAATATTCCAGTTATATGGCGGCAGTCTGTAAATAATCGAGTCTGGACCTGACAATCAAGTGATCAACAGCATGAGCATCGAGAACCAATGACATGTGTCAACCAAATTGGCGAGCATGACCACCCGATCCTGTTAGTTGCCTCTTACGACAAGCATGGGTTTCTGAAGATCAATTCTAACCCGGACCTTCACGGGTAGCTTAGCTACTGAATAAATGAGGACCTTAACAAAGGAACAATTGGGTGACCTTTGAAATGGCAGGCAGCTTCAATAAATCTAGAGGGTGCAAGCTGTATTTATCTATTCCACTAAAATTTTGCAACCAAATTAGACACGAAAACATTAAGTGCACGTATCAAAACAATACAAAATTCAAGTAAATCTTTAAATATTCATTGCTGAAATACATTGAATATTGCGTTTAACCAACTTATTGAACACTAATTTCAAATACACATTCCTTTACTGTAAAAACATACTCAACCTTCTGACCAAAACAACTGCATGGCCCCAATCCTTTCAAATTATATATCTTCACAAATGTATTTGATTGTATTTCAAAGGCCCATGCTAACTGGTCAGCAAAAAAATAAAGAAATTGCACACTGGAACATTTCTAACCATATCATTCCTGTCTTGAACAATCTTCTCACACATCTGTCTCATCGTGGACCGAAAGTCTGCCACTTCCGCCGATTGCCATGCCTCCACATTCTGTGGATCTGCAATAAACAATGCACTTCCATAAATCACATGGACGAAATACCATCCAGGAGTGAGCGAGCGAGTGTGGTTTTTATGCAGTTTGTATCAAAATTCCTGCAATATCACAGCGGGGGACACCAGAAAAGGACTTCACACAATGTATCCATGTGGAGAATGCAACCCGGGTCTTCTTCATGACAAGTTAATGCTTTAACCAGTAGGCTACTCCATCGTCACCTTTTCAAACAAGAAACATTGCCATCAATGATGTATAATGGCTTCCCTGTTCTGGTATACTGAGTAAATAAAATACAACAAGTTTCTATATTATTTCCTAAATTCATGGACTGATAATATGCCAACCCAATTAAGATTGACTTGACATATGATAACAAATCATGACCTTTGTGTCATATACTAGCAATGTAAACAGGTTTTAAAGCCTTGTCACACCTTGACAATTTACCGTATGATGGCATATTGGCAGCGTTTAGGGCGAATTGGAAGATACAAATGTGGATACCGTGACAGTGATGTTAATGAAACTATCGTTGGGCATAGGTTGTGAACGCTGGCAACATGCTAAGCATTTCTTGGTATAAGTTATCTGTAAGTTATCGAAACATTCTACATATGTTACTAATAGGGGTCAATATTGAGGGGGGAAGAACTATTGCGCTAGTGATAGTCTATTGCGACCAACTATTGCAATAGTTTTTTCTCTCCTTGAATTGTCTCATTTGAAGTCATTTCCCAAATGGATGTGTAGTTTGTATGCAATATAAACAAGCTAAAGTAGTTTCAGTCTCTTTTAATAACTGACAAGAAACTTGAAACCCAGTTCAAGTTTGTTTAGGAGGTAACTGGGGCAGATAACTCAAAATCAAAGTGAACGAATCTGGTACTTCCTGCATTTTGCACTGCGCATTTATCAACAGAAGTCAATTACTAAACTATCGATAGCATCAATAGCTTTTTGTTTCTACCATCGATTAATTGCTATCGAAGACTCAACAACTGCAATCTATCGATAGTTCGATGCATCGTTACAGCCCTGGTTACTAATGCGTTATGTATACATCCAACTCGTTATGGATACGCTATGTATACCCCCAGAATTGATAAAAAACATCAATAGTTCAGTGTGTACCAGAGTCTTAGAAAGATTTTGATACATCGACATATGCTGGCTAAATCGCCATTGTGTGACAGTGCCTTAATGCTTGCAATTTCCAATTTTTATTGCTAAGTCATATTTACAATATGAAAACAATCATAGTTATCCTCAACTGACCTTTCCCAATGAGACTGTTGATGTTTCTGACGAGGGTCTTGTGTCTCTCATCACCCTCTCTCTCTACCAGTTTCAGGAAGGCGCTGTATGGACGTATATCATGCAGACACTGACTCTCATCCAGTATTTCCTCCTGAGCAATACGAAACACGTCAACATGGTTAGGATGGACATGCAAGGCTATGACAAATTGTAGTATTTCATCTCTTCCTTTAGCACTACCAAACAAAAACAAGCACCTGTCTGTAGACTTGTGGCAGGAAGAGACCAACTCAGGTAGTAGTAATTTATAGAGGCCCTTACAGCTAGGTTACAGGTGACTATTTTTCACAATAAGAAACAGAAGATAATAAAATAGTTTTCCAACAGCAGAGTTATCATTGGTTGATATTTAGATGTATTCAATGGATTTTCAAAATATATATATTTCTTGAAAACAAATGTGAAAAACTATAACCAATACAGCTCACTTTTAATTACAGATAAAGCTATTAACATTTGTTTTTTAAATTTGGAACATCAATGGTGGTTACGTCATGCCAAGCTTGCTATGAGTGGAGAGTCAGGTCAGCTGGTCAGACAAACAACAAACAAACAAACTTAAGTCAGAAATGTTGATATATGATGAGGGACAAGCACCAAAATGTCTCCAATGAGCAAAATGGTGTACCCACCCGCTCTCCACTGATGTTGACACACACAAAGCAGTAGTTGTCTGACCTCTTCAACAGCCTGAACAGGGGAAACTTCTCTGCCTCATTCCATAACTCCTGGAAATAGTGAAGTCATTGGTAAGAGAACTACTTTCTTGACAGAAATGTAATGACTTCCACTGCAAGCTGCAATCTGTACTTGCGTAGTGATACACATACATATGTAGTCCCAAACATGGCACTACTGCATGAACCTCGCTGCTAATAAACCCTGTTTAGTATACAAAGAATCGTCAAATCATTTGAAGTGAGCGAGTCATGGATGGGTTTGAGTGAGTGGGAGAGTAACAGAGATACAGCGAGAGGGGTGGGTGGGGGATTTGATTGAGTGACAAAGAGTGGTGGGGACATAAGCTAAAAGTAAGGCATGAGTGTAAACATTTCCCCTTAATACTACCCATGTGCTCAAAGCTCAGGTCACAAATCGGTGAAGTTAAGCACCATCGAGCTCGGAGAGTCCTTGGATGGGTGACCGTGCTTGGCAGCTTGGCTCCTGAGAGTTTCTAGGACTTCAGTCCTGCCCCACAACGAAGCACATGTGACACATGTGGTCTCACCTTAGGCAAGTGAGTTTGTTCAACATTGTCTCTGTTCACCCAGCAGGAAAATGGGTACCCGGTGGGATAAGTCATGTGACTATAACCTTCAAACGCCTAACAGGCAGCTTGGGTTATCCGGGGTAATAATATGTGTGCTGTAGCGCCTTGAGCGAGCACTGAATGCACGGATATAGGCGCGGTTACAAATACCCACTATTATTATTATTATTATAACAATCAGGAGGTCGTTTCATAGTGAACAGTCTACAAAGAGTGAATGCTGTTTTATGCACCTGTTAAAATACCTGTGACATCATCATAGCCTGCAGATAATTAGAACTGAGTGTATGTAATGTATATAGTCACACGTGATATTACAACCTGTACATTACATGAAAGGTGAAGGTCATACACAGATCTTCACTTCACTAAAACCTGCACACCCTACTAGTCACATGTCATCAACTTATCTTGGAAGACTTCATGTGAGACAGAGGCATCTTCATATTATGTCTACCACTTTCATGGTTCCACTTTTTACCCCAATCAAATGTGTTGAAGGAGTCAAAATGGGAAAAAGACAAAATAAATTCCTTGATTTATTTATTCCTTCATTAATTCTCCCATTCGTTCATTTATTTCATAAAACACTTTCTGAATCTATCTGTTTTAAGCTACAGTTTGTTTGTGGTGAAAACGTACTGATGAATTTCACCACTTTAAACAAAAAAAGTGTATCATATAAAGTGAAATTAAGATTGAGAATCCTCATTATTTTACCTTGCCAACTGAACATTTAAATCTCTGAATTTTATTCAACTTAGGATAAAAGTAGTTGAAACAATGCAACAAATGCACGTGCGGTACGTGATGAGCGTTAACTTAGACCAACCCTACTTGATCTCGGTGTTTCATTTAATATGCATACCCCCTTGTACTACAACCAATAATAGCGATTTGAAACTATGATCATTTCTTAAACAACTTTTATCCTAAGTTGATTAAAATCCTGAGATTTAAATGTTCAAATGGCAATGTAAAACTATGAGGATTCGCAATATGAATTTCACTTTATTCGATTTACGTTTTTGTTTAAAGTGAAATTCATTGGTACGTTTTCACTGCAAACAGACTGTACAGTGTCACATAATATCATTAACCAAGTTTTTAAAATGGTTTCATAAGTCTGCCTGCTGAGTGAAAAATGACGTCCATATCAGTTAGTCACAAATTGGTTACTGAGTATAACTATAATTAATGACGTAAAAACATAACATTCATACAAGCTGCTCATGTTTGTATTTTTACAATAGGACAGCAAGATTGCTAGATAATATATACTTTTCCCAACTCGTATCAGAGAACAGATGTCTCCCTTCAAACAGTTTCAGCAACTGGACTGAAGCACATGATCAATAATCATCTTGAAGGAAATGACAAATACGTGTCAGGTTTTTGTTGTAACATTTCACAGAAAGTTGGGACGGTGGATAGCCTAGTGGTTAAAGCGTTTGCTCGTCACACTGAAGAACCGGGTTCGATTCCCCACATGGATACAATGTGTGAAGCCCATTTCTGGTGTCCCCCGCCAGGATATTGCTGGAATATTGCTAAAATTGGTGTAAAACTAACTCACTCACAGAAAGTGATTTCATTGCCAGCCATTGCGAACCCTGTTACAAGTTAATTTCGAAATTCATTGAATGAAATTTAGAGTTACACATAAAAGAAACAAATTTATCACCTTTGTCATATACTAGCAACATAAACAGGTTTTATGCTTGCATAATCCTATATTTTATTTTTCAACAGATTCATGACCACCACATAAGGGGCATCATTCTTGCGTGTGTGTGTTATACATAGCCACCAAATTCTGAACATGGGTTGGTCAGCACCTCCCCCCCCAAAAAAAACCCAACAACCAACCAAACAAACAAACTTAATAAAGACAAATTATCTGAATAGTGTTCTTGATTCTCATTTATTGTAATTCTTATGACAATTTCTTGAGTTCTCTGTACTAAAACTTGTGTCAATGACTGAAAAAAAGACAAACAATTGTTTTCGTTTTCACCTGATGTGCCAGTAGCAGACATAATGGCTGGTCTGTTTTAAAGGGACATTTTGCTGATTTTTTGTGTGTGGTAACATTTTACATGATGAGTCAGTAGGTTCTAGATTCAAGTCGGTGGTGTTGGAATGGAAACAAGCATCGTCACTAAGGGGACATAATCCCCCGCCACAAATTATCAAATCAAACTTGGGTTATTGGGCGATGAGAAACACAGGAAATAAAAAATGCTGGCCTATTTGTAAGACTGTGACATCTGAAAGGTCGTCGAGACATTTCTATCCAGGATGTTGCCGGCAAGGATATAATTTCCTTCCTGCTTGACAAGTTGTCTTGTAACAAGAACAGGCTGTCAGGTTGTGATGTTGTTTTATCAACCAGGTACATGGTAGTCTGTACAAATACCTGAATCCATCTTCATCTGTTGAAATCTATGGTGACCTTGGGTTTGTCAGTTTTGTTCAGTTTCTTGGGTTGACAGGGGTTGAGAGGATAAGGAGCAGACTTCTTAACACACATGAACTATGACAGGAGCAGACTGGCTGAAGAGGGTTGACTGGGACAGGAGCAGACTGGCTGAAGAGGGTTGACTGGGACAGGAGCAGACTGGCTGAAGAGGGTTGACTGGGACAGGAGCAGACTGGCTGAAGAGGGTTGACTGGGACAGGAGCAGACTGGCTGAAGAGGGTCGACTGGGACAGGAGCAGACTGGTTGACAGGGACAGAAGTAGACTGGTTGACAAGGGTTGAAGGGACAGAAACAAACCATTTGACTGGGGCAGGACCAAGTGAGTTGACAGTGGTTCACTGGGACAGAAGCAGACTGGTTGACAGGGGTTGACTGGGGCAGGACCAAGTGAGTTGACAGGGGTTTATTGTAGCAGGTGCAGACTGGCTGACATGGGTTCACTGGGACAGAAGCAGAAAGGGGTTGACTGGGACAGAAACAAACCAGTTGAGAGGGATTTATTGTAGCAGGTGTAGACTTGCTTTTTTAGGTTCACTGGGGCAGGTGCAGACTGGTTGACAGGGGTTGACTGGGACAGAAACAAACCAGTTGACTGGGAAAACATACAAGGGTTGAACGAGATAGTAGCAGACTGATTGACAGGGGTTTCCGGCAACATGAGCAGACTATTTGACATGGAAATGAGTAACTGATTGACTGGGACTGGATCAGACTGGTTGACAGAGGTTGACAGAGACAGGAGCAGAGACAGGAGCAATCCGGCTGACTCAAAGGTTGAATGAGATCGGAACAGACTGGTCGATAGGGGTTGACAGTGAAAGGTGCAGACAGGTTTTGACCAGTAGACTGGAGTTGACTGGGACAGGAGCAGACTGGTTGACCAACTAACAGGCTGCTGACCACTTACAAAACTCTGAAGAGGTTTCTAGACAATCAATACACACATGCGACATAAGTATTCAGTATTAGCACACTCAAGTTCAATTTGTCATCCCCATCTCTAGTTCTATTATTTCCATGATAATCTGAAGTCTAGTCAACAACATCCGTGTACACCACTGTATTCTTTCCTATCTGCTCCGATCAGGACTTGTTTTCACAACGGGATTAAGTTTCTAATATTATCTGTAGAAAAACAGGAACTAGTGGTTTATTTCCTCATGCTAGGTCACTGAGTCCTGCATGGAGGGAACATTTTCAGATCCTCATCTTACAACTTGTCAAGCTCCTTGAATAGCATCCTTCCTGCCTCAATCAACAGATGATGGGATATCAACATTACAATGCAGTTAAAGTTCGAAATCATTCTCAGAGGCCTACCAACAAATATTTTCATAATCAGCATCCATGAAAACAGTTGAAGAAGGTCAGGGCTTATTTACACATTCTAAGTTGAGTCACCTCAATACACAGTGAGAGAGTTAGTTTACATTCACACTACTTTTATAATAATAATAATAATATTCCATTTATATTACGCATTTATCCATGCACATTGCATGCTCAAAGCGCTGACATATTAGAAATATTCCAGCAATATCACGGCTGGGGCCACCAGAAATAGGCTTCACACATTGTACCCATGTGGGGAATCGAATCTGGATGTAAAACTAACCTCACTCACTCAATGCTATGTGAAAATCCATCGAATCCCATGAAACTAAAGGAGGTTAAAAAGACTACAATGACACATATGTAACCAACAACATACTTAGCAAATATCCTCAATATATCAATAAAAGAAGAACCATAATTTTGTAGATATTGACAAATTTTTATGATTTAATTTTAAACTGTAACCAATTTCATGTTTATGGCGTAGTGGAAAATATGGGATATGGCAATTGAAAATACATCAATCACAACTTAACAAAAGCAGGGCTCGATTTAAGAGACGTTAACCTACTTGCACCAGGTGCAACCTAAGATAAGAACCTAGTTGCACCCGCCAAAATTCCAGTTGCACTGCCTTTATTGCAATATGTAATGAAAGAAATATGCTATTGAATTATTCAAAGTTTAGAAGACAAATGAGATGACATAATTATGCTTGTAAATGTTAGATTTATTGTTGATATATTTCTCAAAATTGACTTGCACCTGGTGCAAGTTAGACAAATAACTAGGTTGCACTTTGTAATATTGGGTTGCATCAGTGCCAGTAACAAAGCACTAAATCGAGCCCTGAAAAGTGTGAGTGGCGAGTGAGTTTAGTTTTATGCCGCACTCAGCAATATTCCAGCTAAATGGCAGTGATCTGTAAATAATCAGATCTAGGCCAGACAGTCCAGGGATCAACAGCATGATCTTCAAAATTTATCACGATGACATAGTGTCAACCCAGTCAGCGAGCCTGACCACCAGATCCTGTAATATGGATTAGGCCAAATTAAAAAAAATTTGTGGTCTCGATTACAGCTCTTTTAAAATTTAGGGTAGGTAGGTAGGAATATTTGTTATTTACCTTTCTTTTTAGAAGTAAAGTACAAACTAATAACACATTTATCAATGTGTAATTGTTTATTTAATCAAGCTTGCCGCCATCATGTTGACTTTTTCTATCAGAATGACCGATGTCCGTTGGTGCTGGGAAAAACAATGGTATCTGAACGCTTATTTTATTTATACCGCTTGAAAAAATAGGGTCGCCACCAGAATTCAAGGGTCGGTCGGGTAATCGGAACCACAACTTTTTTTTAAGCCCTTACTGAAGATCAATTATAACCCGGATCGTCATGGGTTACGAAAGTGTGACAAAGTGTTAATCTCCCTTGACACAGATAATGGAGACTTGGTACACGACATGTGTACTTCCCACTGACAGTGTGTACTGGGGCTGTAACGATGCGTCGAACTTTCAATGGATTGCAATTGTTGAGTCTCCGATAGCAATTATTCGATGGTAGAAACGAAAAACTATCGATGCACTGTCTCTGCCTATTCTATGTTAGACCTACTGTTAAATCTGAATTACACTTCTGTCTTGAATGTCAATTTTACCACGACCTGCAATCAGATTTTATTATATGTTTCTATCTTGCAGCAAGGTTATCTTATTATTCACATCAAAAAACAATGTTATTATAAACAACCTTGCTAAATATATTTGTATACTTAAGCTCAGAAGAAACGAAACAAATATTTTCCATCATGTTGTTGCTATTAATGTCCATTATAATATTGTATTAAACATAACACCTGTATATGTGAATGATGTGGCACTTCGTCAACGTGTTGTAGCACTAATGTATAATGGGCTGGTGGCCCTTTTATCGGAATAAACTCTCTCAGATAATTTAGCAACTGACTACCGTTGATAAATGCACAGCGCAAAATACAGGCAGTACCAGATTCGTTCATTCTGAGTTTTTTTTTGTTTGGGTGCAGACTTGCAGTTTCATAGAGTTTATGTTTTAATTGTTTACTTGATCTGGGTTTCAAGTTTCTTGCAAGTTATTAAAAGAGACTGAAACTACTTCAATTTCTTTATATTTCATATAAACTAAATTCATTTAGGAAATGACTTCAAATGAGACAATTCAAGGTGAAAACAAACTATTGCAATAGTTAATTATCGCAACAGACTATCACTATTACAATGGTATGTTGCAATAGACTTTCACCAAATCTAACTTCGTCGGTTGTCGCCTGCTTTCAAACAGATCATGTTCATAATAGTTCTTTTAGACCCCTCAATAATCATAACCACGGGAGTATGTCTGACTGACAATTTGGCAAAAATATAATTGTTTTGAGGATTAAATGACTAAAGGTGAGTTTCCCAAACTTAGGCGAGCCATAATGGCACCGAGAACATTGACTGAGTTTGATTTACCTGGGACGCCCGGCTTTTAGCAATATTCCAGCAACATCTTTTCATGATAAAAGGCTGTATTGCCTTTGAAGATTTAGAGTTGAATATAATACATGGTTAAGATACTGAAAAACTAGAAGGGGCTTCACACCTCACAAAGTTATCCAAGTTTACACACATGTAGGGAGTAACCTTTCACCTTGATAAGGGGTGAAAGTTCAAAGTTCAACACAACGGTTTTGACTGCTTGTCGGGTGGCATACATTTCTTTCTTTTTCTCGTTTGTAGAGTTTAACCATTAGATCACTACCCCACTGCCCTTGCAACCTAAGAAAAAACCCTAGTTGCACCAGATAATTCCATTTGCACTGCATTTACTGCAATATGTAATGAAAGAAATATGCTTTTGAATTATGTAGATGTTTACCCATTCAAACATTGACTAGCACCTGGTGCTAGTTTGACTAATAACAAGGTTGCATTTTGTAATATTGGGTTGCACCAGTGCAAGTAACAAAGTACTAAATTGAGCCCTGTACAAAATTATGAGATAATATGAAAATTGATTTTTATAAATCGAATCAGTTTGTCGCTGCTAATCAATTAATTGATATAGTAAACACTTAACAGTTCCTTTACTATAGTTCTCATCAAAAGTTCATGATTTTATGTTAAAACATTCAAGTGGCTCACTTTGCCTACAAGTAAATACAACAGCTGACATAATTATAAACCTGTCTGACACCTATTCTGAAATAGTGCCAAATATTTTCCTCAGCCAAATATTATGCAAATGTCTATTGCATATATCTTCCTCAGCCAAACGGTTATCTCCCATTTGACAGACACCCATTTGACAGACACTGAACTAGAAGGTTAATTAGGGTAACACCTACGGGTATAATGGAACAGTCCACTGTCTAGTGAGTAGGGCAGGGTGAGCCTGAAACAGGTTCGTTACTGAGAAGTTTGATTGTAGGTAAACAGAACTTTGTTGTGTTTAAATGATAAATGATTTCTCTTCTCAAAATTGTTTTTACTATCAATTACTATCGAATATAAAAACAGGTTTGTCACTGAGAGGTTTGATTGTGTTTATTGACAGAAAAGTCCCCTCCCTATAATAGCATATGTACAATAGAAGTTAACTGAGAAAACGTTTTGTTGGAGAGATGTAGATATGTACATATTTGAAGACATTCTGATTTGCAGTAAATGAGACACCTGCATTGCCATGTAAGATATGATTAATACAAATCAGTGTTCTAATTTTAACAATTCTTTCTAAAGATTGTAACAGTTTATGTCTTTGAGTAGTATACAATGGACATTCAAGGAAGTAATGATAAACATTCTCTCATCCATGGCCACATTCACATGATGCGTCATATTTTAAACATTTATTCTAAATAAATCGTAATTAAGTGCACTCGTCATATATCTTAATATTGTGTGCAAAACATATAACTTCTTTATTCCATGTGAATAATATTTAGGTTTACATTTGTTTATGAAAATAAACTGTTTTTATATTGCAGCAATAAAAATTCAAATTACTGTGTTTTCGTCCATCTTTCAAAATAAATAATATAGCTTCAGTGTGTTCCTGTGTTTTTATTTGGATTATTCCATTATAATGTGTAGGTAACAGGTAGTAGATCATCTGTTCACTGAACCGTAAATGTTGTTGTTTTAAGGTGTCTGGGAACTGGCTTTCTGCGTAATGGGAGGACACCAGCCAAACATTAAATAAACATCTATTGCATATATCTGCCTCAATCAAACATTATACAAACATCCCTTGCCGATATTTCCCTCAGTCAAACATTATACAAACATCCCTTGTCGATATTTCCCTCAAACATTATACAAACATCTATTGCATAACTCTTTTGTAAATATATGTACTTATATATATATTCTTTTTTAATTGTAACAGGTATCTGATGGCATGAAAACATATGATAAACTTGCATTTGAGTAACATGCTTACCTGTTTGATGATTTCAAACGGCTTGTAGAAACTTGTTTTGATAGGAATGAGAATTCCATTTGGGAGGAGATAGTCGATGCCCAGGCAGTCATCCGTTAGGTTTGAACTGATGTCCGCCAGCACCACAATAGGTGCCATTATGGTAAATCTAAAGGGAGATAATCAAAACCGATCATTAGTGTGCATACACTACATATGATAATGATCAAGTGAGTGTTGTTTAATTCAATATTTGTCAAAAGTCAAGCTGCATCATAGCAACTTGTAGATCATCGCATCTTTGTGCAGACAAACCTGTGGTTGATATCACGAGTAACATCTGTAGCAGTTGACTGACGGACTGACTGACTGAGTTTGGCTTTACGCCGCTTTTAGCAATATTCCAGCAACATCACGGCGGGGGACACCAGATATGGGCTTCACATGTTGTACCCATGTGGGAATTCGAACCTGGGTCTTCGGCGTGACGAGCCAACGCTTTAACCACTAGGCTACCCCGCCCGCCCCCCCGTAGCAGTTGATGTTGATGTCCTTTATTTCGCTACAGTGGTGTGGGTCATCGGTCCTGTGTACAACATGGTCCATACACAGTGATACATTACAAAATACTTATACAAGTACAGCAAAGCGGAGAGTTAGGTGAGAAGTTTCAGAAATTTAACCGCTTAAAAGTGCTTCTTACCCTTCAACAAGTGCGATAACAAAAAATTACATGACACTCCTGACTGTCTTGTAAATAATTCAGATCTTTTACAGAAAACAGTAGTGAACAAGGGTTACATAATTATCTTGTACCTGTCTGACACAGGTTTGTGCTTTTAAGCTTGATCTTGAAATACAAGTTTATCTGGTGTTTGGATTTAACATGTGACACCATCTTTCAGTTTTCTAAGCGCACAGGGCTCTTATAATGTTTTGGAAAATAAAGAATGTAAAACTAATGAAAGGCATCTGTAATTGTATAAAACACTGTCCCTATATTCTGAATAAAGTCTTACCGTTTTTTTAATCTGTCAATTAGTACAAGGGCAGAGAATTTTTAAAAATAATTCACCTGGGATGACTAAGCAGAATGGGATGTTGAGTCAGAAACATGTATTCAACATTAGGGTCCATATAGTGGCTGCAAGAGTTGTGTACTCCCCAGGGAGTTGAGATTGATAATACGATGTGCCATTGAGACTGACATCCAATGATCGAGGGAAAAAAATACCAGCGCCTTGAGTTGCGTGGATATGTGCGCTATATAAATATCCTATACTACTATATACTATACTGAGCAGGGAGGTCAACAAAGAGATAAATATATCAGCTATAAGTCATTTAGGGCTTTCATTTTCATTAAACTCTGTTGTAAATATACTGTCAAACTACTCAAAGTGATGATTAACTGTATGGATGATCAACTTCTTTATTTAACAATGGCGGTGTTTCGGTATAAGAATCTATACCCCTGTGCATCTATCTACTATGTTTTCAAGAGTAATATTGCGCTAATAATCTCCCCTATATATTACATAACTTTTTCATTGAGAATAATATTTAAATTATTGATAATAAAAGTTAAATTGACATAAGTACAGTTAATTGGATTCTCTAATCAGCTGACAATTATACAAATTAATAATATACCATCATACGCAACAAAACTGTAATTCCATGATGTCAGTTCAAGTACAGGCATTTTCAGTTTTGTTCAAATCGGGAAGTAGAAACGCTGCATGCTTCCTTAGTAAAGTGACATGTAAAACTTCACGAACACCGTTTTAAATTTCAATATTCTGAGGGGATAAAAAACAATTGTGAGGAGACCCGGTTGACAGCAATGTAGTTATCGTTGCAAAGCATGCCAAGACTGCCAGAAGAGATTAGCTGGAGCAAAGTGAACACTTACCAACGAGAGTACCACCCCTTTCTACCCACAGTTGCTGACATATTTGTTGATAACGACTTGAGCGGATTGCCATTTACTTCCTGGACGTGACAACTCACCGTGTCATACCTCACTCCGCACACAAAAACATAGTCCCCTTACTGGAACTTGTATTAACCGCAAATTCTTTAAACTGAATGTAGAAGTTGAGGACTGGAAGAAGATATTTCACATCTGTTTTAAAATTTAAGCATGTTTCAAAGTATCATTCGGTTAGAACGTATTTATATATATCCCTACGCATACGAGCACTTGGCGATTTGCAGACCGCGGAAAGAACTTCAGTTCAAAATGTAGAACAAACAGCTGACATCGCGCAGACAATATATTTGCTTTACATGTTGTTACAACAAAGATATGACAACTAAGAGCAATTGGTGATATTGATTTAAAGTCAGTCAGTATGTCAAAATTATGAAATATTGGATAAGAATATTATCCCAGAGTGATGTTTATATTCTCGAGCATATCTATTTGTATAAAAAGGGGAGTAGAGTGAGTGAGTTTAGATTTACCCCGCACTCAGCAATATTCCAGCTATATCACATGGCGGCGGTCTGTAAATAATGGAGTCTGAACCAAAAGAAGAATAGAGTTTTAGTCATTAAGAGTGAAAAGGTTATTAACAACAACAAACAAACACACCCGGCAAATAAAAACTCTTCAATGTGGTTTTAAGTCATTTTCAAAAGGGGGGGTTCTAACCCCCTGAACCACCACAAACAAACAAACAAACAAACAAACAAACAAACAAACACACACACACACACACACACACACACACACACACACGCACACACACGATTTAGTTATGTATTGGGAAATGTATGGGAAACTCAGTTTGTGGAAAATAAAAGGAAGTTTATGTTATAGGTATATCGATATTGAAAACAGCTGTATTCTGATGCACTTGGTAAATATTCTAGTTTGTGAGTGAGTGAGTCAGGGGCGTAGCTACCATTATTTAAAAAGCTCGGGCTTACACATTGCAGCCATGTGGGGAATCGAACCCGGGTCTTCGGCGTGACAAGCGAACGCTTTAACCACTCGGTTACCGAATCGCCCCCTTAGCCCCAAAGAAGAGACAGAATTTTCTTAAATTTTGATAATAAATTGATATGAGGATATCGCCCCCTTAGCCCCAAAGAAGAGACAGAATTTTCTTAAATTTTGATAATAAATTGATATGAGGATATCGCCCCCTTAGCCCCAAAGAAGAGACAGAATTTTCTTAAATTTTGATAATAAATTGATATGAGGATATCTCTAATAACAATATATTCAATATTTCATTATATGTAATTCGTGGTCACTGCATGTATACTGGCGCTAGCATGTTAATGCGAAAATTGTAAAACCTGAAAATGTGAGGTGAGGTGAAATTGGGTTTAACGTCGTGCTTGAGAATATTTCGCTCATGTGACGACATACATGAGTGTGTATGTGTATGTGCGGCTGCTTGTACTAGCCCAGACTGAAGCTGGTTTTATAGTGCTAGCCCACTGAGATACCATGCCGCAGTGAAGCATGAATACCCAACTCAGACACATTAGACTGACTCCGAGCCGACCACTCCTTGTTGTACCCATTAATGCCAAGCGCCTGGCAGGGACCAACAAGTACCATATTTTAAAGTCTTTTGATATGATGCGGTCGGGGATCGAACCCGCGACCTTCCGCTCTGCGGGCGGACGCTCTAACCACTACACCACGGAGGCGGTCCCTGAAAATGTAAATAAAAATCATTCACTGATGTGCGATTGCAAGGCATTTTTGTAGAGTTGCAATGACACAGACCAGATTTTGACCTTCCAGCACAATATGTTGTCTGTAAATAATATACGCTCACGTCATTTGGATAGAATCTTGAACATTGCCGATGCGGCGTAAAATAATATTCATTAATTATTCTGCGTAGGGTTCCATGTGAATGGGTATTATCATATTTTATAAGATTTCATACTTTCGTCCAGTCTAAATCACGGCATGGCTTTACATAACAAAATGCACTGATGTACTGATAAGATTGTTCATTTTGCACTGAAAAACAGGGTATATCGATATCAAACCAGAGTTATAGAATAGATAAGTAGAATTGAGAGAATGGATAGAATCCCACAATGTACATATTTAGACTGGAAATCCTACTTCCTACGCGGGAAGTCTTGAATCTAGGAAATCCTTCACCGTCTCTCTGGGATTGTGAAATTAAGATCCTGATCATTCGTAATATTTGGGATAACAATTCTCAGTGAAGTACAGATTCCAGTATACTCTTGTTGGGTTGAGCCCCATCCGTATTTCGAATTCACACTCACCCTCACATCCTCGATAATCTCCAGGGTATACGTCCCAATAAATCTCCACTAGTAAAGATTTATCGGAACGTATACCCTGGAGCTTATCGAGGATGACACCCTCAGAGTCAGGCACCTAATCGCCAGCACACAAAGTCAGCCGTCTAACCCACTCAGCCACCGCAGCTTCCACAAAAATTGAATTCGGCAAACGTGGTAGCCTAGTCTGTCGTAAAGACCCTGAAGCAAATATATCCAAGAAAGCCCACGCAAGTCTAGATTTCCTCAGCTTCAGTCTCAGGGCTCCTTTTCATTATATATATATATTTTTTTACTATGAACTTTTTTCAGTAAAATATGTTCATTTCAGAGACTAGTTGTTAGTCTACGTAGTGGTAGCCTTGACCACGGACTTTGTGTACCCCTCTGACAAGTGTAAAAAGCGTGTTTCTGCCACAGTCTAAAAAGTAACATCAATGTAAGTTACACTTGCATATCTTCGTTGAAGACACTTACATATACGTCGATGATATTTACATCTACGCGGATGTTACTTTCACCTATGTAACTGATGTATGAGGGATATAGTCACCAACGGTGTTATAATCGTGCTTCTCGTTACTGGGACCGTGATGCTGTGATTGGTTGTTTGGTTTTTGACGCTGCACTCAGCAATATTTCAGCAAAATATGGCGGCGGTCTGTAAATAATCAGCATGAGTGAGTGAGTTTAGTTTTACGCCGCATTCAGCAATAGTCCAGCTACATGGCGGCGGTCTGTAAATAATAGAATCTGGACCAGACAATCCAGTGTTCAACATCATGAGCATCGACCTACGCAATGGTATACGTCATGTGTCACTCAAGTCAGCGAGCCTGACCACCCAATCCCGTTAGTCGCCTCTTGATCATATAGCTGGAATATTGCTGAGTGCGGCGTTAAACAACCAACCAACCAATCCAGTAGGTACAACCAGATATAAGGGAGGTCATTAGTGCTGGTATTGGCATACAAGCTGCGATACGATACATCACGATACTAAAATTGTAGTCACGACGATATATTGCCAAAGTATTGTGCACTGAAGCTGCGATACGATACGAATCCCGACACAAGGGTGGCGATAGGATACGTACCACGATACTAAAATCTTTAATTCTAACACCAACTATAAAACAAAACCATTTTAAAGTATTTCGTCAAATTGCACCAGCGTTTTTCAATGTTTATTCGAAAACGAGATAATTAAGTTTACACACGGGCTTTGTGAAAGTTAATAACACTGACTGACTGAGTTTTGGTTTTACGCCGTTAATAACAAGTGTCTGTCGTGGCCCATAATGAAGAAGAGGTTATGTTTGTTTAAGGGCATTAATTGAAAGGAATCTCTCGGACTTCTGCCACCTGATCCGGCCCGTCAGTCGCCTTTAAATGTCTTGCTGAAGCATGGCACCTATTGTTAGAAACATGGGTGAAGCCCATGTGGGCCATCTATTGCTGGAAAATTGCTCAAAGCGGCGGTAAACTAAATTCACTATATTTCCTTGTTCATTTAGCAACCAATCATGGGCGCATACTTTCTTCCACCCGACAGTTTAGTTTCTCTCTCTTGAACTGGATTCAAACCTGGCTTCAATTTACACCAAAGTGTTAACCATAGGCGGATCCAGAATTTTCCAAGGGGGTGGGGGTGGTCAGGGGGTTCGAATCCCCTGAACCCCACCTTGGCTCCGCCTTTGCAAAACATTAACTTCAATATGGTCTTTAGTCGTCATTTTCAAGGGGAAAAAAAAAGGGGGGGGGGGGGAGAGAGAGAGAGAGAGAGAGAGAGAGAGATATGTTGAACCCCCGCCACTGTTAGCCTGACCCCAAGTTGGAAAATCCTGTGGGGGGAGAATGGACAGCGACTGTTGAGTACCAGTCACTGTGGCACCACACTTGTCTGGTTTTGGTTTGGTTTGTTGTTTTACACCACACTCAGCAATGTTCCAGCTATATGACGGCGGTCTGTAAATCATCGAGTCTGCACCAGACAATCCAGTGATCAACAACATGAGCATCAACCTACGCAGTTGGGATGACATGATGTGTTAAAGTCAGCGAGCCTGACCACCCGATCCCGTTAGTCGTCTCTTACAAGCATGGGCTGCTGAAGACCAATTCTAACCCGAATCTTCACGGGCTACATGCTTGTCTGACCTTCATGTCCCTATATACATAATTACATATACATGTAAATAAATCTTTCCACCCCTTTAAGGTACCGAGAAGACACGTGGAGAAAGCTATTACTAATTGATGGGATGTCTTGTGTAACTCGTATCTTACAACTGAAAGATAGCTTCATTAAAAAAAGATACATTGAGGAAGGCTAAAAAATGAGACCCGTCATCCATTGAGGCGTCTGGAGGGCGTGGGTCGGGTGGGATATATTTTTATCCATGTAAATTTGATCATTTCTCACTTAAATGTGATTTAATAAGTGTATAATAGAAAGGGTTTGGCTTTACACCACATTCCTTGAGTACCACCAAATCGCACATCACATGAGGGCTTCTTCACACATAGTCCCCTTGAAGGGAGTTTGACACATGTGTAAAGAAGTGCCTGAAACTTTTGTCAGCTTGTTTGTTGTTTAACGCTGCACTCCGCAATATCCCAGCTATATGATGGCGGTCTGTAAATAATCGAGACAATCCAGTGATCAACAGTATGAGCATCGATCTATGCCATTGGGATACCATGTCATGTGAGCCTGAAAACTTGACCGGTCAGTCGCCTCTTGACAAGCACGAGTTGCTGAAGACCAATTCAAACAGGGAACTTCAGGGGTGCCATTAGCTTGTGCTGGCACTGTAACAGTCATGCTATCCCATCAGCCATTCAAAAAAAGAAATAAAAAAACAGTACAAACACACCCAGTACTGACATAAGAAATGTTTATTTCCAAAGCTCTCAGTCACAAAACATACACATCTTGATACAAAAGTAGAACACCTCCTTATGGCCGACAGCTGTCACAGACATTATGACTGGGATGACATATTACCCTAAAGAATTGTCCTAGTTGGATCATATTGGCAGTCATGGACTTATGATAAAAGAATCACATTGAAGTAAAGGAAAGTTTTAAGCATATATAGATAACACTTTAGTAAAATGTGTAAACGCAGAATCTAAAATATGCAAGATATATTTACCACAGAAACACAGGTCAGATAACAAAACTGCCATTTTCCACAGCTTTGATAATGACAAATTTGCTCAATAGATAGAACATTTGTATATACCTAACTCAATTGATTTGATAAAAATTTCTAGAAGACCATTTTCACAACAAACTTCATAAATTTTCAGCAAGCTACAGAAATGTCATGCTCAATAGAGCAGGAATAAATTAGAAAACAATCAACAATTTAAATAAAATTTATTTCACTTGCAGGAAAAGTGAATCCTTGCGATCACAACATTGTAATTTTGTATTACAATGTAACAATGATTTCTAGTTATTATCACTCGTATTCCAGTCTTTGGTAGTTAAAATTCACTGCAGCTGCACATCAAAATATACCAAGTATATCCCCTCGTATTCGTATAAAGAAACCACATTCTAGTTGCCTTGTACTACATGGGGTTATTATTCAATCTGACAAGAGATGTTTTACTCTGATAACGATCCCGCTAGGATGATTCCAGGAAACCCCCACAGCTCTCATGTCAGGTGGGTGGGGGTGGATGAGCCTTTAACACATCGACTTAAAGAAATGATTCCGCTTATTTCTAATCATATTGATTTGAGTAAAATTGATTTGAAACAAAGAAAGAAAAAAAGCCCAATATCCCATGGGATATGGGGTGAGTGAAACATCCACAACAATATATTGAGGCTGCCATATTCATTAACATTTGGAACTTCTTGTTTCAGTTCATTTATCAAGTACAAAAAATATAGGAGCCATGACCTTGACTGAAGGTCTTGTGGAGTTGTCCCAAGATCTTCATGCAGATGGGTATCGTATCGTATCAGAATAAAACACCATCTTTATCAGGTTGTGTTATCAGCATAGGAAAATTACATAAATACCACTAAAAAGGCTCAAATTAAGCAAAGGATAGCTATTAGTCACCTCCCTCAAAAAAGAAAAATCACAAACGTTCGACAAAATCTATCAACGCTCATACAAGTCTTGCCTATTCTATATCATTAACAAATTCCTCTACATAAAAGACTAACACTCCTATGTAACAATCCATATACAAAGATTGTGACAACACAAATCGTTTAAATGTTCGAGAGTTTTCAACTTGCGAGCAATGTTAGCTTGTAAAAATGGCCATGAGTTTGGATGAATACAAGATGGCAGAGGCTGTGAATGTCCAAACAATGAACACAGGATGCAAACCAGTTAGAGCTTGATTATGCATTCGTAAAGTCGATTAACTCATCAATCCATAAATATTCATTTAACCTGCCTTTGGGTAAATTCAATTTTTTTCCCAAGCAGAGAAATTATTTTTTTTCTAGAAAGGAAATACCTATTTATGTATGAGTGTACATAATGCCATCAAGGACATGTTGGTAATGTCAACAAGTTGTACTTGCGAAACAAATGCAGATTTTGGAACACATGAACATTTCTTATGCATTGATGCTCTAATAAAAAGTCAATGATAACAAATGGTAACCATGGTAACAGTGATGCTGGCGTTCATTTCAAACTGGTGTCTATCGAAATTGACATGCCATGGCTTTACAGCCACCATTTTCACTCACTGCCAATATGAATGATGCATATCTACATAGCAGGGACTGATGACATATACATTGTATTTGATTGACATGTCAAAAATTGAAATAAACAAGTTTCTGTGTACATTGGTGTAGTGATTTATTAGTGATAACATTATCTACAAGCCGTTAACAGATACCATTATTATATTCATCTATTATAAATTGCTGCCGTTAAACCATTGTACGAGAAATACTCATTTTACAAACAGAACAGACATTAATGAGTTAAATATACATTCTGACAATGTATGAAGATGGCATCTCACCTGTTGAACCAATGGAAACTAGATAAGGGAATATGTAGAGATGGTACATTTGTTCAATAACTTTTGTTTCCAAAATGAATCATTTGTCAAAGTGGTTGAAATGATCCATACCAAGACCTAAAAATCTTTCATTTGTTAAGAAATCTCTATTTTCAATAGCGATCAATAAGAATTTCGCACTTACGATGATCAAATATGCTAAAAACAAAGACAAACATTCTTCATCTATTCAAGTTTACATCTAAATTGGCTGCTCTGTTAATAAAATGATTCACATGTCTCTCTCTCTCTTTCGCTCTCTTCAGTCTGATGAAAATGATAACTGGGATTGATGTCTTGCGTAATGATTAACTTCACTTCTCACTCATTCTTCTCCTCTTCCTCCTCCTCTTCGTCTTCTTCCTCCTCCTCATCTTTGTCTTCTTCCTCCTCATCTTCCTTCTTGCTCTTTTTTGACCTGTTCAGAAATTCCTTTCCATCTTTAGCGGTCTTCTGCATCGTTCCAGCCCGTTTCACTGGTGGTTTAGGAGATGGAGCAGCCCCTCGTGCACTTGACCTTGTCCTTCGTCCACCACTGAGGTCATCTTCGCCTAGCAATGATTTCGCTGAAACCAAAATTCGGAACACTGAATACTTTGGATTTTCTTTATCAATTATGTCATCAAATATTTTACGATTCTCTGTAACAAACCATAAATATGTATTAGAGAACGTCAGTGCAAGTTGTTGTGTGGAATATTGTACATGTGCGTGTTCATCCTCCATACCAGCAGGTCTTGCAATTCCCTTAACCTACACTGAATTGTCACTGATTGTTAAAACGGCCATGAAGGCATCCCATTAGAATGACTTGTCTAGTTTTCCGGTCAGTTTTTCAATGCAGAACTTAAAACTCTTTTGTAACATATCATTATCAGGCTGGTCACCATGGTGTTGACATTGCATACCTACATTGCAGCTTGTTTGTAACCCACTAGTCTGTGGCTAGTAGAAATCCAGGCGGGCCAGGAAATCTCCACAGTTACTGGCCAGTGAATTTTCATGGGGTCATTATGTAAATATATAACTCTGACTTGTTAGGTTATAACACACTTTGAAATCATGCAAGATTTTGGCCTGATAAAAATGTATTACCCGGTAGCAGCTTAATGATGAAACCCTGTCTACATTCAAATTTCGGACAAGTGAATTATTTTGTGGGCTGGCAACTTTCAGGCATAGCTTGATCAACTGGCCAGCAAAAGTTTGAAACTATTTCACACACTGCAGACAGGTTAACACGGCAAATCTCAAGAGAAGGAAATTTGAGGTCATGAGAAACCACAGGAATTAATCCAGGGTCAGTGTAAGTCAACCAAAATGCAAGCCAGATATCAGAGGATATTGTATGGAGTGAGTGAATATAGTTTTATGCCACTTTTAGCTATACACCAGAAATGGTCTTCACACATTGAACTCGTATAGGGAATCAAAACAGCCTTTTTCGTGGCGAGAAAACACTTTAACCACTGGGTCTCACTTCATCACTTTTTCCTCCGCCTTCAAAATATTCTAAATTTCTGTCAATCTATTACCCAAAACAGCTTTTTATCTGCTTACTATGTCATAGATTACATTTATATTTTTAGCACAAATAACTTTTTCATAGGAATACACTGTGAATTGGTTTAGAACCCTGAGCCACTCGACAAATTGACAAACCTTCCTGCATTGTTTTCGCCATTGTGCCTTCTCTCTTGGGTGGTGTTCGCCCTTTCCGTGCCTTGGTCTCTTGTCTTGTATCACCGAGTTTTTCATTGTTTAGTAGTTCCTTGGCCTCCTGATATGAAAAATAGATTACTTAATGTCTTAAATCACGGATAAACTTAGCAAGATATTCACGAAAACATTTACCATCCACCCATACATACGTACCATACATAGCAAGATTCAGGGCTCCAGATAAGGGCTGTATCGGCGTATGTACAGATAATAATATGCATGATACGGTAGGAAATAATTTAGAAAATATAGCAGATACGCACCACAGCAATTGAGTACGGTCTTGGAATCATTTAGACACATTTATCTGAAAAGGTTTTGTTTAATTGTTTATTGACCTGTTTACACAAGAGTAGCAATGTTGTAGTACATACATGAAACGAAACAAGATTACTGATACACCATTAAATTCCATTCAGTACTCTAAATAAGGAGTACATACTCCTGAAGTTGCAAAATTATCTGGAGCCCTGAAGCTTGTAATCTGCAATATGTTATTTAGCCATAGAATGTTGGATCGCTTTTCACTATCACAAAACTACAAGGCACTGTCGTAACAATACTGCGATAGTTTTAAGCTTGATCATCATAAAAATCAATGTACTAGAAAGGAATAAAGTATTGCCAACAAGGCCATTCTTTCTGGCAAGTCTGAAATTTGAAAGTGTTCTGACGTATAATTAAGGTTTTTAATTTTTGGAATGATACGAGCATTTATAGATCACAATCGATAATGTACAACTGTGAATTATAGTTGTAATTCATTAACAGTTTGATAAATCATTAACTCCACAGATGTAAGGGAATTATTTCTGCCAAGACCTTTCCATCATTTTTTGGGGGGTTTATTTATATCATGCGATAATGTTTAAGAAAATATTTCTCTTGACAATTGAAAATACTGAGTAACAGGAATTTAAGCGAAGAACTGACAACCTAGAAAAGATTTCTCTTTTTCTTACAAACCAATGAGGATTCCATCACGGAAACCGATATGACCATAATCACACACAGACCTATGATCAAGGGAGATAATTTGCTAATTATCTCCCCTTATGTTCTTTCGCCATCATTCTTGTTAGACAAAATGTTCCTCCTACCTTAGCTGTAACTGCCATGGTTCCTTCCTTTGAAATTTTAGGTTTCTTTGGGGATGGCTCTTCAGACGTTTCACTCTGGATCTCTTCAATTTTCTTCTGCTGGCTTCGAGTTAAAGCATCTGCATCAACGGTCCCCCCAGCTGCTTCCAGAAACTGCTCACCCTCCTGATAGAAAACATTGTAGAAAGTTAACAACTTGCATCACATCAACTGCCTGCAGTTCTACCAACACTAATTACATAATGAGGTCACAATGTAATTTGTTTTGTCTTGACTCATGGCTTCACTGAGGCTATTTTCCTTACAACTGGATATTCTTCGAATTCCCTTCCCCGACTTGAGCCAAATAAAAAAACATGTGGTTCCGATTACACCTCTTTAAAATTTAGGGTAGGTAAGTAGGATTATTTTTTAAACATTTTAGAAGTAAAGTACAAACTAATAACACATTTATCTATATGTGTAACTGTTGATTCAATCAAGCATGCAGCCATCATGTTGACTTTCTCTATTAGAATGACCAATATCTGTCAGTGCTGAGGAAAAAAGAATGGTATCTGAGAGCTTTTTTTATTCAGACAAACTAAAAGAAATAGGGTCGACACCAGATTTCAAGGGTTGGTCGGGTAATCAGAACCCCATTTTTTCCAGGCCTTGTCATCAATATCCCCCTCAACGGCAAAATACTCTTTATGAATATGTCTACTAGTTATGATTATGTCAAATGTTTTGGAGTGTATATAGCAAAGTGGAAGTGGAGTATTGTAAGGTTTTTAAGATCTGCTCCAAAAAGGAGCACTACCACAAAATTCAGTTGAAGCCTAACTTGTCATGGAAATGCAACAAGATGACATCCTCATCCTCAGTCACGTTTCCACGGAAACCACAAAAACTAAAATTTGTATCTGGGTCTAACCATCAAAAGGCATTTCATCTATGGATCATGCTTGACATATGTACCAAGTTTGATGAACCTAGCATGTATAGTTTGGAAGATCTGCTCTGGACAAGACAACATTGTCATAGTCATGTTTCCATGGAAACAGCAAAAATTAAATTGGGTCTAACCCCCAAAAGGCACATCTAGTGATCAAAATAATCTAGCCAAGGCCCGACTATTCAGCGATCTGTGTCATCAGGGTACGATAATGCACAATCTGCTGTTTTCTAAACATCCATTTATTCACCTCTTTCAACCAGCACATGTAGCAAAGAAGGCTCCAGTGCACAGGCCTCTAATGACACTTAAAATATTTCAGCCCATCTTAACACGTTGACTGCCTATACGAGTATCAATTTTGGCTGAATTTGCCACTAAGAGTTATCTCGTAGCTAGTAGCTACATCAATGGTATTTTGAAACAAGTTTCACATGGCACAGGCACAAGCAGCAATTGTCTTTTTGGCACAGTTGGGGAACAGTTCATTTCTGAAAGCTAATGACCCAACATTCATCAGGCCATTCATCAGGATGATAATTGGATATTGACTTGTCCTAGGCATAAAGCAAAAATTCTCTTACGAAGTAAACATCTTTATGGATAACGTCTTACTTACTGCATAAAGCAATGTTTTCAATGTTGCTCTGTTTGCAATAAACAAGAAGTAGCTGTAAGCTTTTTAATTTTCTCCAGAATGCTGATCAACCTATCAACTTAGCCATAGTTGGCAAGAAACTAGCATGATTTTTTTAGGGTTATCTCAAATGAATGGTGCAAGCTGTGCCACCAAATCTCCCAGATTTAGATTTATGCCATTTTCAGCAATATTCTAGCAATATCACAGCTGGGGACACCAGAAATGAACTTCACATATTGTACCCATGTGGGGAATTGAACCCGGGTCTTCGGTGTAATGAGCAAAGTTTCAACCACAAGGCTTCCACACCATCCCCCAGACTCACCTTTGCTGTCACTGCCATGGTGCTATCTCGAGGAAGCCCAGGTTTGTTGGAGCCAGATGCACTGTCGTCGTCCTCCTTCAGTCCCTGAAGCTTTAGCAGTTTTTCGTGGCCGGCTGACTCAAGGAATTCAATACCTTCCTAAAATGTGTACAATTATCATCTTCAGAAAACAATTGATAATTTTCCATTTTCTAAGATTTTGAAGACAATGCGAGATACAATTCCCTTATTGGAACCAAACATTTTCAAACTGATGTTATAGTTATAGTTATAACTCTAGATGCATCAGTGGTGACTAATATTTCTCTGAACTGGAGTATTCTTGAGTCTCACAAAGGCTTCGTGCTTATATATGCATTAAAATATACCAAGTTTGAAAAAATATATATCCCAAGATAAATCCCTGACATGCAAGAAAAGTCTGCCCACTATTATTTTCTCAATACAATTGGTTTCAAATGAAAATACTGACAAAAAAAACCTTACTTTACAATACAAAGTATGATCCTATTCAAATAGAAAAATGTCAAGTGTTTTCAAACACCCAGCGAGTAAGCACAAAAGTGCTGATTCAGCTTAGCTCAGTCAAAACAGTAATCTGGTCACTATTTGAACACATCAACCTGTTTCACAACAAAACAAAAAATCTTTCAAACCTACTTTAACAAAGAGTTATCCGAAAAAAGTACTTCCCAGCGACAATGCCAACTACATGTATCAATTCGTTCAAGTTCTGATGCGTAACGCTTCTTCACCAAGGGCAAAAACATTTCTCTTTAGTAAAAATAGCCACAATGCACCATGGTCTATTGTGGAAGCTGAGCCACACCCCTAAGACAACAAACCAGGGGCCATGAGAGCTCTGCCCTTCCCCCGTACATCTGGTATAAAATTTGCTCTAATCTTAATGTACACAAAACCTTTAAAAAAAGCCAACCGGACACCTGGTACAAACGTCACTGAATACACATCATAAGAGTGCTAATTGGATTTTGGTGAATAAATTACTGAGAACAGGAATTGGGGTAATCGAGTGTTTTACGCTATTTTCATATGCGGTTACTTTCTGCTGAATCACTCTTATGAAGTAAAGTATTGTTCAAACCAATATACCCCAAAATACATTTTGTGCCCATATTTAAATGATAGGCAAGACATTAGAAAAAATATCACCATTCAGATTTCTCTTGTCCACAAGTCAAGTTGTAAAATTCAGATGAAGACTTAACATCTTCAGAATATGCATAATCTTGTGGTTAATTAAAATAAAACTAGTATCGTGCATAAAGAATTTTATATTTGTGGGACTGACTTACAAAAAATGTTTATAAAGCTTCCAAGAGCCATTCAATTGTAGACACCTAAAGTCTGTGACAATGATTTACCAACCAAGTTATGTCCATATGGTGTCTCCTGCTTTTGAAGTGCAAATAATTATGTTAAATCATGAAAAGATTTACAAACGTATTATTGTTGCTTCTTCCACACCAAATATTTGATCAGAAGATAAATAGAGGAAAGACATATTTTACTAAATGCTCAAAAAATATAATAAAATTGTGAGGTAATGATTAATGTTGACAGTACATGTTTTCACTTGAAGCTGTTGTACTTATATTGGTACTTTAACTGCAACAGAAGTGATTCCTTTGTGTATGCTTGTCAGATCATAGATTTTATGAAACTTAAGTCACTACATTTTCTATATTTAAGTCGAAAATCCAAATTACAATCACATAAATAACACCACCTCTTATGTGAAAAGTATTCTTCACATAGTAGATATATATTCCACTGATGTTCGAATGCACGTTTTCAATCTAAATTATATGGTAGCAGATGTTAATTAAAACAGACTTTAACATTTGACACGATATAATAATGTCGTCGTCATATATATCTAATTACTTTTTAAAACTGTTAGAAATTTCTGAAATGACGACCACTCTGGTTTCAGATAGATTTATGTTGGTATGGGAGTTGACAGCGGATACAAGCGTATCCATTTGTCTAAACAGTGATAGCACAATGTTTTCAAGCCACTTTTCGAAAACAGCGCTCTTCCTTTATAATACACAGCCGGGCAAGATAGTACATGACCAACAAACATGACCTTGCACATATAAGACGCCATATTGGAATTTTGACAACTTGCGAATTCGTCCAAGCAAAATTACCCCTCGGAATGAAAACTAAGAAACAAAACTCTGCAGAAATAAAGATGATTTATTCAAGAATCATAATATTGCAAATTGATTTCTTAATTTTCGGGATTTGACGGCCAAATGCGGGTATGTAGGTCACCACTAGGTTTCTCAAACATGTCGAAATCTATGGCGTCTCAAGGAACAAAAGCACCCGATTTTGGACGCCGATTTTGGGACATTCCCGGTCGAAATCTTTAACCCACCTTTGCAGTCACTTGCATTGTTCCATCACGAGCAAGCGAGGGCTTTGCGTCGGTCATTTTGAGACGTCTTTTTGCAAAAAACAGATGCCGAATACAGCACGAAATATGCTCGATTTCCACGAGGAGAGCCGCAACCAAGTCAGGAAGGCGTGGTCACGTGTCAGGCAACCAGCTTCTTGATTGGTTAGAAGGATCGAGAGCAACCCGGAAGCGGGAATGTAAAAACACAAACCGACTATGATAATCGACATCACTCAGCAAATTGGAAAGTTTTGAATAAAATAGATATATCCGAGAAACACCATGTATGGGAATTTTTCTACTGATGATTTGTGAAGACATATCAACAAAACTCTAGCTCTTTAAACGCGATTTTCACAGAAAACAGTCGTATCAAAGCCAATGTTTTGCTTTGTAAACCTGAACTGGATTTCACCATCTCGTCTCTGTTTGTAACCAAGCTTGCAGTAACATGTTTGTTTGGTGCAAAAATGACATTTTTGCTGTTCTAAAGTTACTTTTCCTTAAATATACAATTCGAACTTTCATTGTGAATGCCGAGTGTCAATGGTTTTCTTTGTATAATTTCTGAATAATCCTTAAATATGTATTTATACAATTGTTTAGACCGACGTTTTCTTTTAAACCAAACTATATTGCTATCTGTGAATTGTGTTCATGGAATATTAAAACGAACTGTTTTAGTATAAGTTAAACACACGAAACATAAGTCTTAGCAAGTTTTAGGAATCAGATTGCGTCATAATAATTGTTTAATTTTACACTCACTGATAACTCAATTTTTAACTAAATTTGTTGTAAAAGTCACTTTGTTGTTAAATCATGTGTCAGAAATTACCAATATAAAATTACAGTTAATTGCTAACGTGGAATAAACTGTATTAAGCGCTTACAAATAACTTGGAACCGAATACAAGGAAGAGGGTTGGGGAGGGTGAAGAAGTGTCCCAACACTCTACCCGCCGAAGACCCGGGTTCGATTCCAAACATGGGTACAACGTGTGAAGCCAACTCCTGGTGTCCCCCGCCGTGATATTGATGGAATACCGCTAAAAGCGGCGTAAAACCATATTCACTCATCCACCCAAATGTTATTGATATTACAGATCTGTATAGAGTGATAATTTGTTCAAAAGAGCTACGATAATCAACATTTTTTCTTACATATTATCTCATGCTTTACATGCTGCGACAACATCTGTCTTTAAAAAAGTGTCGATTTTGTGCTCCGTTGTGTTTATCAACTTGTGATACATTGTATGCTATCCCGGGTTCGATTCCCCACATGGGCACAATGTGTTAAGCCCATTTCTGGTGTCCCCCGCCGTGATATTGCTGGAATATTGCTAAAAGCGGCGTAAAACTAAACTCAGTCAGTCAGTCAGTTGTATGCTATCCATCTCGAATTAAAACATGAATTGGAAATGCATGTTTAATTAAATATTTTACCATGGTTATTTAAAGTTTGTTAGTCAATGTAACATTGTATTGATATTCACCAGTGGTATCTCTCTTATTTCAATAGGTTTCTGCTTAATACAGCATGGAGAATGAAACCGAATTTCGAGCAATATTCCTTACCCGTCTAGATCTGGGTTAGAACTGGTCTTCAGTAACCCATGCTTGTCGAAAGAAGCGACTATAACAGAGAGGTGGCCAGACTCGCTGATCTGGTTGACACCTGCCATCGAATCTCCATTGCGTAGATCGGTGCTCATGCTGTTGATCACTGGATTGACTGGTCCAAACTCGATTACTAGTATATACAGACCGCCGCCATATAACTGAGTCGTGAACTTGATCTGTGATAAGTTGTATTCTGTTATTTGTTGACGTATTGTTTTACAATTTCCAGCATCATATATCCATTGCAGCAGAAGATTTCAGAGCTTTAATAGTTACACACAGAGGCTTTTGTTTGTTGTCTAACATGTACTCAGCAATATTCCAGCTCTATATCGATGGTCTGTAAATACTCGAGTATGGACCAGACAATCCAGTGATCAACCGCGATGACATGTGTCAATCAAATCAGTGAGCTTACCACCCGATCCCATTAGTCGCCTCTCAGGACAAACAAGGGTAACTGAAGACCAATTCTAACTCAGATGTTGACGGGTATGTAGGTTTGAAGGAAAACAAAATGTCCCTTTGAAGGTGACAAGGGAGTAAGTGTGTATATAATATCATCACTCATTTTAATGTTTTAGGATTCTTCAGTGAGATTAGTCTCTCAGTTTGAGTCATGTCAGTCATACGTAAAAAAACAATATTTGAGAGCAATTAGTTTCAGTTTCCCTATGAGACAGGTCAATGGTTCGAAAACTTATCACCATTGAAACACGAAGAATTTACTCCCAAATCAGCTTAAGGAAAGATTTAACTCAATTAACTCTGCACGCTTAAAGAATACTCATTTAATCATAGAAGCAGGTGTACTGAAGCTGACCAACAATGAAACTAACGTTTTAACCGGGGATTTAGGCTGGCTGTGTCGTTATGGCCAGTATATGGCATCGTATCCAGGGAATGTCGGTTTGATGTTTAACGCCGCACATTGCAATATTACAGCTGTATGGAAGCGTCTGTAAATAGCTGAGTCGGTATCCATTGGCACATCCTGAGTCTGGCACATTTAACAGTAGAAAATCCGTTCTGGCAACCTTGGTAGTAGCCTTGCTCCAAGGCTGTACTGAATGCTAAGCCTGTGGATATATAGTACATGTACAATGTACTTCTATCCTTAAAGAGGCAAGTCTAGATAAGCGGACAGTATACTCTGTAAGGACGCCTGAAGTCTGAAGGATATTGATATTTTTATTAGAATTTTTCATTTACTCTATAAATTATTACCTGAGACTGTTTGAGGGATATTTATATTTTGTAGAAATTATCATTAAACCATGAATTATTACCTTAGAGACTTGTGCAGGGGTGTTTTAATCAGTTTGGTGTTATAACCACACGGTGTTCAAAAAGCCAGCGTATCTTGCAGCAAGTCAATTCTTCGCCTGGAACAAAAACACCTGGAACATATTGTACAAATCACAATAGGGAATGCCCTCAATGTGTCATCCACAAAACATTTATTAAGTCTTGAATGTTGTAACTCTGAGACCTTTTGAGTGAGTTAAGGCATTTACCACTAGATGGAATTCCGTATTTACATAACTGGAACATTTCGATGCGCGCCGGAAAAGTTTGGTTTTGATGTTTAGGCCATGATGTGCAAAGGAGAAAACAGCACGAGTCTGTTTCTCCTAAATATTTCGACCCGTGAAGATTCGGGTTAGAATTGGTCTTCAGCAACCCATGCTTGTCGCAAGAGGCGACTAACGGGACAGGGTGGTCAGGCTCGCTGACTTGGCTGACACATGTCATCGTATCCCAATTGCGCAGATCGATGCTCATGCTATGATCACTGGATTGTCTGGTTTACAGACCGCCGCCATATCTGGAATATTGCTGAGTGTGGCGTTAAGAAATAAACAAACAAACTATATTCCACGCAAAAATGTAAAACACGAGTACTGTGTAAGTTTAGTTTTTATGTTCAGTATACAATGTATACATACGTACACTACTGCGTATGTCTTGCAATCCAAGCAACGATTTTGTCTGATATGCTGCTGCGTTCTTTCCTCGTGCATATTCGTACAGGGTCCACTTGCACAAAGCGATCTTAGTGCTAAGGTGATTGTAACTCCCTTACTTTAACATAGACTTACAATCATTGTAGCGCTAAGGTGGATACAGGGCTCCATTTCACAAAGCTATCGTAGCGCTACGACTGTCGTAAGTCTATGTTACAGTATATGAGGTACGATTGCTACGAGAAAAGTTACGAGATCAGGGCCCCGATCCAAAAAGAGTTCGTAGCGCTACGACATTCGTAAACCTATGATAAACTATAGAGTTACGACAAGTCGTAACGTTACGAACGCTTTGTGGATCGGGGTCCTGGCTATCTATTCTCGAAACGTTCGTAGCCCTACGAACTTCTTAAGCCCATTCTTAACACATTGCCTTCGATCAAAGTTATGAATTCTTAGGGCTTTATGTTACAGTAAAGCAGGTACCAATGCTATGAGAAAAGGTACGAGATCTTAGGCTTACGAGAGTTTGTGAAACGGGGCCCTGAAAGACCACAGATTCCCCTTAGGTTGTGGTAATTGAAGCGACAAACGAATGCGACGTCATGTCGGTTTTGTCACAAAACATGGATATGGTTCATTATCATTGACCGCTTTGAAAACAATTTACAAACAAATCACAATCGTTCTATTTCTGGAACACGTGTCCTCACATACGACATTGTAGTCATAACATATTCATTACAGGCCATATCAGAACGCGTGAGAAGATGCGAAGATTCAGGACGGCGGTAATAGTTACTGTCAGTATCATGTCTTCAGGAAAACCCCAAGTTAATGTAAGCTACAGACTATGGTAGAGCTAAAGGCAATAATCTATGTCTTCAGAACAGAACAGAAGTTTTATTACGCTCAGGCCGGGAAACTCGGCATAAAAGGCACACATATACAGTTAAGAGTACATAGCATGGCGGGATGGTTTACAAGGAAGATTGTACAGTTTTCATGATAGTACTAAAAATATATACTAGTATAACACAGTTTTTTTCAAAACACTAATTCGTTTACAGTTTACATTTCGTTAAATCTTAAAACATTGGTTTTTTTTAACATAATGGTTTTGGGATATAAGTATTAAATGTAATGAAATTCATCGCAGAGTCGCAGAGGTTACACATTCTTTCTTCGAGTTGAATTTTGTGCCACCTACCTATTTCTATAGGTAAACGATGGCAGGAAGTTCTAAACAAGATAAAGTTTGAATACGTGATACATGATACCCGTAGAAGACCTCAATAGCACATGGACAGACAACCCAAGATCAAACATCACCACAACCATTTGCTGGATGGTGTCATTTATACAACAGCAATAGGCGGTTGGGTTCAGTAATAGTCTTGATTTTCATATTTCGACTGAAGACCATAGTTCCACGAGGGTAAACTTTGTGAAGCCATATATGGGTCTCCGTTGGTGTGATTTGGCTGAAACATTGGTAGGCGGCGTAAACCGTTCTCGATGGTCACTGACAAGAAGGCAAACTTGCTCAGAGTGGATGGATAGCGATGGATGAAGCATTCGCTTGTTTTAGGATTTGTGTTCGTAAAGGACATTCTTAATGAAATACTGAGGGCATGACATACGTCATACACTATTACAGTTCGTATATAGTGAATATATAGAGATTATTACACGAGCAAGCATGTCATACGACTTATACGAAACGAGTGTGAAATTTTGTATTGCCCGAGCTAGAGCGTGATATGTGCACGTATTGAAAATATTACGTAACTTATGTTCCACCATATGCATAACAATGTCAACCGGTACGAACAATAAACCTCTACAGCAAAAGTGACAGAAGTATGTCATCGATTGAACTGTTTATTTGACAGCCTAATATTAAAGGTTCCATCCTATATAAGCTGGGATCCAAATCTTAAAGTCAGACGAAAGGGAAGCGAAATACTTATCGGATACTGATCTATGAATACAAAGCTGTATTTATCATGTCATTTGTGTCTCTATGCGATTTTCAAAAGGGGTCAATAATATAAAACGGAAATGCCAGAGAACAAACATCATCGCCACTGGGCGCCCAAAGGCAAACCAAGGGTGAACATTTAAAGCGAATTGATCGTAGAAAAACAAAGCAACCAAGGGCTAGCTAAATGTATAAGCATGTCCGGCCCATCGGAAGCACCAATTATTCACGTAATCTGCAAAAAGGAAGTGTTTGTTTGTTGCATGATAACGCACGACGGTGCACAAACTGATTAGTCGTCTTAGTTTCTGATGATGGTGTTCATAGTTGGTATACTGATGCCGAAAGCTGGTTTTCTGTCTCACACATGCTGCTGTGGTTAATGGGCAGATTAAAAATGACCACTGGGAGCGCCAGTTGTTAGTAAAAACCAAGAGCCTGAAGCTTTATCAACGACAGAGGTAGTGTTTCTCGTTGAGGCTGGTCAATGGTGGTTGCAGCTAGAAGGTAGTGGTTCTCGTTGGGGCTGGTCAGTGGTGGTTGCAGCTAGAAGGTAGTGGTTCCTGTTGGGACTGGTCAGTGGTGGTTGCAGGTAGAAGGTAGTGGTTCTCGTTGGGACTGGTCAGTGGTGGTTGCAGGTAGAAGGTAGTGGTTCCTGTTGGGACTGGTCAGTGGTGGTTTGCCGCTCCTCTGTCTGTCCAGGTTAGTGCCAGCTTGCATGTAGAAGGTAGTGGTTCCTGTTGGGACTGGTCAGTGGTGGTTTGCCGCTCCTCTGTCTGTCCAGGTTAGTGCCAGCTTGCAGGTAGAAGGTAGTGGTTCCTGTTGGGACTGGTCAGTGGTGGTTTGCCGCTGGTCTCTGTCTCAGGGGCTCCAGGTTAGTGCTTGCAGCTTGCAGGTAGAAGGTAGTGGTTCCTGTTGGGACTGGTCAGTGGTGGTTTGCCGGTCCTCTGTCTGTCCAGGTTAGTGCCAGCTTGCAGGTAGAAGGTAGTGGTTCCTGTTGGGACTGGTCAGTGGTGGTTTGCCGGTCCTCTGTCTGTCCAGGTTAGTGCCAGCTTGCAGGTAGAAGGTAGTGGTTCCTGTTGGGACTGGTCAGTGGTGGTTTGCCGGTCCTCTGTCTGTCCAGGTTAGTGCCAGCTTGCAGGTAGAAGGTAGTGGTTCCTGTTGGGGCTGGTCAGTGGTGGTTTGCCGCTCCTCTGTCTGTCCAGGTTAGTGCCAGCTTGCAGGTAGAAGGTAGTGGTTCCTGTTGGGACTGGTCAGTGGTGGTTTGCCGGTCCTCTGTCTGTCCAGGTTAGTGCCAGCTTGCATGAAACAAATCATCAGTTTGTGATCAGGGAGCGCGAGCAGATTGAGGCCTTTTCTATTACAGCAGATACATGATGAGACCATTTTGTATTATCTGAAAACATGACACCGAGGTGTTTATGTTGATGTACACGTTCCAAATGTTCATTATTGAAAATCAAGTCAGGATTTTAAAAAAAGCATGAATTTGGTCTTGTTCGGGTTAAACTTAACTAACCATTTGTCAGCCCATTCTTTCAATTTCTAAATCATAGCTAAGAGTAGCTTCTATGGTTTTTACATCTTTTCCTGCAACACCAATTGAAGTGTCGTCGGCAAATAGTCTTGTGACATTTGTTAGAGTAAATCATTGATGTACACAAGGAACAAAAATGGACCAAGGACAGATCCTTGAGGAACCCCTGCAGTAACATTTAATTCTTTTGATAATGTACCATTGATGGAAACACTCTGTCGTCTATCTGATAAATAGTTTTTTAACCAACTAAGTAAATGGCCACAAATACCATATTTTTCTAATTTGTGCAATAGCCCTTTATGCCACACCCTGTCAAAGGCTTTTGAAATGTCACAAAAATCATACAATAAAGGTGATGAGTATCTAGAGCTGAACATATAACGTGATAGATTTCAATGAGTTGAGATGTGGTAGAGTGGTTTGTAGTAAAACCTGATTGAAATTTACTTAAAATGCTATGTTTATTGAAATGGTTATGTAAATGCTTTAACATTATGTTTTCACATTTTTTCCGAGGATAGATAATAAACTTATGGGTCTGTAATTAGTAGGGAGGGATTTATCTCCTTTTTTGAAAATAGGGGTAATATTGCCTGTTTTCCAAACTGAAGGAAAAACACACTGACTCAAAGAAATATTATACAGTAAACAATGAGGTTCAGCTATTGATGTACAAATTCGTTTTAACATCCTCATGTTAATACCATCAGGTCCACTAGCTTTGTTTGCTGGTAAAGTCTTAATCATGTCCGCTACTTCCTTTTCAGTTACACTAACGCTTGTAATGCTGTTAGGACAGCGATGGCTAACAGGTGGCAAAGTCTTGCTCTCATCACTGATATTGGAAACAGATACAACATATTATTTAATGTCTGTAAATGCTGAAGGTATTCCGGAATCATCAGTTACGAGAGCGGGAATGGGTCCCGATGAAGTAGAACCTTTCAACAAATAATTAAAAACCTTCCAGTAATCTGCTGATTGAGTAGAATGAGAAGATAAAAAACTACCGAAATTCGAATAAAAAGTTTCCTTGGCTAATTTTTAACATTGTTTACTTTATTCCTCTGCTTTTTGAATTTATATACATCAGAGGTATTCAGTGTTCGAAATGCTCTCTTCCTTAAACGGTCTCTTTTTTCACTGTCAAATCAAGGTTTGTCTTTAGGTCTGACTGTAATGGTCTGGGTTGGGATACATCTAACCATATATTCCTTGAGCAGAGAAGTAAATATTATACAAGCGTCGTTAACATTTGGAGTTTTAGAAAAAAATACTCTCCCAATTAGTTTCCCTAATCAGATTATTTAAAGTATCATAATTACCGTTGTTATACAACCAAACTTGCTTCTTGTATGCACTGTTGACATTTACAAAGCTTGAAAGATAGACATAGGTTCCCTTGTGATCTCTAATATCTGATGTGAATTCAACGACCCCTGCGTCTTTGTATAAACAATCCTCAGATAAAATAATTGGATCAATCATGGAGGATGAAACGGGCGTTACTCTTGTTGGTTCAGTAATAACATTTTGTAGGTTGTAGTGAATAATCAGGTCACGTACGTTGTGAAAATGAGTATACATAAAAGATCTTGATTAAAATCTCCCAGCAAAACCATGTGTTTGGATATATCAAGAGCAGAACTAATTGAATTATCCAGTGAATTCCAAAAAAAAAACATGACCCAGTGTTAGGTGGACGATATGACACACATAACATTAAACTGACTGACTGACTGAGTTTGGTTTTACGCCGCTTTTAGCAATATTCCAGCAACATCACGGCGGGGAACACCAGAAATGGGCTTCACACATTGTACCCATGTGGGGATTCGAACCCGGGTCTTCGGCGTGACGAGCCAACGCTTTAACCATTAGGCTACCCCACCGCCCCCATAACATTAAACATTTATTAGGCAAAAATATCTGGAAACATATCATTTCACACATAGCTGTTTCTAAATCCTGTCTTCTTTTAACATGTAATAAATCAGAAAAATATACTATTATACCTCCACCAAAACAATTTGTATCCCTTCTGAAAGGGGGTTGATAGTGGTCAATGAGTAGCTTTTTAGTCTGGATTTTACTATCTAAATGTGACTCAGTAAAACACAAGATATCAAAGTCAGATATATCATGAAGAACATTTGACAATTTATGACGGATGCTTCTGACATTTAAGTGAAATATTGATAACTCAGTTGCAGATTTTGTGGGGCCTGGATTTAATTCAACATCGCCCGAAAGAAGTAAAAGTAACAAGATGCTAATGAATTGCGCATCCATTTACAAATAAAGAAGAACCAATTAAGGAAATTAAAGAGAAAGCTGTCTGAAAATATGATCTCACTTTTAAAACATGATAAATGAACTGCATTATAGAAAAGACCTATACAAGCTCTGTATGTTGCTATGTCAGTCATTATTAATTTCTGAAAATAAACGGGGGTGAGACCACATTGGACTTGGTACTTGATGAGGCATATTTGGATAGATGGAGATGGCATGAAAGGCATCTGATTCGCATTGAACATGAGCTGAGGGTTAGGTCGCGCATATCTCATGGAGAATGCTGTATCATCAGGGTATGAGAAGAGGTTCTGTGCCGGAGGGGCCCGAAGATTCCTGTTGACGTGTGGTTCGCACTGAGATTTTAGGGATATTGACTCCACTAGTAAGTTGCTGATCACTTTCACTCCGTTCCTTGACAGGTGGATGCCATCCTGAACGAGCACATCACGTGGCTTGAAGTGCATCATCTCCTCGAAAGTGTCCAAAAACGCCCAGTCGTGTGTTTTACAGATCCTTTGCAAGTTTTTGTTTACCTCTTTGGATTTCGAGTTGTGCCACGTCGGGGTTTGGCGAGGAAGTACTGACGAAACGTAGACAGAGACGTCTTTGGTGGCTTTTATTTCTGTTAATATTTCTTCATATTGTTGAACGATCTTTCGCACAGATGTTGATTGGTCGGCAGTGTCATTGCCACCCGCAACAAGAACAATGTTACGCAGTTTTCTAGTCTTGTTTAGAAGAGTTGGCAATCTCTCGTGAATGTCCCTCAGATGAGCTCCTCTACGCATCAACTACGCATCTTTGGTTGAGCTTGTTTGAGAGGATTCTGTTGCTCATGTTCTTCAACAGAGAGCTACCCACAATAAGAGTTTGTGCTTCTTCGATTCCTCGGGGACCTTGTTTTGACATCATTCTATCTATGCGTACTGTGTCAGCGTACAATCTGCCGTACGATCTGGATGTGTCAATACCGGAAGATTGAGTAGACTAGTCCGGTTGGGGTGGAGCGGTAGAGGGTAGTTGAAGCTGGGCGGTATCTGCAGATGATTCATCATTTTTAGTAGATGTAGGTTTATTGTCGGCACCCGAGCTTTTGAGTTTAAGAATTTCATTTTGGCATTTGTGTAACTGTTGAAGCAGGTTTTCCTTCTCTAACAACAGGCCGCGAATCACATTATCCTTTTGCTTTATGATGTTATCAATACTTCTATTGATGCTATCTTCATCCGATGTTTTCTGGATTGTATCCTCATTCTTGCTGCACTGAGCACTGTCCTGTGGTTTTTCCGTCATCGTTATCGCCTTGAAATCATCAGCCCTGCTACACTGTGTACAGGCGTATGGTAGGTCAGGATACGAATCTAGGTTGTAGATTTTCACGGGAGTAAGTTTTTCACATTTATAATGTACCCAGTGCTTGCCTCCACTGCAAATGACTGCGCGTGTCTTGCAGTGTCGCTCGCAATGTGAATATTCTTCATTCACATCTTTCCCGTTTAGGTGAGTGAGTTAATATTTAACGTCACATCGGCAATATTGCAGCCATATCGTGACTTCCCGTTTAGGTCAGAACACACATTTTTCACATAGTCATTAATATTGTCAATGAAAGACACATTTTTGTCCAAGATTGATTTCAAACACTGTTGGTCTTCCTTCACAAATAGCATTAACTGTGGACCGTTGATTAAGATTTTTGAAGTTGTCCTGAACAAGTTAATTGTGAACGCTGAGCGTGTGCTGCTCCCAGAACTTCGTCTCAACGTTTCAGATTCAATCAGACCAGCTTTGTCAACTTTTTGGTTTGTAGAGAGAATCGTACGGGCTTCAGCATCTGCATAAAATGTTACGATAGAGTCTTTGATGACTTCAAAGCTACCCGCGGATAGCGTAAGAATTAGGTCGTTACCTTTTTTGAGTTCCACCACCACGTTGTGTCTTCTTGCAGCCGCTGATAGCTTCTTTTGAAGTAAGTTCGACTTATTCAGGGCGTAATTAGTTGCACAACGATCCGCCATTTGGTGAACAGTCGGTGCCGTTATGATAACGTCACAATGCATATCCATAACGTCGTCTGGCAGTTGGCACATCTTAGACTTGGCCGCATTATCTTTCGTTTTTTTCCTTGGACTTGCGAGTCATTTTCATTAGACACTTTAACACAGCTTGATCAACAGATATCCTTATGTATAAATCAATATTTTCTCAACAAACGTACTTGCCAATTTATGATGTTAAAAGACTTTTTCGTCAGAGCCGTGATGACATCGACTTGCTATTCTCGCGCATGCGCACTCCTCTGTCTGTCTGTCATATGTGATACCGCCCGGGACGCGGTGAAGGGCAAGAATTGTTGCCCTGGGAACACTTTTGTAAGTGACCGCCTCCGTGATGTAGTGGTTAGAGCGTCCGCCTGGAGAGCAGAAGGTCGCGGGTTCGATCCCCGACTGCGTCATACCAAAAGACGTTAAAATATGGTACTTGTTGGTCCCTGTCTGGCGCTCGGCATTAATGGGTACAACAAGGACTGGTCGGCTCGGAGTCAGTATAATATGTCTGAGTGGGGTATTCATGCTTCACTGCGGCATGGTATCTCAGTGGGCTCGCACTATAAAACCAGCTTAAGTCTGGGCTAGTACAAGCAGCCGCACCTACACATACACACGCATGCACGTCGTCATATGAGCGAAATATTCTCAAGCACGACGTTAAACCCAATTTCACCTCACCTCACCTCACATTTGTAAGTCTACGTGTTAAGGAATCCGTGAAGGTCCGGGTTAGAATGAACCTTCAGTAATCCATGCTTGTTGTAAGAGGCGACTAACGGGATCGGGTGGTCAGGCTCGCTGACTGAGTTGACACATGTCATCGGTTCCCAATTGCGCAGATCGATGCTCATGTTGTTGATCACTGGATTGTCTGGTCCAGACTCGATTATTTACAGACCGCCGCCATATAGCTGGAATAGTGCTGAGTGCGGCGTAAGACTTAACTCACTCACTCACTCTATGTGTTAAGGCACATGGATTACGGTCACCTTAACGCTAAGGCCGCTTTGTACAATTTTGTACGTCGCCAACGAATTCTGCTATACGTGAATCGTAAGTGAGAGAGTGAGTAAGTGAGTGTGGTTTTACGTCCCTTTTAGCAAGATTGCTTCACACATTGTATCCATGTGGGAATTGAACCCAGGTCTTCGGCGTGACGAGCGAACGCTTTAATCGTCCCTCGTGAATCGACGGTAAAAGTTTGATTCATTTGTACATTGTGTAAAGCCATTGACTCGCTGCTTGTCGTTGTTGTTGCCTTTCCCACCCCAGTATTTGCCGTTTATGATTTACTGTTAGGGCCACACACTTCCCAGAATTTCAAGTGGAATGCAAAGAACCGGTTTTAAGGACAGATGTTGAAATCCCCTTCGGTATTTTTTACGAAATTCTTTGATGATAACAGCAGCAGATTTGATCCTGTAACGCAGTGCTGTTAGTGGTAAGAGTGAGTGAGTTTAGTTTTACGCCGCTTTTAGCAACATTCCGGCAATATCAAGGCAGGGGACACCAGAAATGGGATTCACACATTGTACTCATGTGGGGAATCGAACCCGGGTCTACGGCGTGACGAGCGGACACTTTAACCACTAGGCTACGCCACCGCCCCACGATATTTGGATCAGTGAAACACTGACTGAAGTCAGTAAAGACAGAATAGTTCGAGATTCTGTGGTCTATGTCAGGGACCCGGAGGTTTGTGTACGGTATATAGGTCAGGGATCCTTGGTATTTGTGGGTTTATCGCTGTTGAATTCAGTGAGGTTTTTGTGGATCATATACTAGTAGGTCAAGAAACACTGACAATAGTTATTGACCATATGTTCGAGAGCCCAGGCTTTGTATCTGACACGTAAGCCTACAATAACCAGCATCTGTCTGCTTTTCCATATTTAATCTGAACTATTTTGCTCTACCCATATACATGTACCATGTTCAATTGTAACCAAGCAAAGTGAAAAAAACACCCAAAGACCGCCCCCCCTCCCCCAAAACAAACAAACCCCAAAAAACAACAAAACAAAAAACAACAACAAAACAAAACACAATATAAATAAAACCCCAAAGACCCCCAAAAACAAAAAAACAAAACAAAACAAAAAACAAAAACAAAACAAAAAAACAACAACAACAAACAAACAAACCAAACCCCACAAACCCAACCAACAAACCAAAAAACACCCATTCACCTGTTGTTTGAAAGCACATTCCGTTATATCTTCAATTGAAGGTGCCTATAGGTTGGCATGAAATGCATGTGGACCCGGTTTTTTGTAAATATCTCTTCATCCAATGATCCAATCGATCTCAAACTTTGCAGATCAAAGTTTATTTTGTTGACAGTTACATAGACAGATTCTTTAATACAAATGCATAAAATCGGTGATTTACAATGTGATTAGGTTGTCTGACAAAACATCCACTTGCACAGTTTGAGATCGATTGGGTCATTGGATGAAGAGATATTTACAAAAAAACGGGTCCACATGCATTTCATGCCAAACTATAGTGTGTGTTATAAACCGTGTGAAGATTCTAGGTCCCATAATTTGGAGACCTGCCGTGTATATATTTCGTTTCTTACAGAGACAAGACAGATAAAAAAATATGTTAGTTCCTGTGTCATATGCCAGTGACAACTACAAGTCGAATGCCGGTGCATTAAGTAGACACCACGCTTATCGTTTTAAAAAAAATGTTAAACAATTTACCAGCCCAGCACGTTTTGTTTTGTTTATCGCTTGTTGTTTAACGCCACACTCAGCAACATTCCAACGGTGGTCTGTAAATAATCGAGTCTGGACCAGACAATCCAGTGATCAACAGCATAAGCATCGATCTACGTAATTGGTATACGATGATATGTGCCAACCAAATCAGCGAGCCTGACCACCCGATCCCGTTAGTCGCCGCTTAAATTCCGACAAGCATGGGTTACTGAAAACCAATTCTAAACCGGATCTTCGCAGCAGTAACACGTAAAACTGTGTCAAATGGGTATTATTTTTACCACCTTTACAGTCGAACCCTGCTGATTCGAACTTTGAGTGAGTGAGTGAGTTTAGTGCTTGTCAAAAGAGATGGGGTGGTGGGGTAGCCTAGTGGTTAAAGAGTTCGCTCGTCACGCCGTAGACCCGGGTTCGATTTCCCACATGGGTACAACGTGTGAAGCCCATTTCTGGTGTCCCCCGCCGTGATATTGCTGGAATATTGCTAAAAGCGGCGTAAAACCATACTCAATCACTCCTTATGGCGAGAATTCGGCGTATCATATCTTTATACTACATTACGCTCCATTGATCTTTGACGTTGTTTGTGAGGGCGCCGTGTTTCATAATGACGCACTATTATATACTTTCTTATCTTACTTTCTTAACATTATTGGGCGTTGCGGTGGGGTAGCCTAGCTAGTTGTCAAAGCGTTCTTCGGTCAGTGTTTCACTGATCCAAATATCAAGGGGCGGTGGCGTAGCCTAGTGGTTAAAGCGTCTGCTCGTCCCGCCGAAGATCCGGGTTCGATTCCCCACATGGGTACAATGTGTGAAGCCCATTTCTGGTGTCCCCCGCCGTGATATTGCTGGAATATTGCTAAAAGCGGCGTAAAACCCAACTCACTCCACTCTTAGCATTTTTATATCTACTATAATCTAGCTGTACACTCAGTTGTCACAAAACAGTCTGGCATGGTCCCCGACAGAAATTAACATCCTTATTATGTTGATGCTTTATTTTGCTGGATAACTGATACATTTTCAACGAAACTCCGTCTTTTAAATTCTTGTTGACCTCAGGGACAGCAGAAAACCTGATCTTGTCACATGCATGAACATGCCACAGACGTCTACATTGAATGGGTGGTGAACCATGTGTTGCATTAGCAATTCCAGGCTTATCAAAATTACTTGAATCGTCGCAATTCTTTTATTTCATAATTGTAGCAGTCACAGAATATTTAATACGCTTTTGGAGAATGATCTGCAGGACACTTAAACTGGTTACCGACCACTCCGCATTCTGTCGCACACCAGAATTTGCCTCATGTCGGAAACCAGTTTACAATGGATATTTGAGACAGCGGAACGTCCTCTTTAGAGACTGGGAACTGTTCATTTTGATCATTACTGGATTCCTTTAGAGGAGCACGCGCATAAAAGATACAACTGCTAGTATGAGTGTCATCCACGTGACTTGGCGTCGGTAACCGATTGGCTGGAGGAGAACCAGGACGTGCGACACGTAAATAATCACACGAGACCGGTATTAAATGAGCGTAGGACTAAATATACATCATTTGTCAACTGTGATCGCCAAGGCATTGACGTACACGGTGTTTGCGGTGTAAAGGTAAGTCTGTAAACAATGTCTGACAATGTTTTCCTCACATGTTGTAGATGTCAGTCACGATTTATTTCGTTTTGTGTGAGATCAACACAGAATAATAATCCTCACATCAAAATGTTTTTCATGACTAATCTGTATAGGATGTTTGTTGTTGTAGCAGATCAGGCAGACACATAGGTGTCAATAAAAACAGACATTGAGTTGTCTGTGACAGAGGCATATCTATATAACACAGTTAGAAATTCTGACAATGCTAAATAATGAGGTTGCTTTTAAGTATCGAACCGAGAAAGTCACTTGGTAAGAAGAACATGTGGTGAAAAATTCAAATGAAAATGTATTTACAGTGAAATCGGTAATCTACTGTCATAACATATAAGAACCTCGCGCCTGTGATAATTTGTTATGGTAAGTCCATACCGAAAGGTAACAGAATCTGCAAAGTTTTGCGTTGCATGTGACCTTTAACTAATGAACTCACTTTAACTGACAATATGATTACCTGCTTTCCAACACATAACATTCACAGCACTAACCATGGCTGTCCAGTATGTGCAGTGTTCCAAGACTGTAAGAAGGAACCAGCACGCCATAGAGTGTGATCAATGTCAGTCATGGACACACAGGGTTTGTGGTAGACTAAGGCTTAGTCTCTGAATATATATAATTTTGATAGTAACAAACATTTATATTGAAAAGGAGCCCTAGGGAGACCAGAGATTCAGAACCTGAGGAAATCTAGACTTGCTTTATTTAGGGCTTTAGCACTGCAGAGAGGGCTGGGCAGTAGGGGAAATAATGTGGTTCAAGGACTGTGAGACAGACTAGGTTTGTGGCACAGGGATGACTCATGAAGACTACTTTGACCACGGATAATCTACTACTTGCTTGCTGTACCATTTGTACTAATTAGCGTGTGCCTCGTCATGCTCCAACGCACACAGTGACTTCTGCTGTGTTTAACAGTACTTCAGCCAGTTTATTGTATCAGTTGGAATTTTACTATGAATGAATGAAGAGCAAGAGTTATATGTGAATGAATGAAAGAAATAAAGAAAAAGAACAAAACAAAGAAATACATATGTGAATGAATGAAAGAATAAATGATACACCACGGCCATCCCTCCCCAAATATGTTAAAGAACGCACAACTATCTCTGGAACACGTGTTAACATCAGCTGTCCTTTTTAAAAAAAAATCTACTTTGAGACATTTTTTTACTTTGGTAATTAATTCAGATATCTTATTGCATGTGTGGAATGGCATGGACATTGACAGAATGTTAAGTGACACTGTCACACAGACTCAAAAACAGAAAGTTTAGAACTATCACAAAGCGTTGTAAGCACTTTTCCAGTTTTGTCAAATATTAAGATCAACAAGAAAGAAAGCAGTTTTAGAACTATAACACTCAAGCATCACAAGCATCAATGGCGGATCAGAACAGATCGGCGATATGTCATATTTTTGACACACCTCAAATACACCCTAACAATTTTTATAAAATTATAAAACTATCACTATTACTTGCAAACACCTTTCACCTGATGGTATATTCCCCTCATAAAAATTAAAGGTGTATGTGAAAGATGTTTTAGAACAATAACTAGAAACACTCAAACAACGCTCTGTAGTATTTCAATGGCAGATCGGTGATATGTCATATTTTTCACACACCTCAAATACACCCTAACAATTTTTTTTAGTTATAAAACTATCACTATTACTTGTAAACAACTTTCAACTGAGGTATATTTCCCTTCTAAAAATTAAAGGAATATGTGAAAGAGTTTTTAACGATAGAATTTAGTCTTTCTTCGCTGTGTACCGAAAACTGAAGCCAGTGAGCTTCAACATGCCGACTTGAAACTTTACTACAAATCTACTGTACTAATACTGACACTAATAACAATTATTTGACTTAAAATGAAGTGACAGAATAGGTAACTATCTTCTGCATGTAGGTTTTCAGTTGTCACAACACTCAGCGAATGTAATCAGCTGTTTCACCAAGCTCAATCTTAAAAACTACACTGACGCCATATTGGCTACACTGGTCACGTGACGAGCCGAGGCATACGCTAAGGGGCTTTTCGAGGAGTGACCACTCCCCGTTATATAGTCTCCCTGCTTTGACTTATGAAGAATTGACGAGGAATTTAATTTCTTGTGTCACTTATGCAAGACAACAGCCACTGAAGCTGCAGAGGCAGACAAACTTGCCTCAGTCCAAGTAAGAGCTCAGGTGAGTAGTACTTCCTATTGATTGATTCCTAATTAGTTCATTGGACCAGAACTGTTAATGAACTGTTAATTGAACTTCCTTAATTGTTAATTGGAGATATTAACGAATCGAATTGATTCTTCATTAGATCAATTAACCTTGTCATTAGTGAAGAAGGCTGCAATATTTTAAAAATTGTAGGTTGGCATCGCTGGATGAATGTAAGGACATCAGATCAATAATTGGGCCTGTACAAGTTGATTCCCGCTCTTCACAAAGATGCCAGTCTTATGAAGTATATGTACTGCCATTTAATGCAAAAACATGCTTGGCAATTACTATTTTATTATTGTTCTTATGTTTTAATGCTATATATGGCAATAAAAAAATGAAAAACATTTGTAAAATGGCCCATATGACTAAGAATATAAGAATAATGACTTTCACTTTGATAATGGTGTTAGAACCTACACCGAAACGTCGCTCTCACAGCAATAAAGAAGTTGTTCATCCATATATTGTTATCCTTCCTTACTGCTCCAACTTCTAAATGCCTTTGAAAGAAGTTATGAAATATCTTGCCTTCTGAAAGTGAAGTTTGATTGAAATGGGATACAAGTCATAAGCTGATTCTGACTAAAAATTTTTACTGTAACCAATATGAAGAACAATATTACTAACTACAAAAAGCTGACAAATGTTAAATCCATTAAAACTGCAAGTGCAGGATTAGGCAGATTACATGCAGTCCTGAAAGTTGAGAAATGTTAAATGTCATCCTTGTAAGTGTGATTGTTATCTGCCTTCACGTACATTCCGTTTGCCCATAGCATGCTTCTGTCTTACTTCTTAAACATTCCCTGTGTCTCCCTTTTGTCGCTGCTGAGAAAATAAAATCAGTGAAAACAATTACCAGTCACGACCGAGCATTCTTTTCCCCCTTGATTTTGGACCAAGGTGAAGCAATTGTCGTTCATGTGACACTTATACCCTAGATAACAATTGGGACATAGATAATTGGAGGAATTCAGATCTGAGTAGTTGAGAATGTCTTTCAGCAATATTCCAGCAATATCCCAGAAATGGCCTTCTCACATTGTACCCATGTGTGAACGCAGCTCTATCAGTTCTGAGAGATGTTATGACATCATGTGCTAAACTGACCTACTGCTGACCTACTGCCAGCCGCCGTGGTTTGACCAGGAATGTGTTATTATGAAAATGGAAAACTATAATCATTTAAATCGTTTCAAACGATATAGGTGTGGATAAAATCTACAAAGTTATATACAGACAAAACAGAATTTTAAGAAGTGCTGTTCTAACATTAGAAAGAACTATATAACAGAAAACTCGCAGAGGAGGTGAAATTGATGCAGCCAAATTGGGGGACTATAAGAGCTTTTGGAGAACTGTTAGACGTATACTTCATAACAGTAAACCCAGGTGTCAAGTGCCAGTTGATGTCCTACAGGACTATTTTACGAAACTATTAAATCCTACAAAAGAAAATAGTGATGAACTGTTTGATAACACTGTACTAACTTTTATAGAAAACCATAACTGTGACAGTTGTAGTCCAGCTCCCTCAGATGGTGATATCTTTTCAGGAGAAATTAGTGAAGATGAAATAGCGAACGTTCTAAGAAAGTTAAAAAGTGGAAAAGCACCTGGTGAAGACGGCATTCCCCCAGAACTTTTCAAATTATCAAATTTGTATTTAATAAAGTACCTGAAACCTGTGTTTAATAAAATATTTGACACTGGTGTTTTCCCAGAAACATGGAACATTGGTATGATACTGCCTATATTCAAGAGCGGCTCATTGACCGACCCTAATGACTATCGGGGAATAACGCTTCTTAATGTGACTGGAAAACTCTTCATTGCTGTCATGGAGAATCGCTTGCGTAAATGGATGGACATGAATGAACTACTTTGGAGGCACAAGCTGGATTTAGGTGTAATTACACAACTACTGACAATATCTTTACTCTACAGGCTCTAGTAACAAAGTACCTTTCTCGAGCTAAAGGAAGATTCTACTGCACCTTTATAGATTTCCAGAAAGCGTTTCATTTTGTTGAATTTGCTGCTTTATATTTTGTTAAAGAAGGGTTGCAACGGTAAAACATATAATATTCTAGCCAGTTTGTACTCATCTGTGAAAGCTTGTTTGAAGATTGACGGTATGAGAATGGAGAGTTTTGACATCATCGGGAGTCAGACAAGGATGCATTTTAAGTCCGCTTCTGTTTATACTTTTTATTAATGAACTTATTACAGATGTATTTAGGTCATGTAAACATGGCGTATTTGTTACTCAAGATATCGACGACATTATGATGTTATTGTTTGCAGATGATGTGAATATGTTCTCCTATACAGCAACTTGATGCATTGTATAACTTTTGTAACAAATGGGGACTTCATGTCAATTTGAAAAAGATAAATATTATTGTATTTCGAAATGGTGGTGTATTGAAGCGTAATGAAAAATGGTACTGTGGGGGTTCTCATTTGAAGTCAGTTACTTATTATAAATACTAAAGTATCATGTATTCATCTAGATTGAACTGGTTTATGGCTTGTAAAGTATTAGCATCTCAAGCAAGTAAAGCATTACATTCTATTTTCAATCTATTTAGAAAACTCCATATATGTCTTTCAAAACTGCATGTAATATATTTGACACAACAATAGCCCCAATATTATTATATGGAGCTGAGGTATGGGGATTAGAAAACCACAGTGACATTGAAAAAGTTCAAACCAATTACTTTAAACGTTTTCTTTCGATTGGTAAATATGCTTAAAATAAGGCAGTGCTTTGAGAAACCGGTCGTTGTAATATGTTTGTAAGTAGTAAAATACGAGCTGTTAAATACTGGATAAAACATTTACATATGTGTCCATCTAGGTATCGATATCAGTGTTATATAATGCTTAAGTCAATGGATGAAAGTGGTAAGCATAACTGGGTTTGCACATTCGCTCTTTATTGTTTAATTGTGGTTTCTCATTCGTATATTTTTGCCAAGATGTAGGGGATGAAAAACTATTTTGGCATGATGATATTTCTTCATCCAGATATCTGACATTTTATGCAAGTGTTAAATCTGTGTTACAACCTGAGTACTACCTGTTAAACATAAATGATAAATCCTTAAGAAGAAGTTTATGTAAATTCAGAATTTCATTACATGCTTTAAAGATTAATGGATATCGCAGATTAAAATCTTCACTTAAGACGATACGATACAGTTTCGACGGGGCACAATGCACGAAATAGCAGTTCTGTTATGTCTACAGTACAGTACAGTATGGACAATACGATTTTACTTTATTCTGTGTTATGTATAACGAGGGAGGCGAGGGATGACTGCAATTATGGGTATGGATCTGGTGGCTTTCCCATTACAGTTCTAAGCCTTATGTTTGTTAGTTGTTGTTACCACAACACAAATATCTGAACTGAACTCATTACAAGCAGTATCAGGACAATGAACATTTAAAGACCAGTAACAAAAGGAGGCAGCCAAAACATATTTGTTAAAAAAGGAGAATGACATTTCTGAGTGAACTTTGAAAGACATTTTGAATGAAAACTGAATAAATCAAAATTCTGGAATGTGCCAAGATTGTGTATCAGTACTTCCCAAGGAGGGTGGAAAGTCTCTAAATGTTTAACAGACTGAAACAGGAGACAATGATTTAAAGAAAGGACAGTGATCTGTCACACAGACTGTAACTGTCTTATGACAACTGTGTTGTGTTAATTTCTTTAATTTCTTTATCTGTGATATGTCATATGTGATATATCAAGATCTGATTTGCGTATCGTGTTTTTGAAACATGAATATTTCTTGGACATAGTAGTGATTTCATTGCAGTAAGTGTTGATGTAATGTTAGTGACTTTTAATCATACTTGGCTACTTGCTATTTTGTCACACATCTGTGAGCTCCTATGCTCCAGTGATACTTCACTTCTTCTATCTAGTCATGACATGACAAGTTTGTTCATTCAAAGTAGCAAAGATTATGATTATTATTTCCATGT